AAAACATAGGAACTTGAATCGAGAGACATAATCTTGTACCTATCTAACTTATGTAAGATTTATCAACAGATCGTGTACTATCTTCTCTGTATTGATGGGCCAAAATTGATTCCTAAACTCGGTCTCAAATTCCTTCCACTCACAAAATCCACCGTGTCCTTAAGGCTTCTATTTGTCCTTGTAAAGTAGCTATATGGCCAAAGTAGTGTTATATTTGAGCTTCCATTTAGGATTGCTTTGCCATATCTCCTATATTGTAATTTCTCTACTGGACTTCACTATTATAATGCCTTTTCACCTCTCAATTGATTTTTTAAGAGTAGTTCATTATAGCCTCAACATAATACCTAATGTGACTAGCATAACTAACCTTGGATTAGATGATGATTATTGACATGCTACCAAAAATAAATAGTCTAATATTCACTCTGATATCAATAAAATAAGATTAGACTATCTCAAAAATCTAAAATTCTTATAAATCATAGCGACATAAAGCCTCATCACAAAATAGGACAAAATAGATTAGAACAAAATTGAATGAAACTAAATAGAATAGGACATAAAAGACAAAATTAAGTAAATAGAAATAGAATATAATAGATTTGAATAGAAAGATGTAAATTCAAATTTTACTAAGAGAAAGTGTTTGAAGCCATACTTAACCAGATGCCTCAAAAGGCCCTAGCTAGTTCTATTTATATCTTATCCTACAACCTTGAACTTTTTAAAATGTTCCTAGGTAGTGGACTTCACCTAGATAATTGCCTTAAATTCTTTTTAGAATGTTCCACAATGGGTCCTACCTAGTCCACTAACCTAACCTCAATTCTAAAAAATTCCATGGTTCTAATTATCTATACAATTATCTTATCTATATCCTATTATAATATGACTATTATTGTTTGCAATAGAGTCTTTTAATATAATATATCAAGAAAGTATAGAAGTTATTAAAAAAATATATCTTAATTCTTTTAACTCCTTTTGTTGATGTTGGGAATAAAGCTACAATATAACAAGAAGATGCAAGGTTCTAAATAAAACTTTCCTTGGTATTTTACACTTATTCTCTTATTCGTCTCTTAAACTTTCAAAGCACTAATTTAAAAAGAACTTAAATAAAGCACAAACACAAATTTTTATTGCAAATATACAATATTTATATTTTCCACAAAATATTTAATTTATTAGGTATAAATTTTGAATTCTAACATTTATTTTACTTTTTAAATTTAGTAATTTTTTGTATTAATATTTCCTCACCATCATAGTTGATGATAATCTTTGGTGTGGTCAATTTCAAAAGCCACTTGACAATCTTTGACAAAAAAATCTTAATAAATAGATTCTTAACAAATATGGTCTATGCTTCTATTATAAATTATACCAAATAGATATATATAGTCTGTGATGTGTCATTCTTTTCTTAGTAGAAATCTTAAATGCATTGCATTTGATTACCTCCAAAGCTTCCATAATCACTCATTAAATGTTTAATAAAGATTTAAAGTGGCTTAAAAGATGATGGTTCTTTTATTACAGATAAACTTGTTTTTATAGCTTGAGCAATTTGTGATAAGATAAGTAGAATATTGCTAATTAAGAACTTTTTTAATGTTGTATCTTTCTTTTTGGTGTTTCTAAAGGATGTTCTAACTTCTTCTTTTAGTAGATCTCCTTCCTTCATTATAGCAATTAAATTAAAAATAACATCTTCATTAAGAATAGAAATAAGTTCTATTTTGGCCTTTCAATTGTACTTTATTTCTTACAATTGAAGTGAATATTCTTCATTCTATTTTCTAAATGTCTAGACTGCCTTATGCTTCAAATATTATGGCAAGAGCTCAAATGCATGTCTGCACTCTAAATGCAAAGCTTTTTAATAGTATCTAATATTGAAACTAATTAAAAAAACCTTATTGATATCCGTGACTAGTTCAAAGTCTTAAATGTGGTTTTTTTCTTAGTAGTTTAGTAAAAGAGATAAAAAATATTGATTCTTAGTATGCACTATTAAAAGACTACTTATATATCTATAACTATCTAAAGATTCAAAGGCAACTTGTACATGTAATTACTATCAATTTTTTCAATTTACTACCAATTACCTTCAAGTTATTATAGAGCCAATAAATACCGCTTGCTTTACACAAATAAAAGAATCTTATTGGCTATGAATTCAATCTTATTTCTAATATATACTTATAAAGATAGGTTAGTAAAACACAAAATGAAGTAACACCAAAAACTTCTAGTAATAATGCCTAGAGCAAAGAAATAGTATTGGACAAAAGGACTAGAAATCCAAATTATACCTTCATTCCAATAATATAGAAGTAAAAATCACAAGTGAGTCAAAGAAACCAGCACTAGCTTATGGTTGATGCTTTCAAATTGCAAAATCTATGATAATAAAAGAAGATTGCACCAAAGTCCAAAATATAAAATGTAGAAAAGAAAAGGATTAAAACTTACTTGGAAAACAAATAATATTGAATAAATGTCAATTAAATGCTATAGATGACCTCTATTTGATAAAACATAAATATTATTGGCTTTTTTAGACAAATTCTACATAAAAATGATATAAAAATTGTTAAGTTTGGACTTTGTATGTTGTCATAGTGAACTTCCAAACTTTTACACTTAAAAGTTTTAATTTTTTTTTTTTTTTTTTTGAAATAAAAATGTAATAAAAGAAGATTTTTTTTAAATAAAAGAAGATAAATCTAATTAAAACTTAGTTAAACTATCTCTTATACCACAAAGGATGAATATAAGAATAAAAGTATCTAAAAAAAGCTTATAACTTTACTAAACTCTAAAATGCGATAGCCAAAATCTTACAAACATAAGTTTTTTTTTTTTTTTTTCAAACAAACTCAAAAGTCTTGGCTTTACTAGAATTTCAAATCAAGGTGATTTTTCTACCTAAATTCTCAAACTTTGGTTGAAACTAAAAAAGTCAATAAACAAAAATTGATAAATAGATGAAAATCTACTAAACTAAACCAAAATACATCAATTCAACATAATTTGGCGCCTAATGCCACATCACATGACAACTTTAAATGTATAAGAATGAATGAATGGGTGAATAAATTAAATAAGCTTTGACATATTGTTGATCTTTGAGACTAGTATTATTTTTATGTTCTTGTTGTTTATTTAATTACAATGAAGAAGAGTGCAAAGTGGTAGTAGGGGTCAAAATAAAAATCTAGTATTATAGTGATTCTAGATGTTCATTTTTATAATACAATATCCTTTGTTATAGTAATCTCAAGGACTATTATAGTGACTCAAATTTAGTAATGTGATATTCTTCTTAACTAAATAATTTTTGTATTTATAATTTCTTTATAACTTGATAATTTCCGAACTTATCAAGTTATAAAGAAATTATATATAATTTTAAATTCTTATACAAAATTAGAATTTATAAAATCAATGATTTATTAAGTAATAAAAATATCATTATATTTGTATGAGAAACTAATAACCACAAGTATTGAATTTTACTAAAGTTTAAATAATATGTGATTAATTTTTTATTTTTTAAGTACTAGTCATATATAAAAAATTCAACATAAAATAATATTTTTAATTCTTATAAAATATTAAATATATATTTTTAACATATCATATTCTAAATTATTATAATATATATTTTATTTTTAAAAAATTAAATATCCTTCTTAAAATTTGAATTTAGAATTATGGAGACCATAAATTAGATGTCTACTTAATATTTTAAGCATTATTTATTAAAAGGCTATAATAATAAAATTGTATTGAAATCTATTATAAAATTTTGGATTCAAATTATCTATAATAATGTTTTTTTAATTAATTATTAAATACGCAACAAAACTTATCTATATTCTTAAAGTATAGAATTGTAAATCATTTTTTTACAATATAAAAAATGTCACTAGATCTTTCTTCTTTCTTTATTGATAGTAGTATTGATAGTAAATAACAAATAATGTTATTATTCAAAATCTAGACTAATTTTGTTATTGTGATATAAGAATGGAAATGTTAATGTCCAAAAAAATATATTGCTCATAGTCTAGCTATTATCTTTATTTTTTAGTATAGATCAATAAATTGTTGGCAAATATTGGCAATGCCAAAGAACCTAAAAAACTTGGATGTACAATTCTTTATTCAGCAAGCTTTAAGCAAACCAAATCAAAATAGTCAATGGCAAACATTAAACCTCAAACAAACCATCATAAAATGTCATACTTTCCAAAATATAAAATTTAGATGAAAAAAATCTGGGCCCTATAATATACCTCTGATTATCACATATTGAATCAAAAGAAATAACAAAAGATTCCACCATATTGATTGACCACAACACATAATTATTTGAATAAAAAAGTGTATACTTATATATTTTGGTAGAATATGTTGGATGAGAACACAAAAACAATATTATCACGTAATTGCAGGAACCTGATCTTGGACTAGATAAAAGTGAATAGTGTGTGTTTTGCAATAGTATGAGTTTCTGGCAACAGTTCCTCCCCAGTTCTGAACCTGGTGATTCACCCTGCCCTCTGTAAAACCAATATTTATACCATCTTCTAATATATATATATATATATATATATATTAAAAAAGAGGAAACTAGCCATTCATGTTGCTCACAAGGAAGAAAGGAAGAAGCAATGCAAGAGTTCAGGTGAAACCAACTCAGATGCGGTGCGATGTGATGCTTTGCAGGTGAAGCTCGCGGTGCCAATTGCAGCAGCCTAAGAATAGTTGGATTCATGTAGAAACAGGCCAACCACGTTCTCCCAAGCTGGAGGGATTTCCAACCTGGGCTACGAAACAAAAGCTTTGAATGCTGAGTGACTGAACCCAGATTTCAGGTGGCCTTCAAGCTCCGGGCCAAGCGTACCTGGAAGATTACTATGTTTGGGATCAGGAACATCGGAGAAACAGGAAGGCCCCGCGATGGCCGAGAAATCGAGTTGTTAAGGCTCTAAACTTGAGGCGCTTCGCGACACCATCTACAATCGCGGGCATCAGGTGTATCGATTTGAACTCAATGCCGCGTTCTGGCACAGTTCCGCTAGTGATGTACGCTTGCTGCGGTTGTTGCTAGAGTCACCGGAGCCCTTGCAACAACCCCACTGTCGCACATTTTTCTCGTAGTGATTACTGGGCCTCGACTAGCGCGTTCTGATCTCTGCTCCCGACAGTCGGAACCATTAGGCTCCGCAATGGGCTCGGGTGCGAGATCCAGCTTCTTGTTAGTCGCACCGGTGTTGTGCGCCGCGATGCTTTTGGGATTGTTCGTGGATCACTGTGCTTGCCAAACTCCGCAAATCTACACCCTCGGAGGCGCTGCAGGATGGACTGACGTTGCAAACAAGAAGTACACAGCGGAGATGGCCGCTGTGCCATTCAAAGCTGGCGATACGATTCGTGAGTTTCCCTCCCATCTAGTTATCTGTCCTTTCGTTGCTCATGTGCCCCTAGAATTAAGAATTACAAAACGCTCTTTCCTTTGGTTTCACTTCGTCTTTTCAAGCCTTTTGATGTCGTATGTTCTGTTGTGCGCAGTTTTCAACAACAACGATACGAAAGTCCACGACGTGCTTCAAGTTTACACACAAGAGGATTATGATACATGTAATACCAATGGCCAAATGGGTTGGACTTTGAACCCCGGAGACACCCACGGCGTAAGCATCGAGTCCTATCAGGATCCCTTCACCCAGCTGCTCTTTTGCTAACCCTCAATGGTTTCTTAAATCTTTCTGTACGTATTGTGGACGATGCGCTTACTGCTATTGTTCGTAGAGGATACAGCGGTCGTTACATAGTGGAGTTGGCGTTTTTGTGTCCGCAGGTACAACTTATTGACCCTGCTTACAGAGTCTGGTTCTTCGACACCGTATACTGCCTCACAGGCCAGAAGGTTGAGTTCACTGTGCGGAACTCGGATGGGACCGTTGTGCCGCTATCAACTGGCGCCGATCCCCCGAGTCTAAATGCTCCCGTGCCTGAACCTGTGGATCCAAATGTACCTCCACCCCCTGTTGGTATAGCCGGTGGTCCTGCTCCCAACGCAGCTGGAACGAATGGAAGGGTAACCTGGATATCGCTGGTCGCTATCGCATCTGTCTCCTACTTCGCTACATTCGTGCTGTAACCTAGGATCTGTTAACGTAATTTGCAAGAAAATGTTGAGACTACTGTTCTTCCTATCCTCTCGCAGCTCTTGTACTCTCAAACTATTCCTCGTCAACCTTTCCATTCAGATCTTCACTGCTCATTCACCCGTTGGCTCAAGCTAGATGGATCTAGTTATCTAGGTGGTGATATAGCTCCACCCAGATATAGTTGCATTTCCTGCCCGCGTCTACGCGTGGACGTCCATTCGAAAACAGAATCTGTTAAGCTTTTACTTTCGTGCGACTTCTAGGACTAGGAATTATTATTTGTCGTCTTCTTACAAGGTGGTCTGCTAGTGTAATGTTCCTGTCCATGCCTCAGAAATTGTGATTAAGAGTAGGACTGCATGAGCTTATCTAGAAAATTAGCCGTAATGATGAGCAAGTCGTTTTGATGACTAGTAGTGAGGATATTGTGCATTCATGCAGTAAATGATTAGACGAGAATATAGTTTAAAGTGATTGCGCAAGCTTACAAGAGAAACCCCCTGAAGGCTTGACATTTGGTGCCTTACATTCTATTACTATTATTACCAGTGACAAGCCTTTGTCGTCTTGACATCCTCGTATTGAGAACCTATCGACTGCTTAGTTCTATACAGCAGTCAGAATAGGCACGCTTTGAATGTGCCATGTCCATCATGCTATCCAGACTCTTTCCATTGCCATGAAATTTGTCACTTTTCAATTATAGCAGACCACTCGTAGCATACCGGCCTGTGTTCTATTACAACCATTCGATATCTCGAACTGGTATATAGTTAAGTTTTGGTTAAAGTCAGTGTGGTGAACATGCAGTTCTCCCAAGTTCATGAGTTTGTGTCAGCGTATTTGGTTCATTTAATCGGAACGGAAATTCGAAATCAGAAAGATCTGTCGATGTTATCATTACTATAAAATGTTATCTGCACCCGGTTGTGACAGTAGTGATTATGTACACTATTTACAGTAGTGGAATGCTGATGGTACGATTGAAGGTAAACCTCAATTTATTCCATTCCTGAGGCTCGGGAGCAGTGCCTTCATCCGAAGTAGCTGTTTTTGCAGTCTCGCCAATTCATCTACAGGAGCAGAGCTGCGAAGTTTGGTCCCCCAGCATAGAAATGCTTTGTCTTCTTTAATATGCCCCATCTGGTGACTAATCTTTGCACACAAATCTTGAGATGTAAGGATTGCAGCCTCCATTTCATCAAATTCTTTCCCAAATTCCGTTCCAGAGGTTTGCATGAGTGGACGAGGAACAGGAATATTCTCTGGAAATTTCTCCTTTGCCTGCTGTTCTGGCAAGGGTAATTTTAAGTCCAAATCTTCATTACCTTTAACAAATACCCAAGGACATGTCAGAAAATTTCTAGGTTGGTGTTGTTTCAACACCACTCCACGAAGGGTGTAATGCTGCTTGCATGACATTCAGCGCTCACATTCCCCCTGCGCAACATGTTTCGCACGAGAATTCTACACCTCCTATTGTAGCTTGTGATAGTATTCGAAAGGATCGAACTTGCAGGGTAAGAACATTAACAAGCCATTCAAATAAGTGCGATAATATATGTTCGCAGACAAGGTTACATTGGATATGCATCACGAGGCTTCAAATTTTCCAAGTCAGTTGGTAGGGCTCACCTATCTTATCGGCGGTTTCTCTTTCAAACAATTTAACTACAGCAGAAGCCATCCGTCGAGCAGCTTTAATTTCTGCTTTGCAAATTTCCCGCAGGTCCTCCAATTCTTGCCTTGTACCTTCAATCTGAACCTGTTGTCAAAATAGGTTCAAGAGCCAAGTCAGTTATTGTAAGCGCCCGCTCAAATTTCATGTTATAAATACACAACTAAACCATGCAGAGCTATTCAGATCATCTCTTTCTTAACCAGGTAATGGATAATGCGTAATAATACTAAACTAGCGCAACACTATGTAACAGTAAGCCTTGATTCCATTTCGCTTCTTTCCTTTCCTGCATAATAATCTGACTAGACTTAAGAAAGATCATTTCCTGCGGGATACCCCACATAAAACCCTTCCAATGAAACCCCCCCCCACAATTTTACCAAAACTTTATGTTTACAAATACTTTCATGAAAATAAGATCATTATGCCTATGCGTTCACATCTAAGCACATGATAGATATGGACCATAGGGCTATTTACAGTAGCGTACCGGTTCCCCAACACCAACTCGGAATCTATCCATCAACCAGTTCCCCATGCCAAAGTCCGTCTCAATATCATTCCCTCGTTCAACCAAGCACAGTTCAAGATCACATCCACTTGTGCTCGAAATATTTGGTAATGCGTCGGGCATCTTTTTCGTTTTCTTCATGGGTAGTTCTTCCTTTTCAATGCCCATCGCATTAGTTGCGGAGTATTCACTTTCAAAATGAGACGCATGTTTCGCTTTATCCCTCACTGCTTGAAGCCCCTCGATTCGCATCTGAAGGAAAACATTGATAACAAATGAAGACCACATAGCGAGTTATGACACTATATAATTCTTCTAGAGCATACACGAAAAGATTCTCTAGAATGCTTGTTCCCTACATGCAGATATATACTATTGATGCAGCGAATGGAGAGAAAATGAGTGCACGTGGAATTCCCTAACTTGAAACGTATACGCAATTTCTTTGGTCGAGGTGGGTGACTCACAATACTTTACTTACCGTTAGGTTTTGCATAGGGCGAAGATGCTTTCTTTCCCCATCTTTCGCTGATATCTGCGACATAATTTTTGTTCCTCTACCAACAAACTGAAGGCTCCGGAATGTGACGTACCAACTGACATCAGATTCTAAACTCTTCAGCTCAGGCTTCAAAGATTTACTGCTCGAATCAGCAGCAACTTCAACGCCTTCAAGAGAAAATAGCCAGTCTAGAAACTGAATGTCTAGATCCAAAATATGGAATATATCCAATGGCCATAGATTGTCATTGCTGGTGAGCATGGCAGGAACGCCCGCACCTGCATCAAGTCGCTATCACCGTAAGTTATTGACAACATGTACTTCGTAGACCAGGTTTAGGGCTGAATTTCAATATGATACTGTTGATTATGTCAAAACGTTCTACTAAAACTACCTACTAATATGGTACAGCCAGTGTTTTATCCCAGGAAATTAACAAAAATTCCTCGAAGTTGCTTTGGAATTGACTCCAATAAGTAACGTTACAGTGATTGAAGTAAACAAAAAAATAATCAATATGAACGACGTATCACGATACATCCAACTACAAACAAACTCTTACAAAGTGCTCAAATCAGAAATACCTTTCGATTCCATCGAATATGGTTTCAACATGTTTACTATTGGACCATCAGAAAAAAACTTGATGAGCTTCTTGATATTGCGCCCGGGTACGCCTCTTGGACCAATAAGATGATGTTTTTGTAGAAGAGACTCAACCTGGCACATGCTTCCTCCCAACCTTACCCCACCCACTCTAGCAATCACTTGCAGTTTAGAACCATCAGTCTCCTGTTTTTCCTGTGATATAAGCATCTCTATATTTACATCCATGAAAGGAGTTTTTGGAGCACTGTACTCGTCTTCTCCCACATTTCTCTCCACCGGTACCATGCTGCCTCTTTCCTTCCCAGTCCAGATCACAGGGCACAAAATGTACGAGGCCGATTCAAAATTCGTCTGCTCTTCAAGAAAAGCCTCTTTGTCAGGGAGACCTGCAGGTTCTCCCTTCGTACTAGACGCTCGGCTGGAACTAGTACTTGACAAAACCGAGCTATCAGGGCTTCTTGAAGATGATTCACTGGATGAAACATGATTTTTCAAAGCTTGCTTTGATGAGCACTCTCCTTCTGATTGATATGTTTCAAATTCAACACACTCAACCTGAATGTCCAGCCACTGGAGCTTGGACGTAACCATCGCTGCCCCAGCCAGCTTCTTATGGGTAACACTCAAGAAGACCTCCCAACCCAAGAGTTTTGCCAAAGTTGGACCCTCCTTACCAATTCTGCCAGGTACTGTTGCTAGCAACCTAAAATCAAGCGAACTCAATCTAAGGACCACTGCCGTGTCAACAGGCACAATGTCAAGCAATTTTTTTGAGCTTGTTTCTTCAAAATTCATTTGAACATCTTTAGATGTGAACGACTTACTCATCTCATTGAGTGCTTCTACGGCTCCACCAGATAATCGATACAGTTTTAGAACAAATGAATATTGCTCATATGTCATGTAGGCGACGCATTTTTTGCAAGAAAGTCCCAATCGAACTATTCCCCCCGAAGGTAAGAAGGTCATTAAAGGCTCACCATCACCTGAGAGCATGGCGGCTTCAACACCAAGATCAGACATTTCAACGCAGTGCCATAATCTTGCCGCCCGATCAGCTTCAGCAGCAGCATTTTTCTGGACCGAGTCGTCCAAGTTGTCGGTTTCCAATGCAATTGTTGCATTTGATGCTCGCAAAATCCACCTTCAAAATAAAAACTAGACAAAATAAGGGAAATGAATAGTTTTTAATGTCTCTAATCGGCAACAGTGGCTTTTCTATTTGCGAGAGGTGTCAAAGTCTGTACCTTTGATGGCTGGAATGTACTGGCTGGCCCTTCCATATGGAGCTGCATGCAGGATCATTGTCAAGGTCTAACATCCGGAAGGTTAAAAATGGACTATTAGCCATCATGAAGCCTGAAATATATATGCGAATCCCAGTGAATGGTCCTCCTCTGTCAGCTTCGTCCATCAACGCTCCATTAACAGGTATAGTAAGATCAAATTCCTTAAAAGTCAAATATGCGGCATGCAATGATCTGTCTGGTAGTTTCACTGTAGATTCCAAAACAACTGATTCTGAAAGGAGTAAAGCAATCCGAAGGCATGTTGCTTCCTGAAGAACAATCTGTTGATCACACAAGATTGTTCTTAGTCTAGGAGCGTACCGCCAGTTGTAACCACAAAAGAAAAATATATGAGATGGCATAAGAAAATTTCGCTGTTGGTGTACCAAAATTCTTAGGTCCAGAACGCACCTTCAAAGGTTGACATTGCACGACTAGCTGTGTGGCCAATGCTGGAGCTACAGGCGATGGTTTAACTTGAGAAGAGTAGACGCATAACATTGGCGTTGTTTCCCGCGCAAACAGTAACCAGCTCTCAAAAGGATGAATTTTGGGCCACTGCTTCTCACTCGCTGCAAAGAAGAAACAGAGATTTGATGGAATCACCATTAAGGGAAAAAGAACAAAAAAATCATACAAACAAACATACTAACAAACAAACAACTATATGTTCTAGAAGCTAAAGAGCGATGTCCGTACCAAAAGCAGGAACAGGAGGTCTGACGATAGGATCAATACTGTTAACGCTTGGTTGCACGAGCATACATGAAGGTTGCACTGCAATGTCTCTGCATCCGATCAAATATGAAAGAAGAAATGATTGTTGGCATACTACACACTTTTTACTGAAATCTACGTGTTCTGACGAAACGACTTTAACCAACAGGATAACTAAGCCCAGTCATGACTCGCAAGCGACAAATCAAGAGGATACATAAGCATAAAGTTACGCAGCCACGAACAAGGGAAACTTATAGGTACAGAAAATGGTTCTCCGTATGAGAACTTTTGAGGCTTAACAAGAAAATAAAAGTCATCAGAGGGTAGGTAACTACCTCAGAAAGAGGCTTCCAACCATGATCTGTGTCATTGCCCTAATGCTTTTCTGCTCTACTACATTTGCCTGCAATTTAGAATCGAACGTGACAGCATCAACATAAGAATACTTTGTTTATTGCTCACAACTTGGTAACTCAACATTTCCTGATGCACAAGCTTGACGCTGGATAAGAATTGGAAACTTAAGCACGGAAACATCATTATCCCAAATCTAAGAGCAACTAGGAATCATGAGGTATACCATAAATCATCTCAATGTGGTGATATGGACTACAGCAACTAACATCGTGAAACTAGAATATCAATGCGAAATGGGAATGGATAAGGGGACTTATACTCACCCGAACATACTGAAAATTCTTCATCAGTAATTCCATCTGAAAGTCTGCAACATCAAGTTGAGATATTATTGAAGTGCAATGTCAAGATATCATCACATAGCTGCCCTAATAACTCATGTACAAATTATATCATGGAAAAATATTTCAGTGTAAAATCGGAATGCAGATACTGTGTTGATTCAACTACTACTCACAAATTAGCGTATTATCAACTTAGCTTCAGTCTGAGACGGCGAATTTGAGTAGTGAGGAACATGTTTTATTCAAAGGTCCAGAATTTATCCTTACACAATAAAAATCTGAGTTCATTGGAAGTATATATTCAAACCTATCTAACACTGGACATTTAGTTTTGACAATAGACACGAGCGTCAGAAGTTCACAGTGTAATTCTATCATCCTTTCTTTTGCAAAAACAAAACTTTAAAAATAAAAAAACGGAACGTCTTCACACGTTACGCATGCTTAAATAATTATGTTCAGTTAATCCTCTAACTAAACATATTCGCAAAAGTCCGTAATAAGTACAAATTTAGAAATCGTTCACGTTTCAAGTATACTTGCACAGCAATCCACTGACCTGTCCCAATATGCTTAGGTCTAATTTCTCATTACAATCGTTGTATAAAAAAAGCCGCTCATTTTCTCAATTTTTTTTTTTCCGCAGTAGATAAAGTGGCAAGCTTACCAATATCCTTGACACTCAAAAAAACTTGATCGACTTTAAAGACAATAACTGTACGAGCTGCCTCATCCACAGACTGCCAGAACACCACGCAAGTAATTAAATAACTTGAATTTGCTGTACATGCATCCCTAGTATGTGAATAAAAAGAAGTCTCTGCTCCAATACTCTTATAAATTAGGAATTAAACGTGCGGGAAGACAAACGTTTTTTTCAATTCAGGTGTGAATTTTGAAGGACCACGTAGACGTATGAATCGGGAAATACATTTAAATTCTCATTGAAATCGTCGCCATGAGATTGGTATGTAAGGTAAAAGATTAAAGATAAAATTTAAACAGCAACTTACCTGAAAACTTCGTACGTTTGCCTCTTCACGACTCATACAAATAAACACTCCAGTCACAAATCGTAGCAAAGCCTGCAGACCTACATAGAATAGTGTCAAAACTATAGGCTTCGGAACCTATAATAATCTATTTAGTCCAGACAAGACTGCTGACCGATTGTTTGTGAATAGCCTTTGAAAGCAAAATGTAGGCAGTAGCAGCTGTTGATACTGTGTTGCCCTGTACGGGTGTTCAAGGGAGGAGGATGATATAAATATACCTGGTTCACTTATTCGGGAAGACAAAATTTCTGGAACATGTATCCGCACCTCGAGTCCAGAAGGGATGTTCATTTCTGTTCTTTGCACGGTAATCTGCAAGAATTACGAGACTAAAAATTTGAAACTTGAAAAATAGCTAGTTAGTGCTTCATTTCAAAAAGTGGCCAATGAAAACACAAGGTACATGCACAAAAGAAAATAAACACAGTTCAATACCTTCCAAAAATTTGTACCAAATAGAAGTATAAGTTCAAAGGAATCTTACAAAACCGCATCCTGACACTTTGTCCAATATCCGCTCCCCTCTCTGCATTCTCTCGTCATTATCATGACGGTGGGAGCTTGCCGTGCTATTGCTTCTGATATGATCAGATTTTGGTGGTAGCAGGTCAAGTGATAAAGACTCCCAAAAAAGTTTCTAAGAGCAACAACAAGAAAACAAGTTAGAAGGATTATAGCTGCATCAGCAAGTCCTACCAAAATACATAATTGTTGATTAACAGCCGCTCAAATAAGCGGCAGAGAAACTACTAGAATAGCTCACAATAGCAGTAATCATTCACATTATAAACAAATCACCTTGAAAACGTAAATGGCTCCTTTGTTGATTGAAAAATCTCTTGCTTGGTTGAGTGGGACAATCTGATCATCCATACGAATCCAAATTCAATGAAGCGAAATAAAATAATTCACAGCCATTTCAAGCCTGACAAAAATTATCACGACCCCTATCTGCGCACCTGACAGAGACATCGTTAACACGATATTCACGTCAAAAGGGAATCATATAACGAGGATCACCTGCCATCTTTCGTCGGTTGTAAACAATTCCAGATTTGTGATAGTTATGGAAGCCACCGGGGGAATCCTAAAAGAGCAAAAAGAAAGCTTAGCTTCCACATCAAATAGTTTCCACATCGTTTCACAATATCATTGTTACTTAATGACTACCGCCAACAAAAATCTCCTAGAGCCAGGAGAAAAAAATAAATCCTTACCTCGTGTAATCTTCTCGTTGCTATACTGGCCGTGATTGGATGATCAGATAACAATAGTTCCTAAAACGACATAAGTACCGCTGTGTGCAATGTTTGAGATCGAACAAGGTTTCTGCAAGGCAAGTACTCTCTAACAGGTCACTCACCATGTAGCTGCTCCTTTCTGATGCGATACTCCCTTCGTTTCCAGTAACATGTGGACTCTCCCTATCCTGAGTGTCATACCATCGGCAAGCTGGAGACGAACAATACATCAAATGACCGATCTGAAACCTTAAAATACGAAGAAGATATTGCTACGTTCAACATTCAACCGAGAGATCACAAAACATGATTGCTAGGATAATACAAAACGACCAGAACATGAAAGAGAAAAGTTTAAAGTGATCCAATATCTACAGTTGTGGTCCAAAGAGCTTTTGCAATTACGAGGCATTGAAGATAGTTTCTATTGCGGCACTGCAACAAGAAGATAATCCGAAATATAATCACCTTGTCGGAGTACCCATAGCCATACGCATCGCCAGAGGAACTTGACGGCAATCCCCTGCAGAGAACCATGATTGCATCAATTCAGCTTGCAATAGCAAAAGAACTACATTAAAAAATTGAGGTGTTCGAATCGCTCATTGAATAAGCAGTACACAAAAGTTGTTACCCAGGGATGTAGCCGAGATCACTGTATAACTTTTCAGAAATGGTCAGCTCCAACTCATCAATTTCAGCAACAATTGGCTCTCTATGTACGTTCGTAATAGACGCTATCTGCGGCACCAATCCACCATAAACCACCAGAAAGAGTGGTGGTGAGAAATTAGAAAATTAATATTGTCAATACGCAATACCTTGTTCACTTCTGCGGCCAATATCATGTGCACGAAATTCCTATGCAGAAAGACCTTCATTAGTCACATAAATGACATTCAACAGATGTTTTTTCCACTTTGGGGGTACATCGCAAGCATTGAACCTAACATTGGAACTGCCTTCGATTACGGAAACGCACCCTCAGCTCCAGATTGCGAATTCGCGCCTCAGTTATCTGCAATGTTGGTGGTAACCCTAAGCTCGCATGGAGAGCATCTCCATCAACATCTGACAAAAACGATTGAAAGTGAAACTGAGACTAGAACTTCTCGACACAAGTTCTCCCTAACAGAACACCTCCAACCTCAATGAGAAATATAGTGTCGCACGACATTTACTCTATCTTGCACCAAAACAAAATTGAGCAGAAAAAGTAGGTCTCCGTGATGTATATATATATATATATATATATATATACGACAACATTATTACATTTACAACTCCTTGAGAATGAATTCAAGTATTCAAGAACTTATTTAACTGGGATCAAAACGTCTTGTGGTGCATAATATATTCTAAACCTACCTATCAATATGTCACGACAAAGCTGCATGTACAATGAAAATATCAACCATGGTTTCGAAGGATCAATTGCCATGAATCAATTCAAAAACACAAGAGATACTCGGCATTTTTCAATAAGATATGAATGCCTGCTCACCTAAATCATAGAGCTGGATGCTACGTCCACGGAGTCGGAATTGCTCTCTGCTGAAAGTTCTCAGCCAGTAACGCAGCGTCGACTCCAAACCTCGCAACAGCAAGGACTCCATGCTTACCGAAACAAGGAAGCTCCTTAAATCTATACAGCGCCTGTTAAGATTAGAGAGTTGACACAAGTGACGGCCCTTCTAATTCTAAACAATACGAAGTCCACGAAGAGACTTACTGCTTGGTGATTACCAAACATTCCAATAAACATATTTCAACAACATTTATGTAATGTCACGTGCAGTCGCTCTCTGCAGCTTGAAGGTTGTCTTCGAGTAGACCCTTCCTCAAAAGCTGTTCACAACTGAATAATCGGAACACTATTCAGCTTCACAATATTGCCGCAGCTTATATAATCGCACGACCTCGGCTTGACTAGAACAGAAGCTAAGAAAAATTCACGATGTAAGTAGCGCACTTTGACCTGCACCTGTCCAAGAGGCTTGCGGCAGAAATCCTTCCAAACACTCTGCGTCGGCATTCACTCCACCAACATGGCCATCCAATATGTCAACAACAAGCCCACGCAAACCTATTCAAACGTAACAACCACAAACACTTAATAACCTTTCACTTCTCATAACCTAGGTTGATATACTGAATGAGATGGTAGCAGCTCCTGCCAACGCTCAGACGATTCTTATCCCCAGAAGCTCAGACGTACAAGTTCAAAACTCATCAACCCACTTGGTACTCTCTTTCGCACATGGAAAACCCTGAAACTGACCGTGATGATAGATGCTTCTGAATCGGAGGCCACAGGATCAGGATTGGAGAGCCTCCCTCGATACAAATCTACAAAATTACAATCGAGACCCAAAGACGAAAGATCACAGGAAGACGAAAAAAAAACCCAAAGCGGGAACAGTCGCGGGTGTGTTGATCCAGATGGCTTCACTAGCGAACGCCAACTAGACCCAGTTGCTGACATTGCAGTTAGGTCGTTGACAGAGTCCACTCGTAACTGGCCTCTGATGGGTTCACTTCTTTTCCTGCACTTTGGAATGTTCTGATCAAGGAACTCTCATAGACTTAACCGACATTACCAACAAAGCTTCTGTAGAGATGAGCCCATTATACGAAACAATTCATGCCGCATGAGCCCATTGATTGAATTATATTCGGACAAAAGCGTTCTCTGATCAGCAACACACGCTGGCGTGGTTTAAATGTAGATTTGGCGCTGGTAATAAGCAGATATTGATGCTGATTGCGGGACACGACATTTGTCGGTGTGATTGATGCTTTTGCAAATCCATGCATTGGGTAGCGACTAGCGTCACTTGTAAGAAATTTGTAAGGAAGCTTGTAAGACACGTGGGAAATCTCTGTTCCAAATCACCTCACATTTTCATGATTTCGTGTTTAATTGACAAATAAAAAAATAAAAAAAATAAAAAGAAGTAACCCTCCTTTGACTACTGCCTGCCTAATCAAACAGTCATGAGTCAGGCAAGGCCATGTTCACTTTCGCATCGGCTACCTAAAATGGCTGTACAACAAAAGGAATAGAAGCACAACAAATCCTTAAGAAATGCTGAGGCGACGATGCAGGAGCAGAGGGAAAAGGCGAAAGCAGCTGCTTCGCAATCCTTTCATAAGCGACAACCTCCTACAAATCAACAGCCAACAGTCACCAATTGCACCACGGACTCAACCAACGATTGAATTGACATTGATGCACAGAATAACTAGAAAATCGACTTGTAGAAGTGGCCCATGAGAACTCTCCGCATCCACCAATAAAAACAAGCTTTCAACAGTTCAGCTTTAGGCATCCCGAATGAATTGAACATTTTTCATCAGATTGTTACTCTCTTACTTCTTGACACTTGCACTGAGTTTGCTGAATTTACCAGCACTCCTGAATATTGCATTCCGGTGATTCACCTAACATTTCTCTCCGACACGAGGTGTCGAAATCCAAAGATTAGTCAGTTCTTTTACATGTTTGTATCATCAAGATTTATGACTTGACCAAAATTCTTGAATGTTCCATATGTCACTCACGGTTCTTTCAAACAAGATTCGCATCTGCTCTCTTGTATTCACGTGAACCCGATGTGCTTATGAGTCGGAATTCAGTTGCATTCTCCAATACGTTTGCCGCTGCAAGTGCTCCACGTTTTGCTTCAGTGGTTCAAGATGATGGGACCAACAGATCTGTCATGGTACCGTTGTGCGAAGTCATCGAAGTCGAGCATTCTCCAAAGAATTACCAGAGGGATCATGATCCCAACGAATACGAGACTGAGCAAGAGAATCGGGGGCCCTAACCACGTGGTTGAAAAATCAGGAGCCAATAACGCTGAAGGGTAGGCGCCAAGAGTCGCAACCAGGGCAATCAAGAGGAACCAAGTAACAGCTCGCTGCAGGTATGTACAAATCTCTAGTTCTCCAGGTAAGCACCTCTTGTGAAATTCAAGGACCTCATCAAACAGAACTTTATGGTTAACTGGCGTACAGGGTTTCAATTTGTGACTTCTCTTCTCAGGTCGGAGGAAGTATTTCATCGGAAAAGAACTCAATGTTCTCGTGATGTTGTTGCGGATGGCGTCCTGATAAGAGATTGATACTTCATCATTATCAGCAGTTCCTAACATCCCATCATCTGCGTCCGTCACGTAAGCAATGAATGTGTCAATTGCTTTCGTTACTTGCCCTTCTAGTGTAGGAAATAGAGAATACACCAATACAAAGACCATGCCTAGCACGGCAAACGCAAAGCCAACGCTGCTGAAGTAAAGAATACGACAGTGAGTGGCTCTCGAGATAATTCACTTTTAGAGATCCTGATTGTGTTTGAAACTTCAATTGTAGTAACAACAAATGCTCCGGGCGGTGAAAATGCTCCGTTGTACAGCATAGAAATTACCAACACCAATGCAATTGACAGGGTTGAAAGCCGTTTGTCAAGTTGCAGTTTACTTGTTTTCCATCCTTTTAACTCGTTCTTTAAGTAAATGACTTCACGCAAAGCTTTTCTTTTCTGAGATCCACCTGCAATGACAAGAATCACATGTTGGTATCAAAGGTGCCGATTAAGGTACATAGAGCTTTCCTATCTATGTGGGGAAAGAGGCGGAGAGCGATGAGATTACCGCATCTTAACACATGCTGCAATTAGCGTTTCTACATTAAGAACATTACTTAGCATTATTACGTGCTTGTGGTTTAACATCGTTGCGTTCGCTGCTGCTTTCAACCTCTCCGTGTCCCACGACGACCTCCTGTAATCCAGTCCTGTGCGTTGACTCATCCATGGCCTGCACACACACAAAATGCTCACAATGCATGTAAATCACCTCCTGTGCTCAAATGGTGTTTCGTGGCTTGTTTGAATGAAATCCTCGAATCGGCGCATGAAAAACAAGACGCATAAGATGGTGACAACACGAATTGCTGGACTGATCACAATCCTACCTGTGTAATGCACAGAGAAAGCTTGAACTGTTTCACATTTGAATGTACGAGCAAGGTTCAGAAAGAAACCCACTTACACTCTTGAATCACAACTTGGACGTAAGCTCAAAGCCCTTTGTGATAACCGCGCAGATTCGCCTACCACAGACGCATCCAGAAATCTATTCAAGAAACTTACTCCAACTACCAGCGTGCTCAAGGCAACTTCACATCTTTTCCTTTTACAAACATCCTCCTGCCTGTCTTTCGGTTACGATTTAACACTCCGCGCTCGCCGACCTTCCACCAGACTATGCAAACGATGCAGATAACAAACAAACCGCATAAGTTACCGTCGAAAGTGGTCGGGAAGTCAAGTGCCCTTCCCATCTCGATTCCAACTCCTCCCACAGCTACCGACGCGGTCACGCGATTCCTGCACCTTTCCTGCTGCTTTACAGACTCCATCGCGCAGTCAAGTGGCAATCCACGCCGCAGTGGGTGCAACCTTCAATTTGTCTGTCGCTGAGCTCCCTCGGTCATCTCCAAGCACAGAAACACGACTCACTCACATCACACCGCTGGGGACGCAATTTGGGGCTCATGAACCAACCCCAAGCTCCTTGAATGGAAGCCGACAAATCTGCATTTGAATCCACGAACACAACAGCCAAGTCCGAGTAAGTTTGTAAGCAATATTTACAATGGCGGCATTGCATGGAACTCGGCGACGCGATCCGATCGACAGAGCACGGGCCCACATCACAAATGGACATGGCGTCGTGCATTATCATGGAAAAGAGGGTCCCTTCACCGAATCAACGCCCCATTCCCGCAAAAGCGAGGTCCTGCCACGTTTGAACGCGGCTTCCGGTGTGCCCGTGTGACGAAGGTTAAAAGTATGCCCGTGTGAATCGCGCTGGCAACGTGGTCGTGTGGATGCAGCTGTCGATGTGAATGGGGCTATCAGTGCGTCCATGTGAACGGGGTTCCAACGACGTATGCATGGATTAAAGGGATATTACAAACTGTTCATTCTTTCTTCGTAGTTCATTGATTGTGAACGGAATTGGTGCTTCAGTAAACTGTATTGATTTCACTTATATATATATATGTATATGTATATGTAAGAATACATTATATATATATATATATATATATGCATGTATATGTACGTATACATGTGTTTTTTTCCAAAGTATTGATTTGAGAGTTAATTTGATTGCATTCTTAAAGCAGTATTTATGGTATTGAAGGATGATATTAATTAAAGGCTTAATTATTATGATTCCTGTGTATTTGGAGGTATAAGTAATATTGGTGGTTGAATAATTAAACATTTTGATGGCATGTTGTGACCTAAGCATAGAGCACTAAAAACTTTGCACATTGTGACTGTAGAATACTATTGTAGTTATGTCTTATAATTAATAAATTTGGCTATAAAAACAATAGTGAAAATTTTCTTAATATGCTATAGTCAGTTATTTTGGTATGTAACAATCACGAAATTGACATGGAATCCATGTTGTTAGAATATAATGATATTCCTTATTTTTGTTATTTTGTACAAGAATTATAAGATCCAATGGATATGCTTTAAATGCTACTATTTGTTACTAAAAAGTTTGAATCACCAAATCTAGTTAACAAATAGGCATTTGGTGTTGTAGCAATTGAACCATTATTTTTTGCTAATGTATGTTGGGTATGAAAGCTATAAAACGATTTGACTTTTTTGTTAATTTAAACAATATTCATGCCATCTTAGTATGTGTTGAATAGCAACCACCAATTATTAAAGAAAAAGACTATATGATATATCTTCCAATTTTTACCAAATAAGTTTATATATATATATATATATATATATATATATATCTTTTCATAAAAATCTACAAGAAAATATAATGGAAAATGATTCAAATTTATTTGAATTGAAAATTTTGTTAATCTAATTTAAATAAGCTATTAACTCCTCTGAGAATAATATTTTTTCTTTAAAGATGCACAACACTATTGACAACAATAGTTACTACTTCATCTATAAAAAGAAAGTTGTATCATTTTCTTTATTTTCATATATATATATATATATATATATATATATATATACACAAATTATTCTTATACACTTGGACATTTGCATGTATAAATTGTTGGCAAAATAGACCAAGATATAGATCAAACCTTAAAAATTATATAGCAACACTGTGTAAGATTTAAAAATAATTATATGACATATCCTTATATGACTCTTAAATGTAATGTCACCAAAATAAACTTAAATAGGCTAATGAAAATTTGAACATAAATATATTTTTTATATTATTATTAAAAATGTAAAATTGGTTGCTATCATAATTAGATAAATAATTCTTTATAAAAAGATAAAATAATATTGATAAATATGAGATACATAAACTTGAGTATATTTTACCAGCATGTGTTGTAATTTTAAGTATAATTGCAGTATTACAAATTTGAGTGCATAGACAACTTTGTTATCAAAATTGAGGGTAAAAAAGTTTTACTTCTTTCCTATATAAAAATACATTTTACATTAGAATTCATAGGTAAAATAAAGTAATAAAAATCTTATCATATTACTATATGATTTCATAAATTAAAAAAATATGTTTTAGAATCATAAAAAATTTACATAAAAGATGTTTGATATGAATTATATGATAAGTGTTGGAATATTAGGATTGTAATTTCAAATACAAAACCTTGGTCTTTGTTTGCATGCAACTTTTTAATAAGTATTATTCAATAATTTTAGATTAGAAGGTTCTTGATTTATTTATTTATTTATATTAATGATTTATAAACATTAATTAAAGAAATGGAGTATTTATGTAATAAATAATTAATTCTTCTAAAGATAAATACAATAACTAATATAACACAATAATTATGAATATAGAAGTTCTAAGTGAAAGAATTTAATGTCATTCCTTCTGGTTTGTTTTAAATAATTTTAACTTAATCCAATATTCCTAGAGTCTTTTAATAAAATAATAATTTTCTTACAAAGATAAGAGTTTAAAAAAATTACAATGCAATCAATTGATAACTTAGATAGCAAATATAATAGCCCTATGTATAAAAATAATATTTTAATTTTTAATGTATTTTTAATCTAAAAAATGAATTCACAATAATTACTTGATATCATTCATAACCAAAATGTAAAAGCAATATATATATTTTTTTACTTTAAAAAATTATAATTTATCAAGAAAATAAAATATTTGTATGTCACTAACATATATAATTACTTAGATAATAAAAGTTAGTTAGAAGGTAAAAGTAGATAGATTTAGTAAAATCTTGTGAAAAAGCTTTTTAGACACTATATAGATGTAGATTTGACTTTACACATATCTATAGGTGATTGGTATGTTGAAAACTTGCTAATAAGTTGGCCATGTGTTGCACATGGGAGAAATTTGTCTTGCAAGTTAAACATGTGTTTTGCAAGTTGGACATGTGTTGGAGGTCCTACAGAATGTTGTCACATAGCTCCTAGTTAGATAGTATATATGGAGGGAAGAATGAAACTTTCTTCACTCTTATCAATGCCTTTTTTTGTTTTTAGTCTTGTCTCAAGAATATCTAATCTTCTTGTCTTTGGCAATAGCCATTTTAATTTATACCATCTTTGAGTGATTATCTATTATTTTCAAGCAATCCAAGGATATATTGACCCTTTGGTCCTTTGGAATTCATGTCCTTAATACCATATTACAATAACTACACTATTTTATTTATGAATAACTAATATTATGTTATTTTATTGAAATTTATTATAGAGCATAAGGAAGGTTGTAGTTGCATTAAATTGCTTTAGATTTGTATAATGTAGAAGCGGAGCAATAGAGCAATGAAAAATAAACACTTGAGATTATAGTTTCAAACAAAATAATATATCTTATTTTATTTTTTATATATTAAAAAATAAAAATCTAAAATATAGTCTTTTGACTTTTAAAATGAAAAATTAAACCATATTATATTTGTTCTATAAATTGTTCTCAATGCTAACTTATTATATCAAAAAATAATATTTTTTTGTTATAATCAAAATATTAAAATATAAGTGGATATGTATTCTTATGTTGTATAAAAAAAATACATATTATATAGAAATAGATTTTAAAGATAAATAAAAAATTATTTAAATTTTATTTAATCAAGATTTTAAAAAAATCTATTTGCTTTTCTTTAATTTTATATTTTTTAAATTTACATACATGGTTTTTATAGTCTATTAATTAAATAAAAATTTAAAAACATTATATGTAATTCTTACTTCATATAATAATCATCATATTTTAAATTTTAGTTACAATTTTAATATCTTTTATGTTTTATATATTTAGATTTATTCTAAAATATTTATTAAATTTATTAAAATATATTATCATTTACTTATCACATTATATTAACTTTCTAGCATTTATTCTTAATTAAAGCTTATGCTAATTCAAAAAAAACATGTATATAAAACATTTTGTATTTTATATGCTCAACTAATATAGTTATATTTCATTAAATGTATAATTTTAAAATATTTTTTCAAGTTTTTTGTTTGTTTGTTTGTTTGTTTGTTTGTTTGTTTGTTTTTTTTTACTTTTATTTATTTATTTATACTTTTGAATTAGTCTTCTAACAACAAAGTGACTTTTATCCAAAATACCCATAGCATCAAAAAATATGCATAAAAAATACCCATAGCATCAAAAAATTGTGAAAAAAGATATTAATAATAACTTGTATTTTATTATTCTTCAATGATTTAAAAGCATGGTGTGTGTGTTTGTTTTTGTTTTGTTTTGTTTTTTTTTGTTTTTTTTTTTTCCATCCTATTTTTCACAGTTAAACAACAGTTTAACACTCTGAAAGATGTTTCAATTAGAATTTAAACAAAATCTGTTAGATCAAATAATTAATATTATGTGCCTTAAATAGTAAAATTTGTCTGCTCATATTGTTATTTTCATGTAGTGAAATTTTATTTCTTTCTAAGCTTCGACACCATACAACAAATATGCAAAATTCTTATTGTTAGCATTAAGTTTTTATATATTTTTTAATGTGTACTTTTTTAACACCACTTTTTCAAATATATATATATATTTGATTATATCAATGTCTAAATTGAACAACTAAAATCTGTAAATAATTATTCTCTTTTTCATTCTTTTGTAAAATATGTAATAGTGACATGGAATATTATAATCCAAAAAATATTTTTCAAACGTCATAAATTATAACACTTCATATAAACATGTGATCTTTTAAACTCTTTCATCTCCAATTGTAAATTTATAAATATTCTAATTACAAAGAAATTCAATCAAAGTACATTATGCTTGGAAATACTTATTGATTAAAAAAAAAAACTTAGTGAAGTATCCCCCTTCAACACCGCTCGAGAGGCACCATCACGCTGAATACCATACTAAGCCCTAAACCCTTGACGTGGTACAAACTCATATTCACTATCACCCAACCATAAAGGTGGATAATAAGCATCGGTTCTGAGAGGAATCAGAACGCAAAGCTACTACTACTACACTCACCGACAGTTGCTTGGGTGCGGTGCCGAAGTCAACGAGGGTGGCGATTGTGCACCGTGGACTCATGCAAATGCAAATGCAACGCAATGCAATTTGCAACGCAGTGCCAACAAGCACAACGATGGGGATGATGAGGGAGAGGGAGAGGGAGAGGCAAGCAAGCATGCACACCTGCTGCAGTGGTGATAAGGAAAATGGAGCTTGCAGCAGGCGAGATTCATGCTTGTCGTGGTGGTGGCGGTGGTTGAATTTTAGGGTTGGGTTTTGTCGTGTTGCTGATGTTGACTGCAACAGCATCATGGGCCTTTTTCTCCGACCACCCATGTGAGATGAGGTGACTTTGCGAGTGGGTGGCTCGTCCGCAGTGGCAGAGGAGCATCGGACAAGAATGCCCGCTGTTAGCTACACCCCTTGTTAACAACTTCATCACCATCTTGCTCACAGAATGGTGGTGTTGTTGCTCCGGAGCTAACTTAGTTGGAGCAATGTGCTAAAGGACGAGATCTACGGAATCTCGTGGCGAAGTCAGTTGTTCGGCAACTGGTCCAAGTCCAGGGACTCTAGCCTTCGAACGTCACCAGTGACGCGCTAATCCGAAGAGGCGGCGTGCGGATTTTCCCAAATTGGAAAAGAGGACCAGAAAAGTAGAGGAAAAAAGTTTCGGAAGCCGAGAGCGTGTGTTGCGTTCTCTCTCTTGTTCGCCTGCCCCCGGTTTTTCTTTGGCTAAGGTGGAACGACGCTCTTCAGTGGGGTTTGATGTAGTTGGTGCCTGCTTGTCGATAGATCGTGAAGCTTGCTTTGTCTTGAATTGGCTTGTTGTCCTGGCTTGAACCATCATGTGCCGAGATCAAGGGAAGGGTAACTTCCGCTGGCCTTTGTGAGATCCCTGTGCCCCACTTAGCTCCTTTTGCCCTAGTTCTACGTCTATAGTTTCTGTCTGTGTGATCGTCCTTGTTTTGGAATTCGGGTCATTCTTTCTCTGTTTCCAGTTGCTGGTCTTTTCCAGGAGGGAGGGGGGAGAGGGGAAATTCGAGAACGGAATGCTGGACTCATGGTAAGGCGTCTAGTTGGGGTGTGAATTTGAAGGTGTGGCCGGAGATTCGGATTTTGAAGCTGGATGCGAATGTGGGGGAATTTTAGTTTGGTCGAGGGGATTAGTTTTGAATAGTTCGAGTGGGTTTGGACACGTGACGAGTGGTAGGAAGTGGCGTAAGGAACATGGCATCTTTTTGCGGATGGGAGGGTTAGCTTTGGTTTGTGGGTTGGAAGGGAATGGCAAGCACTGGGCATCCAACTGATCGAGGGTGTGAGAGTGAGGAGGCATACGTCGGTTGATGCATTCTGCAGTCGGTGGGGAACTTACGAGCATAATGATGCAGTAAGTGACTTACAAGGGCGAAAGAGGGGAGTGGTGGGGTGGATCTACTGAAGGCAACGCTGAGGCTGAGACTGAGGCCTTGGTGAGTGGCACAAGATGGGAGGTTGTTGTTCTAAGAGCTCAGTTGTCGAACAAAGGCCACAAGCTCCTCATAGAACAGAGGCCAATGGCAAAGAGAAGGAGGCCGCATATCAGAACAAGGGGAGAGACCTGCCAGTGAAAGTAGGGGGCGACCCGCCAGAGAAGAAGGAGCGAGATTCTCCAGAGCACAAGGGGAGAGACCTGGTAGAGAACACGCAGGGAAGCCCTCCAGAGAAGAAAGCAAGAGAAACGCCAGATAAACAGGTAGGGGCCACGAAGAGGCCAATCCCAGAGCGCAAGCAATCTAGGATCTCAGCTGCGAATCTGAAAGATAACCAAAGTCATTCACAACCACTTGGGAAACGGACTAACTTTGGCTATGAGAGAGACTTCAAGGAGAAATACTCGCTCGGAAAGCTCCTTGGTCATGGACAGTTCGGTTACACTTATGTTGCCACTGAAAAAGCCACTGGTAACAAGGTTGCTGCCAAGTGTATAGAGAAAAAACAGGTACATGATTTGTTGTATTGTGTTGTTCTTGTTTGAGAGAGCTCTGCTTTTCATGAATTGGGGATAGTTTATGCTTGATCTTGATATTTGATTTCTTTCGGTTGACCATGAAACAAACTTGGTCGCCGTTTTAAAACTTGCATACTTAATAACGAATGTGGTATTGGGTCGATGACTGATGTTTTTAAGATAACAGCTCAGGATATTTGTCGGTAAGCTTCCAGTTGGTCGTTTTTATGTAGCCATCGAGTCGGTTCTTTCTACCTTTACAGTATTGAAGTGTCAAGGACCAAGTGTTTAGATAATCTCAAATGTGGCATTTCTTTTGCTTGTTAATGCAGATGAAACTTCCAATTTCTGTGGAAGATGTGAAGCGAGAAGTGAAGATCTTACGCACTTTGTCTGGACACGAGAACGTCGTGCAATTCTTTGCAGCCTTTGAAGATGACGATCTAGTTTACATTGTTATGGAGTGAGTATTCAGTATTTCTGACCCAACTGCCTATAGTACAATAGTCGAGGTGTGGTGTGGTTAGGACGTGTCTAAAAGGTTATAAATGTACATGTTGTGAAGCTACACAGCACTCAATAATCATTGTGGTAGATTACTGCTCAAGCCAGGGTAGCGTTCGTGACAAAATTCCTTGCCTAGTTACTTTTTTCCCACATGACCTTGGCAGATGCGCCGTATCCCAGGGTATTTCTTGGTCGTCTGTTCTGATCAGGCTTGTTATCGATCGGCTTTCTGTTTCCTTACTGAGAGTGGTACACTTGATCTCCATGAAGCGTTCTTCATGCTGATGTTGCTGAGATTCATTACTTGTTCAGATTATGCGAAGGTGGAGAACTTCTTGATCGAATCCTTGCCAAGTAAGTTAAAATTCATGCGCAAAGTAAGGAATATACTATCTTGTGTTGTCAACCAAAGGTTTTCAAGAAGGTTTCAAGAAATTAACAACCAAATTTTTAAGGAGTATCAAGGTCAGGTAATCCTGCGTTGAGTGTGGAAATGGACTTTAAAGCCTTTGAACACCAGTAGCGCTATGTAGAGTAATAAGATACTCCGTGGACATGTCGTCTTTGTTTTACGTCTTGCCAGCTTTTTTGTAATTCAGGAAGTTCGTCTTAACTTTCATGAGACTCTATATCTGTTGATGAACACATTTTTCTGAACCTACTCCGTTTGTTATAAACCTTTCCATAGGAAGGACACCCGGTATTCAGAAAAGGATGCTGCGAAAATAGTGAGGCAGATGCTTAATGTTGCTGCACGGTGTCATCTGAATGGTGTTGTTCATCGCGATATGAAACCAGAGGTAATTGATATGCTTAGGGATTGCACTTATTTGTAACCTTCGCTCTTGGATAAGTGATGTTATATTGTGGTTTTTAATTTGTTGGAACCGCTTGAATTTACTGACAGCGAATCACCTATTTTTATGAATGCGGCCATGCAGAATTTTTTGTTCAAATCTTCGAAAGACGACTCACCACTGAAAGCAACCGATTTTGGATTATCTGATTATATCAAGCCAGGTACGCACGTCGATAAAGTCTGGAGAGTTTTTGAACAAAAACTTGTTGACTATGGCATTGCAGTAGCTATCTTCTTAGACGATGCCTCTACTACTTTTTTAAAGTACCTGAAGCATTACTTCACTCAAGCTGGTAATTATTGAATGACGTATTTGTCGTGATCAAGAAGATTTCTAACCTTCATAGTTTCACTTTCAGAGGATTCTGACCCTCTCTTTTAACCATGCCATGATGATAGGTAAGCGGTTTCGTGATGTCGTGGGAAGCGCTTATTACGTGGCTCCAGAGGTCTTAAACAGGAAATCTGGTCCTGAATCAGATGTGTGGAGTATCGGAGTCATCACCTACATTTTGTTGTGTGGAAGGCGTCCTTTCTGGGACAAGACGGAAGCTGGCATATTCAACGAGGTAATTGCAGAAGGTGATGTGTTGGACTAGAGCAGATAGTGTTCCATGTGGCTATGGCATGACTCGCTGCTACCTATAAAGCACACCCCCTTGATACCGAGTCTTGTCTAAGGATGGTGTACTTGTACTACAACGCTATAAAACGCATGCATGTCTTCATTTCTTTTCATCGGATTGGAGCAGGTTTTGAAGAAGAAACCAGATTTCCGCGAAAAGCCATGGCCATCAATTACCGCTAGCGCTCAGGATTTTGTGAAGAAATTGTTGAGAAAGGATCCACATATGAGGCTAACAGCCGCTCAAGCCTTGTGTACGCTTCATTCATTTTTTTAATGCTGATTTGCGTTTTCCATGCCAAATATTATCTAACATGCTCGTGGACAGTGGAGCTTACTGTCTTAAAACTAATCTGTAACACAAGTGAATGAACAAGAGTGCTTATTGTGGGTGCAGCGCATCCATGGGTAAAGGAAGGGGGTGATGCTTCCGACATGCCTCTAGATATTTCGGTACTCTCAAATATGCGAGAATTTGTGAAATATTCACGTCTGAAGCAGTTGGCTTTAAGGGTAATGCCTTTCCTTTCTGAATCGGCATTAAACCTACGCCTTAAGATGTCTTTTTCTGGAGGAGTTTCTACTGGCATCTGTAGCATCTTTGTATATGTAATCTTTTTAGTTGTCCTCTTCACCAGTATCATCATGCTTTATGCATTCTGGTTCGCAGGCACTCGCGAGTACTCTGGAATCGGACGAGATTAGGGACTTGCGTGATCAGTTTGATGCAATGGATGTCGATAGGAATGGTACCATCACCCTGGAAGAAATCAAACATGTACGACGGAGCAATTTGGTTTCTTTTATTCAAGACACTGAACTCCATTGTCCAGCCTTGATTAGTTATGTTAGTGCCGGTTGCATTTGTAAATTCTGGTTTTTCATTCTAGTGATGTTTTACTCCTGGTTTTTTGGGCAGGCTCTTCAGAAGGATAGGCCATGGGCAGTGAAGGAATCCCGGGTGTTAGAGATTCTCCAAGCGGTAAGAGTGCTGGTGCAACTTTTTCGTATCATTCGTGGGGGTTGCTATTATTATAAAATTGGCTTTGGCAGGCGACCAGCTTATTTCATAGTGGCATGATTTTGAATCTGCAGATGGATAGCAATGCCGATGGGATGATAGACTTCGATGAGTTTGTTGCAGCAACCCTCCATGTTCATCAACTTGAGCAGGCCAACAGTGCAAAATGGCAGCAGCGATCTAAAGCTGCATTTTCTAAGTTTGATGTAGATGGTGACGGGTTCATCACAGCTGAGGAGCTTAAGATTGTAAGTACAAAGACCTTCTTTTATGTGGCTATCCTTGGCACCTGCTGCTCAGAGCTCTAAGTATTTGCGCATCTTCACCTGTTCTCATGATATCTCTTCCCCGAAAAATATGCAGGCAACAGGTCTCAAGGGATCAGTAGGGACGTTATTAGAGGAAGCTGATTCGGATAAAGATGGGCGCATAAGTCTTTCCGAGTTTCAGAAGCTGCTACATCAAGCCAGCTTTGGATCTCGGACAAACACTGACCACAACCGTCAACGCACATGATCGTCTTCAATATGGGAACCAACCACCAATTTGAAGCATATCACCAGGCTTGCTTTTAGTCACCAACTCAGCAAGGGATTGAGATGACGCATCCTTTCTTGCGTAACAGAACGTTGGAATAGAGTTTGAGAAAGGTTCCTTATGCCGGTCTTTTCACTGCCTGCTTACTTAACCAGGCAAGATGTGGTCTTGAGTGATTTAGATTATTTGCATGGAGCGAATAAGTCGGATCCATTCGAAGCAAGTTTCAGCTTGTGTAATAGGCATACTCCTGTAAAATAGGCGAAAGCCATCTATTTATGACCCAGCGTGAGTGGAAATTGCTGAGGGATTCGGGCCAGGGTTTTTCTTAATAAAGGATTTTTAATACATCAGCTACACTTATTATTAAAGCTGTGGGATGTGTCTCTCCGCTCCGAAACTGCCAGCCTGTGTTCTTTAGAAACTTTCTCACAAGTTGCAACATTGTTGAGTAAACTGTCCAGTGTCAGAACATCTGTGTCGGTATACGTTTCGGAGCTTGGTTTCGGGGATCCGAAGCTTATAAAACGATTTGAGGATCGGCTGTCTGGTAGCAGTAAATTCAATCAGGATCTACTGTTGCGTTGATTCGACTTCACCACTATCGATTTGTATACGTTGGCTGCCATAGGAGGCCGCACAAGTGCCATACTAGAATCCCATACAGAGCTTGTAGCTTCCAGACGTCAACCAGTCAATTGTGGATGTGGGTGGTTGAGTAAAATATCATGGGGCTATTTAGAAACAATCCCTATGCTAGGGAACTGAGGGAGATGAACTTTTGAACTTGATAATCATCTGCATAAACACTAAAAACGTGTTTGAAATTTATCAACATCCTTGCATAGGTTGGTAGCCTAAGTGAATAGTTGTTGTTGGGTTTGTGGTGTGTTCGACACACATGAAAAAGAAGGATATAAAGTTTTCTAATGTTTGCGTCACATTATCAATAGCAGACCAATGCTAGCCAAGGTCAAACTTGTAACTTTGTAGTTGGTTTGAGTTGTCCTTACTGAGAGTTCCAATCTTTTCACTACATGACAACGCATTAAAATTAAAATTAAAGAGTTTTACTCTATTCCAGGTTTAGTCCCGAGCCCATTGTTTGTTGCTTGTTTAAGTAGATAAGTAGAGGACAAGGGTTGAATATTTGAGCCTTGTGGAAAATTCATTGGGAGAAAATTATTACTAGGGTTTAGTTTGTGTAATAGAGAAAATAATAATAATAATAATAATAAATTAACATGGATTGATTTCTAAGAAAAAAATATATATCGTTTTGAAAAGGATACAGAAATTACATGTGTTATACTTGTTAATCATGTTATGTACTAGTACGTCTAATGTTTTAATTGAAAAGTAAGATACATACATTGAAAATAATGCACACGTTGTTGTATGTATTAAATAAATAAATAAATAAAAAGTAATATGATCACTCTATAAAACATAACTATTACAGTAAATTTTAATAAGTAAATTTTATATTTTTAAATATCATTATAACATAGAATAAAAACCACTATGTAAGATTTTGACTCAGAAGCTGTATTTTGTGTTTTTATGAAAATTAAATTATTTATCAAATCTTTCAACTTTTGAGTTCACTTTTAGTACTCAGTTCATCTAATTCACAATATTTTGTAGCCAATTTTTTTAAAAAACAAAATTAGATTTTTGGAAGTCCAAAATCATAGTTTAAAGAAAGAAATTCAGCATTTTTGATATTCTGACCTTAATTGTTACAAAGTTTCTATTGAATTTGTTAATTAAAAGGCATTACTATTAATTGATTTATTTTTATTTTTTTGATTCTGTTTTCTGTAATACCAAAAATTTGCCAATAGAATTCCTTGCAATGTTAAATAATTGGTTGTTGAAATTTATGTGAGATCAACAAGTATGTCTTAAATACCAATGAGTATTATAATTGTATTATCATGGTTTAAAATTAAAATTTACGGAATTTATAAAGAAATATTAAAAAACTTATATCTCAGCTACATTATCTAAAAGTTTTTAAAGAGAAGAAATGGAAAAAAGTTGGTTAGAAATTGAGGCATCTCACAAGTGAAATTGGATTTTTTAAAAAATATTTTTTTGATTAGATTTTGATGTCTACTTTTTCATCAATCAAATTTTATTCTAAACTATCTAATCTTAAAAAGATAAAGGGATTTTTTTGGTAGATCTACTTTAAGTAGCAAATTTTATTTTAAAATTCTAAAGTTGAGTTGAATGAATCATATGTGTTTGTGTCTATATGTATATATATATATATATATATATATATTAAACTACCAAAATAAGTAACTTGTTCACTAATAATTTAGAGAAATTTGTATTATTTAAAATATAAAAATTTTTAAATTTTAAATATTTTAAATTAAGAATATATGACATATCTTGATTTTTTAAAAAAATTATGTTCATAAAAATGTGTATAAATTTTTATTATATATTTTTCTAATCTTTTGATATTAATTATAGTTTTTATGCATTTTCAACTCATACAACAAAATAATTTGAACGTATAAATTCTAAAATATTTAATTTATATGTATATTTAAGTACAATATTTTAAAAATTAAACAACTTTGATTCAAAATATAGTTACAAAAAGAAAAAATATAATAATAATATGTAATTTTACATTGATTTACATTGAATTAAAAAAAAAAAAAAAAAAAAAAAAAAAAAAAAAACACACACACACACACACACACATGCACACATTGTTACAAAAATAAATAAATAAATAAAATATCTTTATACACATCATAACATCTTTTAAAATTCATTCACACCTTTTTATGTTATACTTTGTTTTTTCTGCAAAACATTGTGTGTTTTTCAATAAGACATTAATGTGTGAAAATATTATATATATATATATATATATATATATATATATACATTTATATACATACATATAAATAAATGTATTTACATAAAGGTTAATATACAATATGATATATAAGAATCACATACTTTGAATGCACAATTTTAAAATTATGTTGTGAGGTACAAAAACAACTTGAGGGAAGTTATGAATTGAGAATGATCATGGCATAAGTAGGATTAAGCGTATTGAGGTGGGTTAATATTTATTAAAACCAATTCAAAAATTTAAAGAGAAGATAATGAGGTAGATTGTTGTTATTTTATTTTATTTTATTTATTTATTTATTTTAATTTTAATCTCTATTCAAATGAATATTATTGTTTTGTACAATTCCCATTGGATCCATCCCAAGAAATAATATTTAGAAAAAATCCAAACAAATATGTTATAATTCTAAATTAATCATTATATATATATATATATATATATGTTATGATTTTCATGATTTTTAGAATTAAGACATGAGCTAATATATTCAAATTTGAAATACAAAAATGATTTGGTCCATTTTACAACCTCTTCTTCCTTAATACTATATTCACAAGCCTAGGCTGTATGCAAAAGAGAATTATTTATTTACTAATCGAATAATTTTTGGTAAAGTTGTTTAAACCTTGGTTGTTTAAAATGGATTTTTTAGAGGCAAAAAGACCCTTGATAATATGCTCTTCCACGAAGAGTTACTTGGTCACCTCTAACATTTTTCATATTCAACAACACGTCAGCGAATTCATTTAATTTACGAGATACACACGAAATGCCCCCTCGCAAGCAAACAAACAAAATCCAAATTAATCCGAACGTAATTTTTGCGTTTAACGATAAATTAAAAGGCACAAAGGCAAACTGGGAATTCACTTACGTTCGTGTTGCGGAGCAGAGGGCCGGGTGGTAGCTGGAGCGGGTTCAATGAGGGGCCGGCGATCGCGATGCAGGCCGGGTGACCCGTGATTGATGAGCAGGAGAAGTAGTGCGGCCCGGCCATGGCGAAGGCTCTCTCTCTCGCTCTCTGTTTTTGCGCAGCACCTGCATTAGGGTTTGCTATTGTGTCCGCCATAGCCACTGGCCCTTGCTCTGCCCTGAGCTTCCATGGTGTCTCTCAAGTTGCAGAAGCGGCTCGCCGCTTCTGTGCTCAAATGCGGGGAACGGAAAGTATGGCTGGACCCGAATGAAGTGAACGAGATTTCTATGGCGAACAGCCGACAGAACATTCGCAAGCTTGTCAAAGATGGGTTTGTAATTAGGAAGCCTCAGAAGATTCATTCGCGGGCTCGCGCTCGTCGCGCTTTGGAGGCCAAGAGGAAGGGACGGCACTCTGGTTACGGAAAGCGTCGTGGTACCCGCGAGGCTCGGCTTCCTACCAAGGTTTAGCTTGCTTGCTTGCTCGTTAGTCTTTTTGGTTTTTCGTTTCTGTGTGATGAATACTCGTTTTTAGTTTTTTATTTTTTTATTCACTCTTTCTTCTGTATTCTCTCTTGCGGCTGTTTATGCATTTAGGGAATTTCGATGCTGCACCTAGGTAGGTGTTGGTTTCGGGCATTGCGCATGATGTTTAGGGCCATCCGGTGTTTTCTTAGTTGGTCTAGGTTGAATTCTTTTCCACAACTAGTTTGTATTCTTTTTATTGCTCTGTTTGGTTTGTTACGGAATTGTGTACATTATTGCAAACTTTAGTTAAGAACATTTTGTTTCGTGCCACTGCCTTTTTAGAAAGTTTCAGACATTGCTTTTGTTACATGCGTGTGATTCCCTCCAGCCACACACCGACATCGCACTCTACGAGCTGTTGTTGCTTTCAGCTTGCGCCCCCTTTAATAGCTTTAGGCATGGACAGTACTCGATGCTTGTAACGCTGTTTTTGAAATTCCAAATGATTCAAAAATAATAATTCCCTGGCTGTGTAGGTATTGTGGTTGCGGCGCATGCGAGTGCTGAGGCGGCTCCTCCGCAAGTACCGCGACGCCAAGAAGATCGACAAGCACATGTACCACGACATGTACATGAAGGTGAAGGGTAATGTGTTCAAGAATAAGAGGGTGTTGATGGAGAGTATTCACAAGACGAAGGCGGAGAAGGCGCGTGAGAAGACTCTCTCCGACCAGTTCGAGGCCAGGCGTGCGAAGAACAAGGCCATTCGGGAGCGCAAAATTGCGAGGAGGGAAGAGCGTCAGGCGCAAGGAATCCCCGAGGCTGCTCCTGCGCAGGCCACTGAAGCCTCAGTTAGTGTTGCCGCGGTGAAGAAATCTAAGAAGTGAATTGTATCATCTTAATTCTTTTTTCTATCAGGATCCGTTTTGATTCAACTGAAGTTGAGGGTATTTCTTGCGTACCTCTGTTTTTGTTTACACAGTTTCTCTTTTGCCATGTATGTGCTCTTTTAATTGTTTGTGCTGGTTATTTCACTAGATATTTGTATGTTTAGTGTGGGAGACTATTTTTTCCAAATCCTTTTCCCCCGTCATCAGTCCTTTCCTCTCTCTTATTGTTCCTTCCTTATATCTACTTAAGTGTCTAAAGAAATTACACGTAGTTGTAGTAACTTTGCTTTCAAATATAGTTGAGGAATATTCCTTAAATGCATTTCAATCACCAATTAGCAATGGCCGTTTCTCATTTGTTTTTTTTTTTTATCGGTAGATTGTGTAAAAAAAAGTCTGGATCAAAGATTGATTGTGTATCTAATCATTGATTCTAAATTTGATTAAATCTTAGATAATGAAGTAAGAGCTTAATCCTTCTAATTCATGAATGAATTCTAATCAAATGGTTGATTTTCTTAATTTTAAATGTAAAAGTTAGCTTGAACACAGATCAACTTATTCAAACCACATATTTAAATCTTGAAATTTAAGATTTCAAACTAGAAACCCATGTTTAAAATCAATAAACTTAATTCTTACAGAAAAATATATACTTACTCTACTCTTAATTAAATTCTGAACTGATAATCTTAGCATCTATTCAGGCTTTAATTCAAGATTATTTTGATTTAAGAATTTTAGTTAACGATTTTAAAGAAATAGTTTCTAATATAAGAAGTAAAAACAAAACAAAAGTTACAACAAAATAACATAAACTTGCTCTTGGTAATTTACTTTAAAAATGCTGCTGAATATTAATTCTAGATAATATCATCATAGTGCAAATTTCATGTGTAATTGCTTGGTACGTACTACCTTAAGGTGACGTTGAATGTATCAAATAGATCAATGATTCTTTTAAGACTTGGCTTGATTTGGAACATTTGTGTCAAACTAAGACAGTAGTTAAAATATTGACTCTTTAAAACAAACAGCATAATGCATACATAAGAATTAAATTAAAAAATTAAAAAATTAAAAATAATTTGAATGGTTATTAATTCACACAACTCAGCTATTGTGTGTATAAGAAATTTTGAAAGTCAATATTGAAAATTTTGAAGTAAGAATCTTGTGACTTTGGCAATTATGCATTGACAAAGTCCAATATGATTCCCAGGATTCTTACTTTGCTAATTATTTTACATTTTTATTCAATCAAATTTAAATGATAAACAGATAAATGAAAATTTATTTTTTAATGATTAATTTAATTATTTTTTTATTTGACAGAAAATAATCTAAAAAGAAGAGGTTGATTCAGTCAAGAAATAAATAATCATGAAAATAAGAAGTGTTGAAAGAATTAGCTACAAAAATAAGAGAAGATATTTAATTGTACAAAGATCGTATTGTAGTTATAGTTATATTGTATAAGAATTGTAGGAATGATAAAGTAATATGCAATTATTGTGATTAGACTAGCTAATATGTCCAAGCTTCTAAGGCCTTTGAATCTCTTTTTTACAACTTTTTCAACAATTTCTAAAGACCAACATCATAGTTGGGTATTTTAAAAGAATTTAGAAGACATTTATTTAAAGTCTAATTTTTTTTTAAATCATTAGAAAAAACTAAAATTAATTTATTTAGCTAATTATGAAATTGAAGAAATCTTAGCTAAATAAAAAAAATGATAAATAATAGGTACTAAATTTTGGTACATTCAAAAACTAGTAAAATTATCATTTGATCATAATTTCTTTATTTTAATGCAAGAAACCATCAATTTTCATCAATTCAATGATAAATAAAGACAAGAGAAGGAAATAAGTGTGCTCTGGACCTTAAATAGAAATTTATTCTGTACTATTAATATAATTTTTTCCAATAATCTTCTGGTTTTTTTCAAAACCTAATTGTGCAATTGTAACTATTAAAAAATCACATATAATTATAATAATATGCTATTGTGAAAACAAATGTGGGCTGTAGGAATTGCTTAGCTTAGCAAAGAACATTCATGCTCACTACTAGGAACTTATTTAAAAGCTTAGTAATGCACATGCTTATATTCTTTACTTATTTTTATCATTAGAAGTCTATAAATGATATTCTTTAATTAAAAAATATATTTCTATCTTTGTAGCCAATGTTTCTAAATTTTTAATTTAAATAAAATAAAATTTTATTGACAGATGATATACTTGCTTTAGATACAACACTTATTTTTATTTATCTACCTTAAGTTAAAATACTCTTAGTATTCTAAAACTATTTTGATTTTAAAACATTTGTGAACCATGTTGAAATACTAAATAAGTTTAAAATATTATTTTGGAAGAGAAAAAAAAAACCAAAAACAAAAAGCCTTGCTTCTAAAATTGTTTCAATTTTACACTTGGATTTTTATGATCATATATCTACATAGTGCAAAGAAAGAAAAACCATTTCCTCGCCTTTGTTATTATCATATCTTATAAAAAGATGGACATATTTTCTTATTTCTAAATTAAACTTTTAAAAACTTCTAAATATTAAAAAATAAAATTACATATAATACAAGAAATAAAATACAAATGTTAAGTAACAATAATATAAAATATAAATTATAAAAAATTTAAGGTTTTTGTTGAAAATTTTAAAAATAAAAAATAAAAAATAACTACTCATTGTTTTTTCATTCCTAAATGGTATCTCAAAACATAGATGATAAATTAAAAATAAAAATAAAAATCAATTCAAATTTCATTTCCTGGTAGTTTAGAAAAAATTAAAAATCGAAAAACATAATTCAGTTATAGTCAAATGGCCTATCTACAAAATCAATTGATTAAACTTTGTCAAATACTTATAGTAAAGAATATTTACAAGACTTTGCAATCTCTAATAGTAACTATGAGCATCTATCTCAAACACCAATATATTCATGTTGGTACTTGTTTTTATATCCTTGTATGTTTTAAAAACATTTAGTTTTTCTTACTAAATTTACTAACACTCACAAATAATTTCTTTAAAGAATGGCCTACTACATATTTTTTTACAAAGAGTTCTTAGTTTAGCAAAAGTTCAAGTCTATAGATTAATTCAATGATGTAGAATATAAGTTGTGGCAAGATACACAAAACAAAAAAATAACCTTGAGTTTATTTTTTTATTTCTATTTTTATTTATTTTTTTCATATTTGCAAGTAGAACACAATTAGTATTTGAGTAGCTATTATTGTTTGTTAAAGCTGGCACTTGCTATATATAGATATAAAAATCGTTTTTATCTATGGTAATTCTTTAAAATAAAAACAGTAATAAAACATAACATATACCAAGTAATCATACCATTTCGAAGCACTACAAAATGAACATATTATTTTTTATTTTTCAAAAATAAATATATGGCATGATATAAGTCCTACAAAATTAGTAAAAATATCAATAATTATCCCAAATAACGAATTTACTCTAAAAAGGAGTTATTCATAATCTATATGTGATTAAAAAATAAATATAAGAATTCTTATTTTATATATTAATGGTCTTATGTTCATTAGTAACAATAACAATCAAATCTTTTAATTTAAGCTTTAGTTCAAAAATTATTTTGAGATATTTGAACTTACAAAAGAGAATGTTATTATGTATCTCAAAGCCAAATTAATATACATCCTAGAAGACACTTTTATGACCCAAAAAAGCAATGTCTAAAAAAATTATAGATTTTTTTGGTCAACCAAGTTGCCATTTAATATCTACTCTAATTGGTAGAGAAATCAAAGGGATGTATGGATATGCAACAAGATTGTATTGATCCTATGTTTTATCAATCTATAGTGCAAAAGTTCATCCATAAAATTCCAAGAATCTCTAACATTACATATTTGGTGATCAATATAATTTAATTTATAAAAAGACCTCAACTTTTGTAGGCACAAAGTAGAATGGTTAATATTTAATGGTCATCATAGAATTATTAAAACACTTTAAAACTTTAAAATAAATAGAATCTTTCACATCCAAATTCAAACTTCTAAACCAACTTAAATGACTAAATTCAAAATATTACTTCTTTAAAGCTTGTACATGTATTACTACTAGCTAATTACAAAGAATCAAGATTAGAATTCAAGATAAATTTTGTTAGTTGGGATTTGATTACTATTATTGTTGCTAATTTAAAAACTTCTTAATCTAATTGTTCATTTATAATCTATCTAGTCTTCAATTTTAAAATTATTTTCAATCAAACTAACAACTAGTATACAAATTAGAACATAAAATAAAACAAGAATTAAAATAGTAATAATGAAAAATATATATACACCACTACAATATGAACATAATATTGTACGTAAGAGACTACAAAAATGCATAAATATATAGACTCCACAATGTTTTTCAAGAATACAAACAACATGCCTCAACAAAGCCACACTTTCAAAACATGTAAAATGCCACGGAGTATTTGTACTAATGCCACGTTCAATTTTACATAGGTCATACTGAATTGGACAGCCGTTCCGTGAAAGAAAAATGCTTCAAATTCATTGACCTAGTAGACGCATTTTTTTCAGTTTCTGAGAGTGGATTGTGGATCTGTTGCTGCTGCTTCTGGTAGCTTTGTGGACAATTCGAACCAAAACTGCCATCTTGTCTACTACCCACAACCTACAATTGTCGATGCTCTCAAGGCAACCCTTTACAGTAATTGCGACCCATCTCTGCTGATTCACTATCTCGGCAAAGTAAAAAATTGACAGATTCGTGTGCAATGAGGTCTCCGAGAAAATCTAATCTGAGGCACATGGGCCTGTGTTTGGGGTGGAATCGGAGCGGCAGCACTGAGACCCCACACTTCACAGTAAAACCCCGTCCAAGGCGGTGGCTCGATAATGACCAAATTTAGCACATTCATGTCGCAATTTAGATACTCGGATGTCATATTCTGATGAAAGTCAGGATGAAGGAAATGAGGGAGAGATGAGGGGTTGCCGTGGCGGACAAGGGGCAGTCAACAGCGTGGCCACGAAGGAATCCCACAATCGCAACGCCCTGCTTTGCTTTTGCTCAACTGATACATTAGGGCGGTGGATACCGTAAAGAAGCCCTCTTTGGAGTTTGTTTGCTAGGGTTTATTTCTCGGTAACCCTCTCTCTTCGTCGATCCAGCTCAGTGTGCAAAGCAGCTATGGTGTCCCTCAAGCTGCAGAAGCGGCTTGCTGCTTCTGTTCTCAAATGCGGAGAACGGAAAGTATGGCTGGACCCCAATGAAGTCAATGAGATTTCTATGGCGAACAGCCGGCAAAACATTCGGAAGCTGGTGAAGGATGGGTTCGTAATCAGGAAGCCGCAGAAGATTCACTCGCGGGCTCGCGCTCGTCGTGCTCTGGTGGCTAAACGGAAGGGTCGTCACACTGGATATGGAAAGCGCCATGGTACCAGGGAGGCTAGGCTTCCGACCAAGGTAAGCCACTTGTAACTGTTGTGTGCTTTACGAGGTTCATGCTACAGGTGAGCACTGCTTTGTTTGTGACGAAGCCAAGGGAATGAAATGAGCACAACGTTTGTGTTTAGTGGTAGCGAAGAGAATGCTGCTGTCCAGCAGATAGTTATCTATCATGTTAATAATGTTTGCGAGTCCAATCCCTTTGCTTATGTTTGCACACCAGTACAATTGTCATGAACACAGTGAGTTTCAACCTCGGAGCTCCTTGTGAATGTTTCATAGTATAGTAGAGCCATCGAAAGCAGCAGCATCGGCTCGTTTGTCACGATTTAATCCTCACCCCAAGTTCTCGACATGTGCCACATCTTGTCACCGCCAAGCTCATTCCGATTGTGGGGACGTAGGTGTTGTGGTTGCGGCGCATGCGAGTGCTGAGGCGGCTCCTCCGCAAGTACCGCGACGCCAAGAAGATCGACAAGCACATGTACCACGACATGTACATGAAGGTGAAGGGTAATGTGTTCAAGAATAAGAGGGTGTTGATGGAGAGTATTCACAAGACGAAGGCGGAGAAGGCGCGTGAGAAGACTCTCTCCGACCAGTTCGAGGCCAGGCGTGCGAAGAACAAGGCCATTCGGGAGCGCAAAATTGCGAGGAGGGAAGAGCGTCAGGCGCAAGGAATTCCCGAGGCTGCTCCTGCTTAGACTCCAGATTAGCGGTGCCGCAGTCGAACAGTCGAAGCAGTAGCTCGTGCTTCCCATGATCTTGTATATATGCAGTCTCTCGTCGTTTACATGTACAAAAAGGTCATCTCAGACCTTTCTCTCGCTCTTACACCGTGTCTCGATCTATGATTTCAAAGCCTCTTCTGATGGCGGGTTTGCGTGCTTGCTGGGGTATGTTATCACGTCTCCGATCTCCATTGTGTACTTGTTGCTGGTTCTTCGAAGCCCATTTGACTGACATGCACGCATCTTCCGATTGCTACTCGGATTCAGAACTCCGTTTCTGCTGCAAACCTGGCATTCTTCTGATGTCAACAACCATTCCGTGCTTTCTTCTGTCCATGCAACTTTCAATGCACCATAAACCCCACTTTTTAGAAGAATGAAACATACAAGGCTTGAACCTCGCCGTTGCTGAATTCCTTTCGATTGCGTCGCCACAGCAGCGTTTTTGCCTTCGGAAGGATGGGTGCCGTGTTGCTCGAACAGCTTTGCGGCGCCGTGAATTGTCCATAACATAAAACCTGCAGCACTGATTTAGTCTTTCAAAGCCGGAAAATTCGATAACTCCACCGTGTTCACCAGCTGTGATACCGACAGCCGAAATGCGGTGTCGGTAAGCTGCCTTGCATGATCAGCAACCGTAATTATCTGGTTTCTTTGATGATGCATGAATAAGGCGATCTGATTAACTTTGAGGTCTCTCGTTCCTTTCTCTTTTTAATTCCTGGATTTGATTGAATATATATTTACTGAATAATTCCTATCATTTAACAAGATGACTATTGTCATAGTGGTTTTGTGTAGATTTTCGCCTAGCATTACCGGTTGTGTTGATTCGAAGAAATTGGTTTCATTTTGGTCATTTGATTCAAAAGTCTAATTCAGCAGTTTTGGGCGTTGCTGGGATGATAAAGTGTATAAATTGCAGAATATTTTGTGATAATAAATGAAGTGATTTTGTTGCAAATATTACATTAGATTTTGGAAAGATTTCTTAAATTATTTGAAAAATGGATAGAAAACTACTCTATTAGAAATCTTTGTCCACTTCCACAAATCATAAAATTAACTACTGTAAACTAAATATAATTTTTTACTCATGATAAATCAAATTAATTGTGAATTATCAGAAATAAATTAAATTTAATATTTTATATTCAAATTCAAAAATATATATTATGATTTTGGTTATTTTAATTATAATTCTTTTGTGGTCAAGACATATTCTATGTTGTACTAAATTACTTACCGTTAAATATTGTTTTGATATTGCATTTATATCAGAGTTTAATAAAAATAAAATTTATGCATCATATTTCTATTTTTTTTTAATGAAACAATGATCTTGTTAAAATATTCAACCACACTCACATACACTAAATTTACATACAACAAATGAATTCAATATCAAGGAAACTCCTTAGTTGGTTTTTAAGATAATCTCACAATAACATATGTAAGTGTAGTAGACATTTATTGAGAATGACCATCTTCTTTTCTAATGAATTATGTACTAGAAAAAATCCATACTACTACAAAACACAACACCACATAGATTATCAATAGAAATAGCATGAATGTGATAATAATAAAGGCACATAATTTCGTAATTCCATTAGAATTAAGCACTAATTAATCACGTAGTCCTTAACGACAAAACATTTGTGTAAAGAAAGAGCTACACATTTGAAAGAACCTCTCCACCAAAGTAAAAATCCAACAACCCTAAAACAACTAACTTGGTGGGAAAGGGAGAAACGCCTACATTCATCGAGAGAAGCGGAGCCACCATTCATCCACCATCGACAAACCTAACATCCATCCACGGAGACGCGGCATCCGTAGGAGGAGGAGGCGGAGGTGGGTGAGCAGGGAGGAGAGGAAGTGGGTTATGGTCGACAGGAGCGAACGTGGTGAAGCGGAGGAGCATGAAGAAGTGAAAGGGGGGGGGAGGGGGGGGGGGGGATGTGATGCAGGCGCAACGGGGAGCAGCTGCGAACGTGCACCAGAATCCGAGACTGAAAGCAGGGCGTGTTGTGTTCGTGAAGGCCTTGGTGGACCTGGCCACCCAGAGGGCCGCTCTCTTGTTGGCTGACTCGTCCTGTTTGCTCGTGTCGCTCTCGGGTCCGAGCAGAGTGGTGCCAATTACGGTGCGGCCGCCTGTCACCGATGCTTGCTTTTTGCGCTTACAAGCCTATGGGTATGGGTCCGCAGGCATTGCATCGTCGGGTTCCGGTGTGGGTTGCAATATTTGGAATGGTTTTCTGCTCCTACCCCTTCGGTGGGATCGTTGGACGACGGAGAGCGGGGATCGCTGAAGGTCGGAACGAACGAATCTTCCATCTCCACAGTTTAGGAGCTACTGGAGAAAGTATCCGTTGGCACGCTTAGGGGTGGGAATGGTGAAGCCAAGGATCCGCGGCATGCAGTAGCCAGAAAGGAGTTGTTTGTTGTCACCGCGCAACCTGCAAAGGGAGTCACTTGTACTGATCTCAGAGCGTTTTCCTGCACTGGTTCTGCTTTCGCTTATGCAGATATCGAGATAGAGCTTGGGGGCAGGAGAGTTGGGGCTAGAGATGGGCCACATTGTGTGCCATGCAGCAGGGCATGTGCTAAACTCGATGCTCCCCATGGACTCGCAGTGAAAATGGCAGCATCTATCAACTTGCTTATCGTTTATTCTAGATCTGCAGGTATTCGATTGCCCTTAACGCTCCGTTTTCATGGCTGTTTTTTTTACATCTCTAAACAACTTTGAGTGCGAAGCACGTGGATATTCCGGTCTCTTGTTATGTACAATCTAGGTCAAGGTGTATTTTTTTAGCCTCTGTAGCTGAATTTGGTTAGGAACGATAATGTGAATTGTTGAAGGCGTAGTTTTGCGCCTTCGACAAAGAAATGCAGATAGCCTATTTTTGTATGCGTTGTTGGAGGATTGGCTGTCTGCGACTTTTGTGTCTTAACCTAACGGATCCTTTTTATTGATTTTTGTTTTTATTTCCATTAGTTGTTTCCAATTTTACACCTGTTTTTTTTCTTTGTCAAATAGAATTCGATGGAAACTAGTTGAGTCCCGGAACCATTAATTGTCCCTCTCATTAGAATACACGAGATGACGCTTCTTACATTGTACTTGTGGCGAGTTCAAATCCTTCCGTGTGGATAGTTTTCGTTGTTTCGCACTTTTTTTCTCCGGTAGGCTCCGTTCAGCATGCAGTCTTTTCCGACAGGCCCTTATTGAGCGCACTGTATCCGGTAGTCTTTTTGTGCCTGATTAGATGGGTAAGCTTAGTTATGTGTTCTAAATATGATCTGTATTGACTCGTGTGGCTTTCTTCAGGGAAATTTTGGGTTATGGCAGGCAAAGTGTTTGATCGAAGGGGAGGGCCTGCCCAGACTCTGAGAGCTGAAGATGTTTTTGGAGCAGACAGCTATGAAAGTACGCTCTTGGTGTTGATGAAGCGTGCTGTCATTAGTTGTCAAGCACCTGGTTACTCCATTCACGTGTCTCCTTTGTATCTATTTCTAGGCGAGAACACGGGTGTACGCGTGTGGAAATTGAGGTCCTTGATAAAGCCTACGTCCTCCGGAAGGAGTCGTAGCAAACTTAAGTCAAGATTAGTGCATCTGTGCAAGGAACATGCAACAAGGTGCTAAGTGTAACGGACTGGAAGGAATTAGATTCTGCTGGCGTTTGCTTTGTTCCCGTCAGTGGTGAAGTTGAAGTTGAAGTTGCTATTGCTAAAAGCACCTCACGTGCAGACCCCAGACTACCTCCACAACTCCAAGTAGTGGATATTCAAGCAATCAGTCTGAATGATTAGATTGCCCTGGATTCGAAGGGGGCACTGCTCTTGCCTACCATGAATGAAGTGTCTGATGAACAGAATATCGAATCCCTGGGTAGGACTTTTCTGACCATCGGACATCTGCAGAGCACCATGCGTGTGACCTCCTTTGCAGGGCTTCCGCTGCCTCTGTCTTTGTCCGTGGCTCATCGAAATTCTTTGTCACCGACTTCAGTGACAGGCAGGCTTCACTTTTTATATTGGCTCTTATTTTGAATAGATATCATACGTCGAGGTGTATGCCTTGACTGGGAATAGTCCCATACCGAGTATTTGCATCTCATTGATTTGCAACTGTCCAATTTGTTTCTCCATGATTTTTCTTGTCTCTGTTTTGTTTTTGATCGATCCGCCGTGCTCTTGTCTGGTATTTTAATTATCTAGTTCTCCTAAGTAATTTATTACCATAGATTTCTCTTTGTGGTTTGTATCTCTCTTTTGACTGGTTACAGCAATGTACAGATTATGTTCAAGTTTTCCTCTATCTACGTGATAAGTCATAAGGTTCACGTTTATGAAACTTTCTGCTTGTTAGTGGTTGAACCTGCAGGCGGTACAAGTGGTATTTGTATGTTGATATATTTTGATGGCTTCTGAAAGTTAAAGAAAGCTGTGGATTTCCAATAGAATGTACTTCGTTCATATTCTCGTCTTTCCTGAAGAAAAGTTACAAGCCAGCATTGATTCTGCTACTGCGAAGGTCAGCCTTGAAGGTAATTGACGCAGTTGAAGCAGCTTTTCGGAGGTTTGTTTTGAAGCTAATTCTGTTCTCACATGATTCTCAGAAACTCCTCAAAGCAATGGCGTCTTTAAAAAGAATAATCCTAGCAGTCATAGCTGTGATGTTGAGGTTTAGTAAAGTATAGTTGCCCAAACGTATTAATGTTTACAATGTCTGAAGTAACACTTCTTGAGTTGACTTGATTTTGGCACTGCCGTGTTAATAATTTTATGGGAAGCTCATATCAACCGAACTCGAAAATTGTGTGGTTCAGATTGCTATCGTATAAAGTTTCAATATCATATTGGTAGCTTTCTTCGATGCGCCATCAGACATTGGTATATTCAGTTATATTCTGCAAGATTTCAAACATGTACTGTATAAACTAGTTTTAACGGTGATGCAGTTGGATGAGTATCGTTTTAATTACGTCTCACCAAGTGTGTAACATCATCTTTCATATTTGATTTAGTAAACAAAGTAACCGTAAATTCATTTAGATGCCTTCAAATTTGGATGAACTCGTCGTGATGATTGGGTGTTTTTTTTGCAGTATCACAAGCGGTGTTTATGAAAGACCGTGTTGATGGCCTTGTTGCTAGATCTCCAGATGCCGTTGCTGTACTGACGAAAGGTATTTTACTATTACAAATCAGCACTTTAGTTAGTACTTAACTTCTTTGAAGATCATATGAAACGAGGCAACGAGCATTATTAATGTTTGCTTCATGAGCATTGCGACTTACCGTCTAATCTTTTACCACTTTGTGCAGACGAATGTCACATGCACTGATGTGTACACCAATTACAAAATTTTGTCATTCACTGATGGGTTGAGGAGGGACATATTTTCTGATCAACTGTGGTTTCTTTGGCTTCGAGTAAGTATTACCCATTTTTATATACTAATCATGCCTTTCCTCTTTTCCAGATTATGTGATAGTGGTGGTACTCAAAGGCTATACTCTTAAGCCACTCTCTTTACAAAGGCATTGAGCATTAAGATTCACAAGCTTCCTAGGGCCGTACTAAAGTGTTAGAAATTCGCTGGTAGCGGGATAGGCATTTGTTTTTTACGATAAATCGAATGGAGGCAAATACGCGGTGATGTAAGAAACAAAATTTATGCAGGCATCCAACTGGGAGATCGGGAAACCGAGGATCATAACATTCATTCTTCAACCTCTTCCTCGTTTATTAAAGATTTGCACATCATCTTTTCATGTGTGTGCAGCAAACATGGTAAGAATTGTGTTCACGCTTCTGTGGAAATATAGGAGTGTTTCACATGAATTATTTTATCGCCCTTCTCAGCATGACTTAGTGTCCGAATCAGCCCATATTGTGTAGTGGGCATTGCTTATTTTCAACCTATTGTATGCTTTTGCTTTTGTGGCATGTGTAAGACTATTCGTACTTGCTATGCAAGTGATATAAATGTATCAATTCATGTGCATGATCAGTGGAAAGTGAAGAAAAGGCGGACGTCACGGAGGAGCTAAAACTTTAGTTCAGAATAATGTGCGCAACTGTTGCGGAAAGTTTGTTCTGGCAAGTATATCATGCATCAAAAACAGGCGCAAAAATAGACTTGTGAAGTAGGTGGTAGTGCATTAGTAAACTTTGTATGCCATCTGATCGTAGTTATCTTGTTTTGTTACACCTCTCTTCTTATTCCTCTTTTCTTACTTCTAACCATGACCTGTTATACTTTTATTTAAAAAGTGAGGACATTACTCTATTTCTTTTAGAAGTATTGTTGTATTTTAAAGGTTTAAAATTACCCAGCTTTAAAATAACATTTTGTTTTGTAACATTGTTTTTTCTTTAAAGATAGTTGATAGTAGATTGTTAAGTTTTTCATTTGGTATTAGAAGTTATAAATTATCTTTGTTGATTGACTTGTGTGCTTGTTAGAGTTGTCTATTCCAAATCTAGATGGAAGAAAAATAAATTATGAATGCCATTTTTAATAGAATTCAGAATAGATTTGTAATTATCAAGAATCTTAATAAGTTTTTTAATAATATTTGAGTAGAGATTTTACATGTTAGTAATCTCAACTGTAGAAATACTATTGTATTGTTTATGGAAAAAATCAACAATAAAATTTAATGTTTGTATTTAAAAAATTGTGTAATTAAAAGAATTAAGTATAGGCATAGATTTTAATATTTTAAAGTAATTTTTAAAGGTCTTACTACTACAAGTACAAATGAGCCGAAGATTAATATACTATAGAAGTTTGATAGAATAAAATTAAAATCTTAAAGATTTCTACAAGTCAAGTTTTTACAATTATATATTTTTTAATATTGTGATGGTATCAATTAAGTAAGATGTATAAATTTACTTCTTTGTAGAAGTACTATTTTTTGGTTTGTACTTTTGATGGAAAAAAATTATTACTTTTATATGATTTAAATTCATATTTAGTAGAGTTTTTAGTAATATTTAATAGAATTTTTATGAAGGTTCAACTACTATTTGTATGGCAAATTTTTAATAACTTGTATTTGGCATGGATTGGAATGAAAAGTCTTTTATCAATTAATTTTGATATAACTTAAAAAATAATATTAAAGATCTCTTTATAAAAATGATAAAAGTAAATTTATTGGAAATTTTTATTATTCCAAAAATTGCATAAAAAAATAGATTCTTTGAAATGTACTAAGAACAAAGAATTATTTGGAGAAAGATAAATACAATAATTGCAATAACTTCTAGGTCTACCAAAATTTATTAACAAAGATGAATATCTATATAATTTCTTCTATTCTAATTTAAGCAATATACATTGGAAAAAAAAGATCAATGAAATTAAAAATAACTTATATTCATATTGTGAAGAATCAACTCATAAAGTATAAAACTATTGCATCAATCAAATGGATTTAGAATACAAAGCACAAACTCAAACTTAGAAAAGTTGGAAATAAAGATGTGTAGTTACAATAGAAACTATGTAATTTAAGAATAGAAGAATAAAATTATAAAATAAATGTTTCATACTACCATAAGATCTTACTCCTTATTTTAAACTTTCTATAATTATAAAAATTCCAAGTTGTGATTTTAAGCAGAAGCATTTTTGAATAATAGAGCCTTAACATGTTTTATGAATAAGACTTTGTACTGCAACAAAAATTGATAATGTCAAGGAAGATTTGATTATCTCTAATAAATGTTATTAACAGATGGCCATTTGCATCAAGAGGTGTTATGGAAGTGACTTGGCTATTGGAAGTAGCATCAATAAATCAAGTATTTAACATTACATTTAATATTAATTAGTATTATTTAAATCCAATGGTAATTGGCTTATCTTAATTTGAATTTCATAATCTTGATATTGATTGTAAATCAAAAAAATTCACTTCAAGATTTAATCTGATTGTCATTAAATAAATATTTTATTATATTTATTAAAACTAAGGTATTTATATAAGGTACAAAAAGAAGAAGTTATATTCATCATTTATACAACATTAAGTCTTTATTCAAATAGAAGTTGCAAAGAATTTTAAAATAGTAGAAAAAATATAAAAATACATGTAAACAAATTATTATAATATTATCAAAATATCAACCATACGATTGTACAATTGATTATTAAGAAGTAACTCAACTACCATTTGAACCAATTAACAACTTGTTGTGATATGAAGTTATTGCTTTCAAAAAAATATATTAATGAAAATCCTACAAAGAATTTTATTTGATACTTAAAATCTTCTTTGTACAAAAATAAGGTGGATCCTTGCAAATAAATTTAAGATTATTGAAGACTCAAAATATTGATCATCAAGAATTGTTATTATTTGTCTTTAATACTAAAACTTCTTCATGAGCTCAGTAAAGCTAAGACCTATCTTAAGATAGTTGTATGTAGAACTTATAATTAGACACTTATTAAAAAGATGATGAATTTAAATTTTAATAATAAACTAAGTATAGCCATTTTTAATATAATGTCATGTCTTTTAGATTTATAAATAATTCTATTATTTTCTAATATTTAATAAATAATGTGTTTTATAAATTTTTAAATAATACTAAAATATCTTGTGTAGAAAAAATTCTTATATATTTTAGGAGTATAGAAAAATATAAACTTAAATTCTATTTATTCTAAAGCAACCTTTTTCATGTGTTTGTTCAAAAAAATAATCGACATACTTAAAGTTGACATAAAATTACCTCTAATTTTTTATTCCCAAAATAATTTATAACCAAAACATATAAATCAAGCATTAAGGCAATATTTGCAATAGACTATCAACTATCACTAAGTCACTTGGAAAAATTTCTTACCATCAACATAATATATTATTCTACTTTAAAAAAATCATTTTTTACCAACTATAATTACAATCTATAATTTGATGCTTTTAGCTTTTTAAAAGTTTAGTAAGTAGAATAATAGATCTTTATACAACAACGAAGATATATCCAAAAGATACATAAGGATAATAAAAAGTAAATATCAATATTCATTTTTAATAAATAACGAAAAAAGTTCAAAACTAGTAATAAGATATGATTACTTTGTTACAATATGAAAACTAATTGACCTTGTATAAATTTAGGTTATCAAACTTTTTTCACATTCATTGTTCAAAAATAAGTTGATTTAGTCGCATATTGATTAGTATTACTAAAATTAATTTAAAAAATCATCATCATCATATATATATATATAGATTGAGTCTTATATTAAAATTAATATATCAAAGAAAAAATTATCATTACCACTTATTAAAATAAAAAATAATCAATAGTTTGAAGTAGAAGAAATATAAGATTTTAAATGGCACCAAAATAAATTGATTTATCTTGTACATTGGGAAAATTTCAATATTAATAAATGCACCTATGAATCATTTGAAAATCTATTAAATACTTATGAATTTATTATTATTTTGTAATAATGATATTTATAAAAACCAATGACCAATCCTTGACAATAAGATGGTGTAAGTAAAATAAATATAAATTCAGGGATCAATTTATAAAATTTCCTTTGAACATGGATAATTGATAATCAACATATTTATCTTAAGAGTTGTTATTTGCAGAATAGTAATATGAAATTGTTAGGTTGTTCTAACTTAGGCAATAATATAATTGTAATGAAGATTCTCAAGAGAGACATATCATTCTTTAAATAGATATAAAGATACAACATACTAAATACCACAATTTTAGAAGAAACTTTTAATGCTTGAAAATACTATTTGAAGTAGATATTACACATAATGGCATACAAAATATGTTGTTAGAAGGTAATCTTCAAGACCTTAATATTAACCAAATGGGTATTTGGTCTTCTTATCCTTATATAGGATATTATTAATGGTTGAAGGAACATGTCAACAACCTTTGTAAAAAACATGGATTCAAATATATTGCTTAAATAATTTGATGGATCTTATATTTCATCAACTTATAAAGCAATTTAGCCACTCTTTATAGACTTGGTCATCTAGAAAGGAGATTATATATATATATATATATATATATATATATATGTGTGTGTGTGTGTGTGTGTGTGTGTGTGTAACTTATGTAACTATAAATAATAATATAAATAAACAAAAGTAGGTAGAAAAATGTTACATAGATAATATCTCATTTAAAAAAACATTAAAGAAGTTTCTTAGATATGGATTAGAAGTTTTTATTCTTATAGATTTGTCATGTGGCTATTAAAACTTGTCTTAAAAGCATATTATTTTTAAAAAGTTGTGTTGGAATCAACTTAAAACTTCAGATTTGCACCACAAGCCTCACATTTCTTACAAAGTTTTACAAGACCTTCTTGGAAGCATGTATATATAGAGGCAAAATTGAGGCTATTCTCAATCTCATCGATAAATTTCTTGTATTCAATATAACATCATATAACCATGATTAACTTCAAAAATAATATTTACTTCACAAATAAAATAAGCATTCAAAATAAAATTACTCTGTTCAATATATATATATATATATATATATTAATGAATTACAATGGATAAGTGTTAACCTAATTGATATGAAATTTTACATTTTGTACCTATGCTGAACTCCATGCTACTGAATTGTTTTTTTTTGAAAGAACGGAATATCTCTCAAAAGTAGAATGAAGAAAGTGGTTCTCAAGACAATGAGCACCTAACCAGATACAAATTACTCAAAAAAAATATATTTTATAATGATCTTTTTTGGGCTTCTTACAACCTACAACAAAAAAAGAGAGAAAAAGCTGAGATTTTTATACTTTTATGGAAATTTTCATAACTAACAATCCTACTAAAATTCCTAAAAAAAAAGGAGTTTTCTATCAAAGAATCAATTCTGTTGAAACCAAAAATTGTCATTTTAGTGATTATTTTAAAATTATCAGTTTTCCATTGAAAAAACCACTGAGTGTACGTGTGTTGAAATTATCAAAAAAATAGTATTGATAAAAATAAATAAAAATGTAATCTTGCAAACATAACATAAATACACTTCTGATTAGTGAGTACAAAGTTATGATATAGTTTAAGGAGAAACTTACCTACTTTTATTTTCGGTGTATTACCCATTACTGTAATTCTATTATAATGCATTCTGAACGAACATGTTCTATACACACATTAAGTTGGATGAACAGAACGGGGATGCGATTCATCCATCCAGGACATCCAATTGGCCAGCTGGCCCGGGAGAGCTGCTGAGGTGGCGGATGATGTCACCATGGTGACGCCGCCGTCCCCTTCGCGATGTGCGTGGCCAGGCCCGAAACCAGCAGCGGAGCCGGATTCCGGCACCGGCTCAGCAATTGCAGCGTCACCGTGAGATCGAACCCCGCTGCCTGCAAGGATCCCCGATGTTCGTGACCTCGAAGGCATCAACCACCAAAATCAACGCATCAAACGGAGCGAATTCTGTCCAATAGTTGATCTGTGCGCTCCACAAATACAATGCAGGTCGTCTTCGAACGTACTGATCTCGTTTGCCTTCCGTTCTGGATGTTTGGACGAATGGGCCGATTGATGCGTTTACTGTGTGGTCGTTTTGCAAGAAGGATGAATGTAGCATGAAGTTCGACTCTGGTGGATTGCATTGTCTGATGTTGCCTTGGGTTGATGAGGACCGCTGAATTGTGGATCTTCAAGCCGGTGCCATAAGCCAGGAATCGAATGCCAGTCACGGTTCCGCTGCTGTTAGATGTAATTAGCTATTTGTTTCGGTCCCTTGAGTTGTTTCTAGGTCTCTGCCTTTTTATTAGACATATGTCGCCATCCACAATCCAGCTCTAGCTGTAGTGCAAGCTTGCACCGCGTCGTCCCAGAAGGCTTGTTTCTTGCTATTTATTTAAAAAGCAAGCGAGTCTGGGTTCCCCTTGCGTTGCCAATATGTTGCTGGCGTGCAGTACACACGGGCGAGACCGTCAATTGGGGAAGAGATTACGAGTGCCTCCTCGAACTGCGGAGGCACATGAAGATGTCTATCATAAAGCAAATCTGAGGTCCCTTGTTCCCACATTCCACTGTCAAACTTCCTTGACAAGACAGTAATCTCTCAGACCATGCAGGAACATGGAAATGAACTTTGAGCACACTGCATACCCTCACTTGTGAAACTTGATCACGGAAGTGGGACAAAGTCCACCTCTGGACGTGTCGGATATCCCCCCCCCCCCCGTGGATGCGGCCCTACGGAGTCCCTTGCGATCAGCTTGCCCTTCTTGACCGTTACCACAACTGCCATCCTCGGAAGTTATGAGTGTGAATTTTGCTCTAGAGACAGATGTCTCGCTGTACGACAGCGACTTCTTGGAGCGTCTCTCACGCCTGTCCATGCTGAGTTGGAGGGCACCACCACCAAATCGGGTCTCTTCTCCTCGTTCAGCCTTATCAGTACTATATCGCTTAGAAAGCGACAATCTTCGCGGAGTGGTCCATTGTGAGACCGGGGAATTATTCGGGTAGTTTTCAAAGGCCGTATTCATACCAGAGGTGTGTGTGGGTGCATGGCCGCTAGAAGTGCGCTCCGGAATCTTAACTGACCCATGCAATAAAAACTCTCTGTTGCGGTGATGATCCCAGTGATCATGCGTGTGGCATTGATCCCATAGAACTGAGAACTCAAGATCCCGTCCACTGCCACTCCACCCTTAGAAATTTACCAGTCTCTCGGTCCCAGTTCTCCTCGACGGCCTTGCCTGGTTGTCGAAGCCGTCGAGATCCATCAACAACCACGAGCGGAAACCATGCGTGGAACCAAGCAGCCTTAACCCTGTTCGACTGCTTGGTTCCACGCATGGTTTGCATTGGATTTGGCTTCACAACGAGCTGTCTGATTTGTAGCTTACATCCTCTTCGACTCTCGTTATATAAATATGAAAAGTGTCAACACGATTGAAGTGTTTTTTTTACTTTGAATAAAAATAGAAATAAAATATATCCGCAGTGAATATTCTCTTTGCTCTATCCAGGACATGATATGTAAACCCCATTTCATCCGGTGTATGCACCCTTCTAAATTCACATCAATGTGTGGGGAAAAGTCCAAAAGTTTCCTGAGTGCTCATCTTTTCCTTTTTGGGAGGATAGTGATTGAGCCTTGTTGGGGAGTCTTTATACATAATGTGAATATTTTTTTTATTTTTACTTTATCACTTTTTGATTATGGACTGTTTTGTTGTGAGCGAAAAAAATAAATAAGAAGTTTCCAATGAGGGATTCTAATATACGAATTGTGTCCACATCCCCACTTTGGATGAAGTGGGGGGGGGGTGTTTAAAAGGAGCTCACTACCCACGTTGGATGAATGATTTCACAGCGTTGGAAGAATGATGAGCAATGGATTACAACAACTTTTTTTACAACCTTGAGCATTCAGGGATAAAATCATCAAATATTATCCACGAAATTGTGTATATTAAGTGGTCAAAGAACAAAAAAGAATGAGGCAAAAGGAAAAAGTAAAGGTACGATGGACAGCACCTGAAACCCGTGGAATCCCATGATTCCGCGAAGATGCGCTCATGGCCGTGCCAGCCTTTAGAACGAGGCAGACAACCCTCGCTCGCTCGCAGACCGAGCTCCAAAAAGGCAAAAGTATTTTTGAAAAGATGTAAGAAAAGTTCGACCGATCCTGCTAAAAGCTGACTTGATTCGAAGTCACGAGAGGATGTGCATCAAGGGCCGGGAAAGGGTGAGGTCACCCGGCCACGTCCACAGGTCCAGTCTGCAATCCTGATCCCCACCCCCTTGTCACGGGAACGCTTGGGAACGCGAGGGGAGTGCGCATCGAAAGGGTTGAGAACGGCCTTGAGGACGTGCAGGGGAACGGGGGCGGGTGCATCGGCAAGCGGGAAGTTAAAAATAATACTGGGCATAGGGGCAACCGGGAGACCGGGTTTGGCCGGTTTCGAGGTTACGCTATCCTGTTCCTTGTCTTTCTCATCTGCCTTCGGCACCCCTCAGCTTCGCCTTTGTGGACGAATCCGTCTCCGCCTCCGCCTTCTGCACGCGTGGTTGTGGTCGACCTCTCGCCGGAGCAACAGGTCTTCTAGTCGCTGCCCTTGCTGTGCATCGCATTGGCTCTTGAGCGCCACTTCTGCTGCGCTTTTTAAGCTTGTGTAGAGTTTTTTGAAGCATGTTTTGAGGAAGATGGGAAACGTCTATTGAATATGACGCTTGTCGCGATTTTGTGGTTGATCTGGTGGTAATTCTCGTGACTTAAGGTCGATGGTGTGTTAGAGAGGTTTCCAGTGGTGAGCGTCGGTGGTGCTTTGATCGCGCATTGTTAGGAACACCGCAGGCGCCGCATAGTCGGTACTTTGTTTGGAGGGAAGTGTAGGTTTTATCGTCGGGGGGTTTGTTTTTTTTCTTTTTTTAAAGAACAAATTTCATAGGATAACCTCTTTGGCTGGTGTCTTGTTCTTCGGAGAGAATTGAGCTTCGTTGAAGGATAATTTTAGGAACGAGGAGTGCGGGAGGTGGGAAGACGGGCGTGATGTTGGTATCACTGAGTCGGTTCACTTGTTGACACCGGGAGAGGTAGTGGACGACCGTTTCGTAACAATGGGTTTGTTGTGTGATTAAGATCACGAATATGGTACGAGAGAGTGATTTTTGCGCGATTCTGCTTGCGATTGTAGTCGAGCATGATTGTATAGCTCTCAATGAATTTGTCTCTGATGGTAGAGAATCGGGTGCGAGAGGCGAAGCTTTTGAGTTTCGTGTAGAATGAATGGAAGGGGATTTGTTGCCGTTGCGGAAGAGGGGGGGGGGTTGAGACTGTTTATGCGGAGAGTTTTCTGCCTCTTATTTCTGCCTTCAAAAGTTTCCCTTCTCTACATCAGGGGTATATAAGGATCTCGTACACGCGATCAAAGGCTTATTTGATCAGCGCTCTTTGTCCTCTTGCGACTAATTTCACTGGAACTTCCCGTTGTCTGCACTAGCAATATGCGAATTGAACCTATAGTTTATACCATAGTGTAGGCCCAATCACCCGATATTCACGGAGCATATATCCAGTATTACATGTCCTCATGTTCATGTAGCCCATGCATGTTGCTTATGCCCGTGCAAATCGATCTGAGTTTCTGACCTGTGTGACATGCTGCCTCGCACAGTGAACTTCTGACATGCGTGCCTTTCTCTTCTCTGTCGTGGAAAACAGGAAACTAATCCCTTTTCCAGCACTAAACGATTGAAGCAATTTTTTTTTTCTTGTGAACTGCTCACTCTCTCTCTGTTATGAGGGGATTCGAAGCTTGAAAGTTATGAGCTGAAGGTTGAGGACACGTAAGAGCGAAGGACGATCATACTACAATTAACCCTTGCGGGGAAAAGCCCAGGCAAAATAGGACGGATGGCCGACAGTTACGGCCACAACGCAGGTTCACCCGAGAGCAGCCCGCATTCTGATAACGAGTCCGGCGGCCATTACCGTGATCAGGACGCTTCTGTACGGGAGCAAGACCGGTTTTTGCCCATCGCAAATGTGAGCCGAATCATGAAGAAAGCATTGCCATCTAATGCGAAGATATCGAAAGACGCCAAAGAGACTGTGCAGGAGTGCGTATCCGAGTTCATCAGTTTCATTACTGGTACATGAATGAGCCATATTTAGTTTTGTACAATGTGGAAAATGAAGCGAAGAGCATGATACTGAACAGGTTGAGCCAGGGTCCTTTCCCGTGACATGGGGGACAATGAGGAACGTATACCAGAGAGCGGGTGCAGTTTGATATAGTGAGATTTTGTGCTGAGTCGTGATCCGCCCGCAGCGTGAGCGTATTCGCATTGTGCGTTTGTTGGACGCGGAACATGTGCTAGCCAACTGTTGTTTAGGCATTGTTACCTTTTTTAAGATTCAACGGGTCTTAAAGTCTGCAGCAATTGAAATTGGAAGTGTTTTCACAAGATTGTGGCATATGTTAGCGAACAATAGTTGCAAATATTTACACCTGACGATGAATGCAGACAGCCTTCGAATATTCTCGATGTCCTTTGTATTTTTTAGATGCGTCTTTGGGGTCATTGAAATAGAGTCTAACTCTTTGACTATCACTGCAGGTGAGGCGTCCGACAAGTGTCAGAGGGAAAAGAGGAAGACGATCAACGGGGATGACTTGCTGTGGGCCATGAGTACTCTTGGTTTTGAAGATTATGTGGAACCTCTGAAGGTGTACCTACACAAGTATCGTGAACTGGAGGGGGAGAAGGCCTCTATGGCCAAGGGTGGTGATCAGCAGGGAGGAAAAGAGAGCAACCAAGGAGGTATGGGGTCGATGGGCATGGCAGGCGGAATCAACGGCATGAACGGAACGATGAACGGGAACATGCATGGGCATGGAATTCCCGTATCGATGCAGATGATGCAACAGCCGTACGCGCAGCAGGCACCTCCGGGGATGATATATTCTCCTCATCAAATGATGCCGCAATACCAGATGCCGATGCAGTCTGGTGGAAACCAACCCCGCGGAGTGTAAGAGTTTTCACTGGCAGGAGGCTTTGGAAGTGGGGATATTGTCGACAGCGTGATGGGGTGTTTTGGAGCATGGGCAGGGCATTATGGTGCTGTTGAAACAGTGATGGGTGGGTCATGTGAAGTGTTGGCGACTGTTGAATGATGAAAACATAGAAGTGATGTCGTTGAAGCTCGGGGAGTTTCAAGTGAAAGGAGGAGCACTTTTTGTTTGGAAAGGAGCGTACCGGGTCTGGCAGTGTACATTCTGAATGATAGTTATCTGTGCTGATTTTTCTTGGCCTTGGCAATACGAGGGGGTTGAATATTTTGCTTTGAATTCGTTGACATTTCAACCTTTTCTATGTGAAAAGGCTCTGTAGGATGCAAGATAAGGAAAGACATGCAGATTGATATGGATTGATTTGTATCATGTATGTGGGAGTGTGTTTTTCTTAGAGCATCTTAGGTTGTACTCTCGTGGGGAGGGTGTGTAAGTCGGCAGGAATAGAGACTGTCCTTCGGTGGGGTGGGGAGGATAGATCTCGCTGGTGAGTATCTTTTATATTGAGAGATCAGCACCATTGTGATTATAATTGAGCTCTGTACAAGATATTGAACTGCTTCCAGTGTAGTTATCATTATTTCTTGGTTTTTTATGTTCCTTTTTTGCCTTAAAATGATTGTGGATATTTGAAGTGCCACATTAGTGCATGTGTGGTATTTTTGGCAAGTGTTGTAATGGTAGACTCATGTTGTAACTTGCCTTGAGACTTATTCCTTCTGCGCATGACAGTACGAACTCGATGATAGAAGGGTTGGGTTGTTTGATAAACAAGTTTTTTAGTGTTGTACCTGCTCATTCTGCATAATCTGTGACGCCCATCAATTTATATGCATTTTTTTATAAACATTTATATGTGGTCTATGAATATTTTGTGAGTATGTAATAAGACAAGTGGACCATGGAAAGTCTTGGTTCAGGTATCGCCTTGTGCCCGAGTCCCTGTAAAACTCCGTGTATGAGTCCTGGGATCTGCACCTACTGCCTCTTGCTTATAACAGCATTTGGTACAGTATACCATTCCTGTTTTTAGAATATTCGATTTGAATATGGACAGCAGGACAAGTTGCTCCATACTGCTGTGTAAACTAAAAACAGCCTCCAGTACAGTTAACATACACACAATGTTGTTTCAAAGTAGACAACCAACCATCGTGTGAAAACGCATTCTATTTTCTATCGCTTATAATCTGGTTTACTTCCTTTTTTTAATTATTTTGAATATAAAATTGTGTGTGATGCGTCCCATGCATTGCCATATTTTAGTATAATGCACGCAGTTTCTAGCAATTGGGATGAACAACAGCGTCCTAATTGAAACTTGTTTGCATAATTTTAGAACAAATTCTGAATTTCTTTCAGGATTCTTGTGTCAGGTTGTTGTCGAGGATGCTGGATTTGCCCATTTTCACATTTCATACAACAATTTATTCAAGGTTGAAGTGAAGCAATTTCTGACAGCGTTATCATTGGCAACTTTAAAACTTTGCACTTTCAAATACTTTAGCCAAAAGATGGCCTAGATGATGCATGATTGAGAAAATGGGTCAAATATGCCATTTATCCTTGCAGTGACATGAAAACTTTTGCCACCATGCATGAATTAATTCGTACATTCAATTTTTATCTTGATTCAATCACTTGTTTATTTGAAAATCTATCTGATTAGATTATCATTTTTTTCACAAATCTCCATATATTTAGAAGAACTAAAATATAAATCGAACTGTTGTTTTATACACTGTAGTTGAACAAGAAAGTATCAAAAGGTTGTTGAATTTCGGAACATATTTTTCGAAAGTACCAAGTAGATTTGTAAACAGAAAATAGATTGAAGCAAAAGCATGTATGCAACAATAACTACCAACCTCAGCAAATAAATCGTACTTGGATAGTGTAGGGATTTCTTGTCTGTTCCTTGTAGGAAAGCATTAGATTCGTGATATAAACACCTTTTTTCAAATTATTTGCACCAAAGAGCAATTTCTTTGCCTCCAGTGAGATCAGCAGGATCACTTCCTAAAATAATTCTCAGGTCTTTCAACGAGATTAGATAGCCTTGAAACGACATCCAATAAACATCAAACGTCCCGTTCTGCTCAGACTTTTAAGGAATTTGCTCCCACTAACGATACATGTCCATCAATCCAGCTGGTCTTGATACACTCTACAGCTGACACTGTCCAACACAAGTAACTCCGTGAAGTGCACAGCCAGGCTAGAGTCAAGACGTTAACATACGTCGTATCGAGACCATATCATGAGGGCTTAGGTGCCGGATTGGCTGTACTTTCAGAAGATTGAAATTCAGAACGTTGTAAGGAACGGTTAAATACATTGTAAAGAAAATCTCTGTCCAGAAACGAGTTATCAAAAATATGTTACACAACACCAACAGTTTGGGAAGATCCTCCACTACTTTGGAGAGGTTTCGTCATTTCATGGCTATGTCAGTGACCAAGTGATCACACCCAACAGAGACATTATAAAGTGCAGGATGATTTCCTGTTAAATCCTGCATGAAGAGATGCATCCTAAGAAGCTGCAGGAGGAATCTGGACAGTGTTTCCAGCAACACTATCACTCACCAAGATGACCAGTTTGCTCGTGGGCTTCGGCAACTAATTGGTCAGCCTTGCTTGGTATTATTCCGTTCTGAGGTTCCTCAACTATGCTATCAGCTACCACCTGATCGTCCTTGGGACTTCGTTTCAAATCACTTCCAGCATCAGTAATTGTTGCATCGTTACTTAGAGTGGTCGCCAACTCTCCTCCGATGGCACCTGCTGTTTCTTGAGGTCCTGATACAGGATCATCCACGAAAGAGAGGCGCTGGTGCATTTGATTTGCTTCCGCCTTAGTTATAAGAATACTTACATTATTCCTTCCTTTCCAACATGCCACAGCTATACCCATTGATCCTCCATTGATGGCAGCATCAGGTCCTTCTGCGAACAAGGTGCTTCAACATCAGATGAAAAAAATAAAAATAAAAAAATAAATAATAATTAATTCCTAAAAAGAGGTACTCATCTAACATAACCATAATAGCGAAGTCGGAACATGGGAAGATAAAATGATCGTGGTGCTCTTCAACCCTACCAGTGGGCAGGGTTACAACGCAGCATCCATGCTTCAGCTCACGTAAGACGTCTGCAAAGGTAGGGTCACTGAACGCTGAAAATTGGACAATTTTTTCTGCAAGCAAAAGCCTGAAGTCTTCCCTAGTAGCTGTAACAATCTGCTTCGTCATGTGAGGTAACAACACTGGTAGACCTTCTGAGGCTATCCTGAAAATACAAGATGTAGGTTCCTTCATTTGTTGACGTTCCTGATGCACACATAACCAATGAAGTCAACATCACAGGGTAGACAAGTCACAGGCTACAGGTATTAAGAGCCAGGAGGATAAACCATAAACTCCAGGGGTGGTTTAGAAACTCACAAATATCTTCAACCCAGCAGAGGTGATCTTCATCTGTTCACCAGATCGATAATTCATCTTAATAGCGTTGCTTACAGTAGCTGATACATAGTAAATTCGTTTGCAGCGAGTGACATCTTCGCTTCTGATTACAAGATGCTGGTGAACGGGGAACGTTTCTTTGATTCCATAGAAATCTATAAGACTACTGATGATCTTCTCATCTTCAAGGAAAAAAACAGGGTCTACCCCTTTCCACCGTCCCTGACGTTGAACCCGACCGATTGCGTTAGGATCCTTTGGGTCCAAAACCGTGGCCTCCAACTTCTGCTGTTCGTCTTCTTTAGGGGAATTCACGGTCATTGGTTCTTCAGCCTCTTTGGTACCTTCTGCCTCCGCGTTATCTAAAGCACATCATGAAATTAATAAGAATGAGAAACCTAGCAATGATTTGCTCACGCTGTACCAAATCAAAATATGTGTCAGGGCTGAGGGAAATTGCAACCGATTCTATGGAAATCAAATCAATGGTTCTTAGAGGCAAATAGAACTCTTTTACTTAAAACCCTTAAAGGAAAACAGGTAAATGGAAACTTAAGAACTTTTTCCCTTACCAGAAACAGGTTCTACTGCTTCAACTGCATTCTCAACCTCAATAGTATCCTCCGCTTGAACATCTAATAAGTTAGCTTCAGGAAGAACATCATCAGCATCATTCATATTCACGATGGTGGTCTCTAGGTCGCTAGGCGCAGGTACCAGCAAACCTTTCTCTCCATCAGCAGTAAGAGTCTCGTTTACTGCAATATAACAAGCACAGCGAAAGTTAATCGCATGACGTTTAACGAAGATGAACAATATACTTATCACCTTATCACAAGAGGCAGTCTAAGATCTCTTCCGAAACTACACCAAATGGAATTCTAAGCCCATAACATAACGAGAATTGGTTCTGCGAAAATATAATGAACATATGGTCTTATGCCAAGTCTTACCTGCGCGTAGGAGACGAGACTTGTGTGACTCTTTGATTTTAGGAATAGCTGCATGAATTAAGAAAGAGTATGAGATCACGATGGTAAATCATGGTTAATTTAATCAAATACATTACCGTAGATGATTTCAAAAGACCAACCGTAGATGAATTCACTAACACATAACTCTCTCCACATCTGCCAATTGCCCGTGGGAGAAAAAGGATATAAAACAAGCTGCATACTAGCACATAGGCAGATAGTGTAGTTGTAAACTTATAAATGATAGTGATGTCACGAATCGCAAAACACTTACCCTATTAGGTGTGTGGGATTATCACAACTGAAAATATTCACCTCACAACCACAACTAAAATGAGCAGAACTTAGATCAATGTACAAATTATTTACCTTTGAATGGGGCGATCTTGCGGAATACAGCAATGAAAAAACCACCTGTATCTTGATCGTGGGGAAGAAGCCTCATACATCGCTCTAGTGGCAAGGTAGCCACTTCTGGTGGATCTTCGTCATCCTCTGCCTCCTCTGCCTCCTGCTTTTCGGCATCATCTTCAACATCTGCTACATTACTTTAAACAATCAGTAACTGCCTTAACACTAAAGACTTAGAGAATACTAGAACATCTACAACTTCAATCCTCAAAAGAATGGAGATAAAAGCAATCTTCACAAAAGAAAATAAAGATAAGCTTTAGTATTACTTTAAAAAGTCGCATTATGTGTGTCTTGGGAAAACTACTGAAGCTATTCAGAAATGTTTCATAGGAGGTGTTTTCGGACATACAACATGGAAAAGCTGCTTCATGACTAGATTAACAGTTTTACAAATTACAGACTGTTTCCACTTCGATGATCTTTAAGTTACAGGGGCAGTTTTGAGGCAACTTTCTGAAAAGGGGCAGGACAGTACAGGAGATAAGAAGGAATATTGACAAACAACCTTGGCTGTAAATACTTTGAAACATTGAAAAACTTTGTTTAAAAATACATGTCAAGCTAACAAACATATTACCAGCGGGGGGGGAGGAAACCCCAGTTGACAGTTCAATATCTGAAAGATCCCATCCGTTTCCAGACGGAAACATACTCGGGACTACAGCACCAGCCCTGTGCCTATCAATCTTTGAAGCAGAGGAAAGCCACCTCTTCCTGTCTCGGACCTGATCACAAACATATCTTTGAGTGTAAACAAAACCAAAGTATGCAAGAATGTATATTTATTCAACAATCCTTCTCACCTTTGTGCCTCAAAAACATCCTTCAGTTTGGTAACAAAGACGTATCGACATATTGAAAATTCAAAATCCAGATACGCCTGAAAGGAACTAAAATCTCAATTCATGACCATTCATATTAAGAATGTTGACAAAGGGTTCACGATCTTTTAAAGTTTATCGGCAATGGCTTCAAACATAAATGATTACTAAAGAATACGATCAGGGTAAAATAAACACCAGCCAAGAAGTAAGGCCTGGTCGTCGTTTAAGCTCGGGAAGCTCTGATGATACATCCAATAACTCCACACTTCCACGGCTCTCTCTCAAAATCTGAAGGAACGCACATCACTTGTTAAAGCACACAAGGATGGAACCAATGTAGACTAGCTGAATTGACTAAGACAAATAGGTGAATTGTATGAGGATCAAAATAGCGATGGTTGGTAGAGTAACCATACTGGGAAAAATTACCTCTCCCACAACTGCCTCATCTTCAACAGGATTCAGGGAGCATGTAGAGTACACCAATCTCCCACCAGTTTTCAGGAGCGCCACACCTTGAGCACATATATAAGAAGTATTAAGAAGGATCCCATTTTGTAACACTTTAAAATGACTACAGACAATTCATTGAATTCAATTAAAAACTATTTCCTTCGAATTGATATTAGCCCTACACTTCCTCAGGTTGGTTCACCTTTTCTTGATGTGTTATAAACAAGTAGTTATATCATTCAAAACTCATTCCTAGGACAATTATTGCTTTGGCGTTGCGACTCACATACATAACGTTGATTTTCGATTGTTTGACCTCCAAATTCTTCAAAAGTTTTATTTGGACTTTAAACTTTTGCATAAATTGGCAAAATTAAAATTTAATCTTCGAGAAATGCGGGAAAAAATTTATGTGGTCAGCGTGAAAAGAAATGTTGGGTAAAACTATATTAAATAAATCCAAACTTGAATTTGTAGCATGTGATAAAATTAACTTCATAAGGTATTAGATGTCCAATCATTCTTACGATCCATCATATCCTCTACCTTATATACTCTGCTGTTGTACAAACCACTGCAAATAAGGGGTAGCTATAACGTACCACGCATTGCTATTTGAATTTGAAGCCGATGCAAACCGTTAGCAACACCGCAATTCCTAACAACCCAAAAAACATAACATGTTGTAATTATCTAGGAACTAAAATCATCAGCTTCAAAACAATGGCAACAGTAACCTTCAGTCAACCTTCAAATGTCTGCAAGGACCAATGTGGTCAAATATTCAGCATTCAGCTTACAGGAAACCATTTAAAGGTTGATTCGATGTACAATTTCAACACACATAATGTCCCCATACATCAAGTTCACGGGCTTAGCTCCAAAAGCCAAATGCATAAAACAGAGGTGTCATACCATTTTCTCCAAATGTCTGGAGCTTTGCGAAGAGTACCATCTCCACTGCATGGTACATCACAAAGAATGCGATCAAAGTATAACCCATTTATCTCTTCCTCCGAAATTTCAGCCTCCACGCTAGCATCTGCTGAAACAGCCTCAAAGTGACCGCTTCTGTCTTTCAGTCCTGGGAAAAGTTGGGCATCATGGTTTGTGACCATGATATTCGGACTACACATGCGCTTGGTTTGGTGGATCAAAAGGTGACACCGCTGCACGTCGGAGTCATTAGCAATGACCTGCATATGTCAAGCAAAAGGTTTGAGTATCAGTAACAAATTAAAATTTAACTACGTCGAATTCAGACAAAGGCAAAATAAGCAAAGAACATCAGTCACATCTTCACTACAATTACGAAAGAACCACAGAATTGCGAAGTGGCGCACCATGCCATCTGAAAGCTCTCCAGGTTTGACATCTCTATGGATCATCTCTAACAGCTGAAAGGTCTTGGATCCAGGTGCAGCACACACTGCAACACAACGGACATCCTATAAATGAAAGTTGTAGGAAGGCCCAGGAAGATACAAACGGATGATTTACTTCCATTTGATTGTCCAAAAACGACCATAAAAGATAAACCCATGCTCTTTTACCACCAGCATTAGTCGATGAATGTCACCTTCCAAGTAAAAACTATCAATGCTATATTCTGGCAGATCTCACCTAGTGGAATTAGACCAATACTTGTTCACATTACTTTAAAGTTTTAAGGCTGAAGCTGGACTACAAGAACATGATAATGTTGCATGTGAGGTGCATTAATAATTGTGTGTATAATGTTAATAACATGAGGCTTTCACTGGTGCCTATTTAAACATACAGATGTAAGAATTGTTTCGCTTTTACAAGTCCAGGGCATACAGAGTAGATGTAGAGTGCCGCTTACTATCAAGAACCTTGTGATGAGGCTGTACATCCAAAAATAATGGAGGAATCTGCAATGATGAAAAAACACATATATGCTCCTCTTAATGTGAAGCACAAGCACACTGGTATATATGTACTGCTGAACTCCCGCAACTAGCTACACAAACCCTTTGTTCGCAGATCCATTGTACCTATTAAATTGAAATGTAAGGTAGACATGATGTGGAGACATATTACTGTACAGAAGGGGAAAATCGCGGATTACATCATGCACAAGGACTCACCATGCTAACTGCTTCTTGACGTGTAATACTTCCAATCTCATTCTCTAGCTTCAAGAATTCGTGTATTCTGGGAACACATAACAAAGGCAGAGAAAATTCAAATATCATATATTTGATTACATGAAGAAATGTAGGAGACAACACTTGTTCATTATTCTGATATGTGACTGAATGTTCATTAGGACATATCTTGAGAAAATACACATGCGTCAGTATCAAATCATATAAGGCTATTTCAAGAAAAGCATACCGCTCAAGGATGGGCATCTTTCGGATTTGCATGCGGGAGTAGTTCAAGTGCCATGCCAAATTATCAGGATACCAGGCCAATGCTCGTACAGGCTCGACGACTCCCCCATCTACCTGCTACAAGGTAGCGATTAACTACAAAAGAGGATATAGATTCATGACATTTAACTAAATACTTTACACGCACGGATACTCTCAGTCTCCGTAAGCTTGCGCCTTCTCAACACAGAACAAAAAGTAATTGATTGTCCAAAACGACCATAAAAGATAAACCCATGCAAAATATCTTCAAATAAATGACTCTAAATAGGTCACCATGAATTGAAAACGAACCACGGATATGAGAGCAGAAAATTACAAAGAAATTGGTCAAGTATATCGTGAGCCACACAAGAACATTTGTGAGTGTTACAACCAAAACGAGGTCAATTGGATGCTTCCTATGCGAGTGTCTCCAATTACGATGATAATAATTTCATCCAGTGTCATCAATTACGAATCTTCGTCATTTTCTTGAAAAAATTCACATGAAACTTTACCTCAACCCCACTTTTCAATTGATCAAAAAAGTCGCGCTGCATTTGATCCCTGATCTCATGAGCAAACTGTCCACTGCAGCATATAAACAGGAACAATAGCAATATATAACATCATTGTTTCAGAATAATGCTGCACATGGGCATCAGATAGTATGTAATCCAGTAACTTAACTATGTGCCGCCAACAAAACTACAGAGCCGGGGATTTTCTGACAATTGACATAACTTCTTATTAACGAGAATTGGCGGGTTCGCAAATCAAACTTACCTGCCATTGATACGAAATGTAGTTGCCAATGGCTTGCGCAACGTGGCAATGAACGTCTCCCATTCCTCTTCGGGTACAATCTTTTGCTTCTGTATAAAACAACAAAAAGTGAGTCGCTTATGTCCCAAGACCGAACATTCCTAAACCAGTGAGCTTGGTTGTGCACAAAGAAAGTCGCTCAGTTGTCACGTTTCTGAACACTGATAAATAAATAAATAAATAAATCCGCTTCAACAGATCGAGTGAACAGAATAACGATGGTAAACAAAATCGTAATTTTCAGACGACAGACGGAAAAGTAAGTTTCAGCAAAATGCGTAATTGTGAAGCACAAAGTCCAATTAAATGAAAACAATCGTATCACCATTGTGTAATCTTAATGTTGCAAAGACAAATTTGAATGCAGTAACAGTAAAGTAGCGAGAATTCAACTGTCCCACGCTGCTTCTACAACTCAATCCTCTGAACTGTTGTAGCTGACACCCCCAATGAAATTCCAACTTAGAGCAGCTTTACACAATCAGTCCGAGGCCAACTTAAGATGTGTTCACTACTCCCAAAGGTAGAGATGGCATCTGCATAGATTAAGCCAAAGCTTTTTAAATTAAACTTAAAGGCGCTGTTTGAAATTCTGTGCGATGGAAAAAACAAAAAACAAAAAATCGAAGTTTACCGTCATTCCCAGAACGAGAAAGTCTACGATTATTTTGAGGGCAAACCTCAACCTTGTAGCCACCCTACAAGATTGCTCGGCTGACCCAATAACTGCTAGCGTACATTCATTAAAAAAAATTCTGAACGATATTCTACGTGCTCAAAAGACTAAAACAGGTTCTGCTCGAGTTAAAAACAAATGTCATTCGCCAGCAGAAAACATTCACGAGTCCGTGCACGACGAAATTAAGTTGACACCTACAAATACAATCCCTCCACCACGCACCAACACGGAAGCTGCGAGTCCAAAAATTCCAAACTCCTCAAACCAACCACGAATTACATAAGTCGCCACACCGTCCTTACTCCTTCCGTCCAAAACAATGCGCAGAGTGTCACTCAAGAGGAGGAGAAAGATAGCAGGACGTTGCCTTGTAGAAAGCTTCAAAAGCAGGACTCTCCATGACGAAAGGATTCCACCCTTGTTCGGAGTTAGCATGGTGCTCAGAAGCAGGGCGAGACCGCTTCCATTCGTTCGGTCGTCCATCTTTGAAATCCCGTCGCTGTGTTCGGTTCCGCTTTCCTCCCCGCCCTCTACCCCCCATCCTTTCTCCCCCTCGCTCTCTCTCTTTCTCACTCTCGCACCAACTCCGCCCAAATTTACGTCAAAAATTTCCGAAACCTAGCAGAAAACAACGTCTACAATCGTAACGTAAGAACTACAGAAACTGCAACGAAGTGCAGGAGCAATGCACGCGACCCCGTTCGCAAAAGTGCTTAAACCACGAGAGTGGCAAAATCAAGGTTTAGGGTTTAGCTCACGGGTTGATAGAGAGCCAGGGTATCATCCCCTTCTCTGGAATTTAGCTCCGGACCGCGAACTGAGTCCACCGACACGTTCACACCGAACCCCCGGTCCTTGTGTGATCGATGAATACGAGAGGATGATAAGTGTCGTCGTCGTGATTCTGTGCGTCCTTGTTCATCCGGGGACACACTCTGGCCCTAGTGCGAGGACTTGTTCGGGGGAATATCTGTTTTGGTTTTTCCTGCATCTCCACCGTCCATTCCAGGTCCCTTTGATCCAACGGCGGAAACGTCCGGTTGTTTGGGTTATATTTGGGGTGTAGGAATAAAGTATAATTTCACTTACTTATACACCATTTTCGAAGTTTGAGATTCAACTACTATAAAAATCTAAAAATTCAAAAAAAAAATGTAAACATTTATATATATATATATATATAGTAGTTTTAGACGTTGCCTTATATATGAATAAAAATGTTAGAATGTGTACAAGTTACTTGTGATAATGATGATTGACATTGTGGTGTCTTTCTATTTCATCTTCCAAAGCTCACATCCAAAACCCAAATGATTGGATTGAAGTTATAGCACTGTGACTATCACGTACACACAAAATATGAATTTTCTTCAAGTATTTTTCAATATTTTTCTTAAAAAGAAAAAGATTGCAAGAACATCTCTGTCATAAGAATATCAAAAAAATAATAGAATATGAATAAATGCACGTTGAAGTTTTGTTACAAGTCCAAATCACATTACAATCTATTATTTAGCAAGTAATGAATACCTTTTTTATTGTAAAAATGTTGTTGAGGAAAAAAAGAAAAAGACTACAAAAAGGTTTCCACTAAAAACACCATTAAGGGCACATGAGAATGATGCCACTCCCGAAATCAAGAGAACGGTTCCCGGAATCGCGAGAACGCCGTCCACCGTGGTCATGGGAACATACTGAGGAGCATCGTCTCCACAAAACCCTCTAAAACCCGAAACCCCGATGCGTGGAATTCATTCTGAACCTCGATCGAGTTGGTAAGCAAGGTCTTCAATGAATTCATGAGATTCACAAGCTGGGGCTCAGTTGTTGATGTAATCCGCCTGCCTGGTAGCGTCGGAATGAGTCCTTTGGAATGCGCTTTCTTGTAGAAGGGCCGAATAGTTTGATTTTTGAGAGGGCTGATGATAGTGCTTTTATTTTTGGGGCAGGTTCGGTCGAAGACGGTGCGAGATCGGAGGGGCAGGGACAGGAAACAGGAGAGGGAAAATGAAGGTGCGGGCGGCAGTTCGTCGCCTCTGCGAATACTGCAAGGTAGTCAAACGGCGGAATAGAGTTTTCGTGTTGTGTACCGTGAACCCTAAGCATAAGCAGCGTCAAGGGTTTTGCGATGCTGCTTACGATGCTGAACTGCCTCCCTTGTAAACCTCGTACTCTCTCTCCTCTTTACTTCAGGTCATTTCTTTTTCATTTCAAGCATGAATTATTGCTACGGCAGGCGGAGCAGGGGCTTTTATGGATATTTACATTAGTTGGAAGGATGTCGAGCGTGCCGTTGACTTCTACTGATATTCGCTTCGTCCTTCTCTCGGAATGCCGTTTAATAAATTGAGAACATCGCTTTTTGCTTCTGTTTTTAAACAAGAGGAATTAGGGTTTTGGTTGAACCCTGTCAGGATCGGTCTCTGTTGCCTAGTTTTAGATAGCAACATTGGGGACTGCTTCTTTGCGTAGTAGTCTCGTCGCACTGGCATAAACTTCCTTAGATTATGTTGCTCTTGTTTCACGGTGAAATACACAAATTTCTAAGGAACGTCTTGTTGGGGCCGATGATTGGGGTGTCAATTGTGGTTATTCGCACTGGGCAGCCAAGTTTGGCGCAGGAGATGGCATGCACAGTGCGTTAATATTCGAATGGATACTTCAACAAGATGTACCGCTTAAATCTTTGTGTCACATTATTCCTAACGTGTGCAGCGTTCTCATGATTTCCTTGTGTGTCTTTAAGTCCTTCCTTTATAAATTTGATGCAGTAACATGTATTTTATAATTGCTTAATTGATTATTTGTTGGTGGTTTGACGCAGGCCACTCGATTTCATAAGACGGATCCCGAAGTCTTCGGATGCTAAACTTTCTGGGACGGTTGTCAGTCGATTCAAACCTGCAGAGTCTAATGCGGGCGTTGGGTTAGCATCGCTAGTGCCTAGTGCAACAAAGACAACGAGTTCCTAATTTGTTCACATAACAAGATGGTTACAACCTAGATTTTACTGAGATTCTTGTACCCACTTTCTGTGTTCGAAACAGTTGTTAGACTTGGTATGGTTCCATAAAAAATTTGTGCCTTGTGAGATACTCACACGTATTACTCTGCTTCAACATCATTCATCGCTTGTAGTACTCTTGTGTCCTTTTGCCAAACAGTGTTCATCAAACTGCATCCAGCTCTAAGGGGTGTTTTGAATGTATTTGGGTATTAACGTCATGAGTTTATTTTCGACCGGCATCATCCACACCAGTTCTTTTATCATGTGTAGACTCCTTCGAAACATTTCGCTTCGGGCAAGAAGGTGTTATAAACAGTACGCCGGCAAGACGCAATTTCATCAATTAATAAATGCTCGTCTAGAGCTTGTTCATACCATGCACTCAAATCCTGATCAACTCATCAAAAGGATATCTGACAAGGTACTTCTTCTCGAGATAGTAAGGAGGTTGCAGAACGCTGTTAGCTGATAAGTCTCTGCAGCTGAAAATCACTACAAATTCCCTAGCCCAACTTGTAGCTACCTATTCTTCCACGTATTCACGTAACAGCACGAGGTAATTCGAGTGAGTGAGTGTGCGGGCCTTCAAGAGCTTGCTGCAATCTCTTTGGAATATCTAGCAAGAAATCCACGATTTCCTCTACCACCCGATCTACCTCTTCTGAGAGTTTACCAAATTCCAATGAGTAACTGCAGTCAACAACGAAGACCGGGCGTCCTTTGATTACAGATGGTACGTTTGAATGTGTGAAAAAATATCCCGCCTGTGACTTGCCACCCCAATTTCCTGACATGTCCAGATCAATTGCATAAGCATTCCAGATTACACAGAAACTATTACACCGCATTTTCTGAAAATCTTGCGAACATGATTGTGTACTTTAATGCTTTCAACCATGTCCAACAATTTTTAATGCGCCATAATCATCAATAATAAGCTTCGCTTAAGGATGCAGTTCACCCCTACAACAAAGTCCGGACCGTTCAACGGTGAATGTCGGGGTTTTTCGTACCATTTCCAGCACCCTTGAATGCACTATCGATAAACCACTTCTCATGCTTGGAATGGAGGGATTGAAGGTACTCCAGGCTGACCCCTGCTTCCTCCGACCGCCCCCTGAGAAAACCAGCAAAACGCATAAAACTTTTCCTGAGAATTTGTACACTGACAAGAGCCTTGACGAAATCGTCAGCATCGTCTACTTAGACGTTGAATTCATTATTTTACAGAGCACAAGAGTAGCTCATAATCCACGGATTATTGCACACCATCGCCATTACCGTGTTTTCAAACGATCATAGCACACACTTGGATCCGCTCTCAGATATACAAAAGCATGAGGCACCTGCCATTGACAAGCCAAAGGTATCGGAACCAGGCAAGGGACAGTTAAAGGAGTCATTTCTGAAAGTCAGGTCGAAAATCCTTAGAATGGAAGTAAGCTGACAAAGATGTGCTTGTAGCTAGGGCCAAACAAGTACCACGCCTGGAAGTGTAGATACAACGCCATCATACCAAGCATCATAAGCAGCGGATTCAAGGGAGTTAAAATATCCTTGCTCCGTGCAAGTCTTCACAAATACACAACGATCAGTCAAGACTGATCGCTCCATCAGCAGCAGTGCTGCTGTTGATTCCTTCGCAGCTGTATTTTGTTGCAGAAACCGGGTCGTAAAGACGAAGCTCTGAAATAGGTAGGCGTATCTGCAGCAACCGTGCGCATGCCACAGAAGCCATATGTTCGAGTTCAGAGACAAAAATATTCATAAAGCATCCTTGAACATTGTTAATGATAAGACACTTGAGATTAAAATCCTGAATAGAGAGAAAGATGGTTGGAAATGGCAAATGCAGGTGAGAAAAAAAAAAAAAAAAAAAAAAAAAAAAAAAAAAAAACGACAACAACAACAACAACAATAAAAAAAACCTTTTCGGATCTTTGTAGAAAGCATCCAACATGTTCAGGCCTGTCCCCTTGACATTCTGCCACTCCCATATGGGCTCCTGCAACACTTCTGTCTTCCTGCTAAACAGCAAATAAACACACAATCACTAGGAGAATCATGACGACGTCCCTCAGCATAATAGTAACAGGGCATGTCCCGAAACCCCGAATAGAGCAAGCAAACAAGGAAAAGAAATAAACAAACCACTTACCCCTGCAGACGCGGATGTGATTGAAGCAGCTTCAGAATCGTCGACTTCCCTACTCCAATATTCCCCTCAAAGGAAACGCGCACGGCGACAGGCTCAGTTCCGATCGCCTCACAACAAGCGGGCCCATTCTCGTTGTGTTTCTGTTCAACGATCTCCATGAATCTTTCCCACTCCACTGCCACGAGATGGAGTAGCGATAAGAGCTCGAATGTTAGATTTCAGCGACAAAGCTACGCCTAACCTAATCTACAGTTCAGATACGAGAAAAATTGTGGAATCACTGAAAAAATGCTCACAATCTGTCGGTTGAGCTCTGCCCCAAATCCACCAAACTCAAATTGACGCCAAGAGATCACCAACGGCAGGTCAAATTCCCGCTGAAAACATCGAGTAGAAAATCAAGGCATCAAACTACAGATTTCTGAGGCGGCTTCAAAAATGCCGACGATGCTTAGCCTCGAGACAACAACAGCACCACCACCACCGAAGCAAATCGACACCAACAACTGAGCGCTGCATTGCGAGAACAGCAGCTTCATGCGCGATCGACGCAGCAAAGAGAGGGAGACTGAGTTCCAAGTGGCCATGGCCTCCGTCTGCCATTGGGACGCCGCTGCAACTCTCGTCCCCCTCCGGCCGCATTGCTCGTTCACGATCTCTCGCTACTCGCAACCTTGGGACACTATTCCGATTATAACTGTCGCCCTCGTCCGTTTGATTCTAATTTTTAATTCGAACTGTCGCCCTTGCTGACTCGAGAAGCAATTTTCGATGAAAACTGCTCCTTCCGTTCCACATGATCCGTGTTTCGTTCGGAACCGTCACTCGCCTTTTTTTGAAAGTATTTTCCGTTTGCAACTGTCGACCGCGTTCCTTCTGAAACATTCTGCCGTTGGAATTAGCAGCCTGCCAACGTAGGCAGAAAACGTGGTCCGTCGGCGACCGACGGACGGTGGTCTGATGATTTCAGTGTTATATTGGCTCATTTCATTTACCTAGAATAAGGAGGCCACATTTGTGAGTTGGTTTGAGGTTTGTATATAACATAATATAAAAAATAAATAATATTTTATTTTTAATATTAAAATATATACAACCAAAATATCATTCATTTTTTATAAATTTAACAACCATCTTGTGAATTATTCAAGTAATTTAATCTTTGATTAAATCCCAATTATTTTTACTTCATGCAAAATTATGACAAAAAAATTTATCAAACTAACATTCATTAGCATTAAACAAGATTGTGGTTTTTAAACAAATCATCCGTTGTATTTTAATATAATGAAATAAATTGTTTGTATACATGGGATACTCAATTTCACAAGTTTGTACTGCTATCCAATAAATAAATAAATAAACATGTTTGCTAAATCTTACAATTAGTTTTGATATAAAGTTCCAAAAAATGTTGCCACTATATTATTGTCAGGCTTACTATATTGGACAAGGAGCTAACGTGGCTTGAACAGAAAATGACACATTCATCTCCTTGCATAGATGTACTCAACCTTGTGGTGATCCCTTATTATATTATTAATTAAAGGAGTTCTTTGTGTGCACACAATGAGAGTTTGTAAAGGTGATTGTAATTCCACTTAATTCAAAGGGATTGGGTCCTTCACCATCTTTATCCTCATTTACTTTTCTTTTTTCTTTTTTCTTTGTTTACTTACAAACACGCATAGATAAAGAGAGGACAAAAACAAACAAACAAGCAAACAAATACAGGAAAAGAAATAATGAGAAGAGAATTGGGACATTCTCTCAATGGTTGAGGAGAAATTATATTTTGGATTTGGTGATAAGAAACCCACAAATCATAATTTTTTGTAAAGGAATTGTTGATTAGACACCTCATTTTTTAAGTAAAAATATTTATATTCAATTTCAAAAATTAATATATGGAAATATCAACAAATCTTGCAACTGAAAATTTTAAAAATCAAGAAAAATGTCAAGTAAATAGCGGGTTGTGGTGGCAGTAGCTAAAATAGTGGTGGCACGATATGAATAGCAAATTGTGGTGGTAGTATGGTGGGCAGCACTGGCATATGGTGAATGGCAAGTTGATGGAACGTAGCATTATTTGAGATGGGAACCCTAGCATTAATTGAGATGGTTAGTTAACCATAGTATATACATTAAATGGTAATGCTGGCCTGACCCGGCCCGTTCCGACGCGAGATCCTACGGTGTGTAATGCACCTCGTGATGATCCTATGTGGCGTTCCCCGCCTTTTTGCTTCCGCCTATGTGGCGATCATGATTAATACATCTAACGATTACACTTTTTAGAAACAATGGAGAGGAACACACAACGCCATTGCTCAGTCCCTTGATCAGCAATCTCTTTCATCTTCTCTCGTCCCGTGGAGTATCGAGATTAATCGCATGGCTCCTCTACCGAGCGTTTGCCACCGAAAAGAATACGTTCATGCTACGGCAGTGTCAAATCGGGAAACTCATTTCACTTTTTTATTTGTTTGCTCTTATTTTATTTGTCTGGTAGGAGCGGTAGATTCTTGAGCTACTGGCACGGCATGGTATTAGGCGGTAGTCGTCGATCACAACACCAGCACGTTGTGAGGTGATTTCTTTTGTAAGAGGACGCTTTCGATGTTGAGAATGAGGACTACACGTGGGAGGGTAGGGTGATCTTGAAGGAAGCGTGGGACATGGGTTGGATTTCAGCTCGGGATTGCTGTAGACGTTGGGACGTGAACCAGGCTCTAAAGTAAATTTTGCGGAGCGTGCGCATCTTTTGCTCTTGAGTGATTGAGTGATTGAGGGGATGAGTCTCCTCGTGGACGAAGTGGAAGATTCAGTGTTTGGAGAAGAGGTTTGCGCAGCTCAAAAGAGGAGATCTGAAATTGTGAGCCGCGATGCAGTGTAATTTGCGTATGTGTGTGGCTGCGGATTTGGTACTGTTGTAGTTGTGCAGTTTGCAACACAATCGCTTGGTGTAATCGCGGAGGAGCTGCAGCTCCAGTTCGCAATTGAAGCACAAGGGAGTATTGATTTGTTTGTCTGCAGCACCAATCATGTCGCGGGAGATGGCGTTGGATTTCTTTCCAGTAACTTTTGGTGACATCTTGAAGAAGCGCGCGCCCGAGTTTTTCGCTTGGCTATTTCCTGATTGGATTGCCAAAAGATGCCCCATGCCATCAATTAATCTCCAGGTAAGCTCATGGCATGTCTTGCGCTTCATCTCATGCTGCACTCACATCTGGAGCTGCTGTGGTATGTATTTGTCCGATTCGACTCGTCTACCGAAATCGTGTTCCGTCCGCGAAATTTGCGAAGATTTCTGCCAACTCGAATCTCTCATTCGGCATCAGAATCATGCTCATTAATCGATTGGCAGGTTCACGGCGCTAAAACACCTCCGATTAGTATTGAAGAAAATAGAGTCTTTCAATTCCATAAGTTTCTAGGGCTACGTAAGAGGAAGAGAACTCGAGGGGATTAGTGGACATTGAAGTCGCAAGTGACTAGGTCGTGGAGCATCTGTAGGTGTGTTTGGGTCAGGATCTCCTGGTCGAGGGCACACTATAACGGGATACTCTGTTTTTTGCAGATTCCGGGGCAAGGCTCTGTTACTTTGTTTTGGCCTGTGTGCGCCATACTGATATCCTCTGGCTTCCTAACAAGCTTACTGACTGGGACACCCATGCTGATCCGCGCGCTCCGCGAAGGCGCCCGAGCTCGCCAAGGCCTTTTTGCCTGGTCCTGTGCAATGCTGTGGTACGGGTGCATGTGCTTGGGCGGCCTCTTCTTCCACTGCCTCCACATCCGTAAAATCCCTCACATGATGGATGTCTCTGGCACAGGTCTCTCCTCCCTTTTTGTCATCGCCGGATTCGCAGCGTTCAAAGGTATTTTAGACGACCGAACAACAAAACAACGTCTGACACTGCTCATCTCATCCTTACTCTTCGTCATTGTGGGCAGCTTCTCTCCACGGTGGCTCCAGGAGCAATTGTACGTTGTCCCTAGTTTAATTGCTGCAGGAACAGGAATCGTATTTATTCAAAAATCTCCCGCAAAAAGCCCTGGCCCGGAGTTATCGAGCGAACAGAGAGCCAGCCACAAGGCAGCGTTAAGGTGGCTGAATGCAGCGGGGCTTGCAGTTGTGGTTGGCTTGGCCGCCATCTCGCTGGACAAGTACCTATGCGTGTACCTCGGCACGGAATTCACCATGCTGTTCTGGTTCTTCCTGGGCTGCAACGCGGCCATCTTCTTCGTTGTACAATTCGCCCACACTGCGGTTCACCACAACCTACAATTCACTCACGTAAAAGTACAGTGAAGGGAAAACAGGTGCATCGACGCGGCGCTGGCGGGGGGTGCTCCTCACACAGCCTCACATTGGAGCTACAGGAATGGAACCCGAGCCAAAGGTGGGTTGGAACTCGAATCGGGTCCCGGCAACCACGCGACCTGTTCCGTCCCCATACTCCCCCCAGGTGCTTATCACTGGAATCATGGGGGGGGGGGGGGGGACCGCGATTTATTTATTGCTTTTTCAGCTTGCCTAACGCTTCCAAGTTATGGTTCCAGACCTTGGAGTGTGTGTATACCAAAAGGACTTTAATTAAATCCATAGCCATGACCATGAGGGATTTTGATATATTTCTTATTTTAGTTGGTTTTAGATACTTGATTGTTTTAATTGCTAGACAATTTTTTTGTTCCATTACGTTGAGACAATTTTACTTTTGCATTTGATGTAGATTTCTATTTTTATAAAATTGTAGATTTGATGCAATCTAGAAAATTATGATTTACCAAGCTCATAAATTGGCTCCCAAGTTTCATTTAATTTTGTAATTTATCGTCATAAATTGAGATATATAATCTAATATTGAAGAAAATAGGTTTTATTAAATTTTAATTGCATAGATAAATTTACAAATAAATAAATTTTAGAAGTTTTTATTAAAATTGCTATTTGGATTTTTACCTAAAATTTTATTCTTGAATCAATATTGTATATAAATAAATAAACAAATAACTATATTTTAATCAGAAATTTCTATTTTATTAGTATTTTAAATTTTAATGGTTTTGACTTATTAAAATATCATGTTTATCCTTATAAAACTAATATAAATTTTAATCCAATATGTTTCATCTCTAGATCAATTCTTTACATTCAAAGTATTAATTTTTAACTTTTAATTATATTAGTACCATTTTTAATAGATTGATTTTTCTATAGAATTATAAAATTTTAATTACTATAATATGTCAATTCACGGTGTCAACCTAAAATTTTGTATTGAATTTGTATTGGATTTGTATTTAATATTTATTGTTAGAAAATCATTCAATACTTTGAAGAAGGTTTTTGTGCTTTATTAATCTAATATGTAAATATATTTTTCAATTAGAGAAAAAACTAATTAGTTTATCAAAACTTTTTGATACACATTATTATAAACGAAAATGGTATGTCAACCAGAATATTATCAAGAAATATTATTTATGTTAATAATTAACCAAAGCTCAATAGATTTTTAATTTATTTTAATATAAAAATCTTTTTAAAAGTTTAAAAGTAGATGCCAAAGATTTTTAATTGGTATTTCAATAGTTTTTGAAGTATTCTTTTTTCCAATCACCAATTACTATTTTATTTAATAAAATATAAAAACATTAAAATAGACTAAAAATTTAATTAGCAATAATAAAAACTTTGAACTTATGTCAAAATTAAACGTGATTTTTAATATATAAATTTATACATTTAAAATTTAACAGGTATTTGTACTTAAATCTATATATTTATTTGTTGGTTAGCATTAATTTTTTTTTGTGTAGATATACAGATTTAATTGTCTTTTTTTTGTAGCACTGTTATTTTTTATTTTTATTTTTATTTTTGTTTTACTTATGTTTCTACCAAAAGTTTTATAGTTTTCAGATGTTATTAGTTCTATAAATACCATAAACTTCAAAAATCATGAAAAAATTAAAACCTTATTTTATGAACAGTTATTTTATCTCATCTAAAATTTTAAATTCTTAACTTATTTTACACAATTCATAAATTCTGTTTCTTTAAAGTTATTAAACAACACTATTTTAAAAAAATATATGTTTTTGCACTCATCAATGTCACTGTTCGTGATAACTTTATGTTGTACTTAATGATTTTGAGAGACTACAATGGTGACAAGCTGGAAGCGCCTTCTTTTTTTTTGACATTAAGACTTTGTAAACCCATTTTTCTAAACCACTAAGCTTTCACTGAGGAGAATTTTACATTAATTATAGCATGTTCGCAAGGGGTATTTCAAGGTCAATACTATACTTCTAACATGCAAATACAATAACACTTTCGAAAGGACAAGAAACCAAATATATATTTTTTATCAATTAGTTTGAGCAATCATTTGACAAGCAAAAGGACAGAACTAGTCGTGCTACCGTCGGTCGGCGATCGAAAGTCCGCAGAAACCGCACCGGGATCGAATTCCCGTCCAGAAGTCGGTGAGCTGGGCTTACGCCGCGGTCTCCGCAAGCGCCAGGACTGGGCCACTGCGGGGGCAGCAAACGAGAGCGAGAGAGCGCCCCATTTGTCCCGGATCCGCCCGATCCACGACGCAGGATCGCCGCAATACGCGCGCACATTTGGCGCACGAATGCCTCCTTGCGTAGATTCCCAACGCCCCACAAAAATTCCGGTACGAATTGGTGGCAATTCGGGAGGAATCTGGGTGGAGAGGGGGTTCGTGGGGTCAGCAAAGGGGCAAGCCAAGGGACGCAGGGTTCGCTCGCTCGCTCTTGGGCTTTGTAAGCCTCGAGGCGATCGGTCTCTGAGAGAAGTTGCTGTGATCGAAGGGCGGAGTGGGTGCGACGATCGATTGCGGTAGATCGAGTTCGTCATCCGAGTCTAAGTTAGGGTTTGGGGTTTTCGAGGCGCGAGCCCGGAGGTTGGGGTACGCGTGATTGCCATGGCAGGAACATGGCGAGCTCGGGCGATGCAGGAGCGTATGGCTCGGGTGCTCTCCAGCAACCTCTTTGGAGCTCGCGCTGGCATGTCCCGCCACTACCCCCGGTACAGCATTCAGCTCTATTAATCCCCTAGTTTTTACAATGCTGTTGAATGTGATTGATTCCGTGACTGATCAGGTCAAGTTTGGACGAAGTCGTTTTCATTCCCATTGAGAAGAGAGGACGTGGAGTGGTTTGTGCAATTGTGAAACCAGTTCAGTGTTGTGGAAGTTGCGAGTGAGTGGTCTCAATTGAATTTGAGTAGGTTTTGAATCTCCAGTCACTCATGTGGGTCAAGGAGGTTTAAGAATCTTGGATCGTCTATTGGTTTGTATGTGTGTTTTCAATATTGTTTTTGAATACCAACAGTCCAGCCATTTTTCAAAATTTATGTGATCATCGCATTGTCTTATGATGATTATGCAGTAGCTCATCTCTATACATTAAGAGTTTCTTTTGTCAAAATTCTGGGTGGTTTAGGGCACAACATGAAGATTAGGGCTGTTTTGTGCCCCGTCGTGTTCTCTTGCCTACTTTCATTTCCATGTACAAATTCTTACTGCCATTAATATTTATTAAGATTGTTTACTGTAGTATGGGCATGCCCGTCCTTTGTAAACTTCATAGCACATTGTCGTACTGAGGCACGCTCTTTTTTATTTGAAGGGCAGTAATATACCAGAATACAAGCTAGACTTGTCAAGTATGGCGCTGTCACCCGATTTTTTTTGTTGAGCTTCATCAACGTAGCTATTCTTATTTCAAGTTGCGCAGATTACTATTAGATAATACTCTGCAGATGATCGATCCAGTATCAATATCTTCATGTAGTAGAAGTGTCTGTACGTGGTTTAATCGACCTGAGCTGCGGATGCTTTTTTACGATGCTGAAATTATTTTCATTGATGCAGTCCTTCTGGTGGCCGCACCAAGCAGTTAGATTCAGAGCTGCTTAAGAGGTCGGTTTATCATCATCATCGTCATCGTTTTTAGTGTGTTGCCATTGTGAATGCGAGTTGTAAAGTGCGATTCTGTTATCATTGGGTTGTTCACTCGCACATATACATGCATAATCTGAAATCAGCATTACAGAGTACGTGCTTCTACTGATTAGCAGAGGTCGAGTGCGAATGCTTTACCTGAGAATGTTTATTGATTGTACAGGAATGACTTTACCACGTTGTCTTTCATCCCGGAACGTCATGGGTTTTTGACTCCTAAGGTACATCTCGGATAGGGTAAAGGGGCGTTTACAACTTGAATTTGTTTAGCACGTAACTAAAGCTAGAGACTTGACCAAGAAGAGAAATCTTCTATTGATCCGTTTAGTTTTTGGGCTTTTGACAAACATAAGATTTTTACACTGTGCATTTATGATATTTGTAACAAATGGCAGCCTAAATTGGACCCTTTATTCGTATTTTCAAGATAGCGAAGTTCTTTTGATTCGCACTGTTGTGTCATTTTTTGTGTATTGTTCATCTTGTTTGTACTCCGTGGGAGTGCATATTAACGAATACATCTCAATGACGAAGGTAGCAGGGGAATTAACTTGTTTGCATTGTCTCCTTTCCTTTCGTATACAACTGCAAGTCTTTGAGATCAAGCTGTTTCTCGTTTATTAGTTCCTGACAACTGACTCTTTCTGTTTGGGATGGGCTGTTGTCCTTTTGGGCGATTCAGTTTGCGGACGGTGTTCGCAGTTTTTCCTCTGCTGGTTTGTTCTTCTGTTGCATTTGCTTCATGGTTTTGAAATTTATATCCTTACAATGCTATGTTTCACAAATAAATGAGATTCAAGGATTAGATTTGATTATTAAGAATAGTGTTCATAGCAATTCATGAACTCTATGTTGACAAGGGTGGCTTATGTGCTATCTAACTGACGTTCATATGTTTGGATTGATACCACAGATCTACCTCCTCATGAAGTTGTGACAATGCCTGCGTTGTCGCCAACAATGGTAACTCAGTTGACGCTATCCTTTTTTGACCTAGCCCTACATTTCAGAATTTGTGCTTTTCTGTAATTCTGTAATTGAAGGTCCTCTTTTGTTTGGTGATTATTCATAGCAGAACGTTTTTTTTGCAGACTCAAGGAAATGTTGGAAAGTGGAAAAAGAAAGTCGGAGATCCGGTGAGAGTCCCTCATACTCTGGAACATGTGCCCAATATTCTGCAATTTTAGTGAGTTTCAAACGTGAACTGTCATCCCAATGGTTTCAGGTAGCAGCTGGGGAGGTCTTATGCGACATTGAAACCGACAAGGCAACACTTGACCTAGAATCCATGGAAGATGGGTTTGTTCTTTTCCATCCTTTTGTGACAGAGTTGGTTCTCTTCATTTTCACCGAGGTTTAAATCTGTTTTCTTGTGAAGTACTTTTAAATCTTTCTATTCAAGGATCAGTGGATTCTATGTTGCATCGGGTTGCTAATGCCTAATCTGTTGACAGAGTCCTGGCAAAAATTCTTATACCTAGCGGAGCGAGGGACGTGCCAGTTGGAAAACCCCTTTGTATTGTCGTAAGTCTTGACCCTTATTCGCCCTTCACTAGGACTTAATGTAGAACTTCGTGTACCAATTTCCAGAGTAATTTGATTTAACATCATCTATTTTAGTGCACCCTCTCTGTTGAAGTTTGCTGGAAAATTGATGTCTTTGGTCATAAATTCGGAAATATGTAGGCCGGGATTTTGACTTAGATTGTTTCGTGAGATCATGTAAAATGGGCGGATTCGGCTTTTCAGAAAGGCGTGTATCGTCGTGCCGTAGTTTTTGTTTTTGTCGTTTGTGTAAAATTATAAATTAGGCTCATGTTTGGGACTTCTGAGTTCTTACTAATGGTAAACGACGTGCTTCAATGTTTTGAAGTCAATAACAAGTCTTGATTCGAGGTGGTAACTATCTGCCATGTGGTTATTGGTGTAGGCTGAAAATGAAGAAGGCCTGGACAAATTTTCAAGTTATAAAGATGACGAGGCAAGTTCGGGAGCTAATCAATCAGCTCCGTCTCCGCCCAAGCAGCAAGCACCTCCATCTTCCAGCACTGCTCCACCGCTAGCCTCGACTCCCCCTCCTTCTGATTTGCCTCCTCATCAAGTTTTGGCCATGCCAGCTTTATCTCCAACAATGGTATGGAATTATTAGAAGAAGTTTTCAATTTCATTTTCAGTGGACGTAGCTTCAAATACATTTGTACTCTTTATGTGCTTATTCTCTTAAGACTACAACTTAAAACCTCTTCAAAAAGCTTTCAAAAGCATTATAAGTCTTATCTAATTTTTACACTTGATCGCGAAGCGATGTCGAATGGCTTCTAGAAATTAGTTTAAAGGCCAATAATTTCATCTTTCGATTCGATTTTGGAGATCCTTCGATGTACTTCATTCTGTTAATTGTCACAAACTGTTTTGCTAACACATTCATTGTTGCAATATTGTCAGACTCAAGGAAATGTTGGAAACTGGAAGAAACAGGAAGGAGATAGGGTATGCCTCTCATGAATGACCGTGTCGAAAATACATCTGAGGTTAATTTTGGGTTTTGTTTCTTGTGGTTTTAGTTAGTTGTTCTAGAAAGTAACGACACCTTTGCTGGTGCCGTGATTAGCCGTTTCTAAAATTTTACGACTTTGTAGGTAGCCGCAGGGGATGTTTTATGTGACATCGAAACTGACAAAGCCACGCTTGACTTTGAAACGCTGGAAGATGGGTATGAAATTTCAAATTTTCAACAATGTTCAAGTGTTTGTGCTTCGCACAGCAACGTTTTGTGCTCACTTTAACTTTGTCATTCACGTAGTTTGTTGTTTTGTTCTCTTCTTTTTTGGGGGGGGGGAGGTTATCGTGATGTGTTCTAGATTTTGTAATTTTGAAGGTTTGGTTTGCGTTTTCAATCTATGATATTGTTCAATTTTTGTTGTGGTCATTTGTTTGCAGAATCCTGGTCAAAATTTTGATGCCATCTGGTTCCAGGGATGTTCCTGTCGGCAAAGCACTTTGTGTAATTGTAAGTTTGCAATGTGCTTAAAAATGGTGGAAGATATCGAAATTATAAGTGCTTTTATTCGGAAGAGATACGTTTTCCAGAAGCAACCTCTAGAAGATTATGTTATTAGGAACGGATCATGTTCAAAGAAGTTGGCGATCGTTGGTCGTGGGTCCACCTTTTGTGCTTGCTTGCTTAAGATCATATTAGCGTGCGAATACAGAGATTACTATAACTCATCTTTATTAATCGACAAGTATTACGTGGTCTCTAATGGTGAGATTAGTGAGAGTGTGCTTCTTCCTCCACGGTTCTCGAATGAGTTCATATTATTTGTGCTCTCTATATTGGAAAGAGAATATGCGTTTATTTTACCCATTCAGTTGGGACAAGCAGGGTGATGAAATGAAATCAACTCTGGAACTCAGTTTGATTCTGAACGCAGGCAGAGAGTGAGGAGGACGTGGCCAAGTTTGCTAGCTACAGTGAAGGAGGAGATCAATCTGCACCTCAAGCTTCTGCTCCCAAACAACAAGCGCCCGTTTCTTCGTCCTCTGCTCCGTGTCCAAGGACACCACCGGCTGACCTCCCACCTCACCAAATCCTGGCGATGCCTGCACTATCTCCAACTATGGTACGCTCTTTATCTCTTTTAACCATCTTCTGTTTATGACTACATGGAACTGGTGAGGCTTGGTCTGGCTGCATGAATTAGCTATATGTATGTTCTCCTCAGTCTTATTGTTGGTGAGATGTTACATGCAGACACAAGGTAATGTTGGAACCTGGAGAAAGAAGGAAGGAGACCAGGTAATGATATCGTCCTGCTTCTTCTTTCAAGCTTTCAACTTTGGCACTTCAATGCAATTGTCCTATATTACTTGCTAGAATGGACTCATAATTGACGAGGATGTGGAACAAAAACAGATAGCAGCTGGTGATGTGCTCTGCGACATTGAAACTGACAAGGCTACGTTGGACTTTGAGTCTTTGGAAGATGGGTGAGCATGAAGCATACATAATATAGTTGTCACTTCGAGTGTCCGATCTTGTTTAAAAAGAGTGTAGCTTGCGTGCAACTGGTTGTCTACTTATTTGATGACATTCTACAATGTCTTGCGATTTCCGCACTGTATACCTTGGAGACTGACATTCGAGTGTTCTATTCTTGTGGTACGGCAGTTATCTGGCTAAAATTATTATTCCATCTGGAAGCAAGGATGTGCAAGTTGGCATGGAGCTTTGTATCATTGTAAGTTCTGTTCCTACACTGGCTTAGTTTCTCAGTGTTCTTCTGCAGAGAAGGTATTGTTTATGATCTACAAAGGGTTCATTGCCCTAGGAATTGAAGATTGAAGAAGTATTGTGGGCGTATTTATATTTTTCTCTTTGAGCTAATTAATATGTAGGGAAGCTTTTGTTTTTAAGTGATGGAAATAATCGGCACATGCTGCAAGCTTTTCCAATATTATGAACCCATCATCTGACGCTGGAGTTTTTTACAACAGCTCTATCGTTTTAATTTTGGAGGTTTTAAATCGTTCCCCTTCACGACACTCTTTTTTTTTATTGTTCTTCAATATGCCCTATGCTGCTTTTAAGTGAACCGTGCATTTTTGTTACAGGCGGAATCAGGTGAGGATCTTGACAAATTTGCATCCTACAGTGATGCATCAGCTTCAGCGGCCACAACTTCTGTCAGCAAACCTACTGAAACTGCATATGAACCGACTCCAGCCCCCATGACCAGTTCAACTGTGAAGGGTAACATAGGTCCTGCGGTTAAAAAACTTCTCGCCGAAAGTGGACTAAATGTCTCACAAATACAAGGCACGGGCCCTGGTGGCATGATTATTAAAGGTGATGTATTGGCTGCTATTAAAGGTGGTATGAAACCACTAGCAGGTGACAAAGCAGGTGACAAAGTGAAAGGTGCTGCTGCCCAGACAGATGCTGCTGCTCCGAAAAGTGCACCATCTAAAGCACCGACACCTGATACCTCATTGACTTTTGAAGACATACCTAATACTCCAATCCGCAAGGTATCACATTCCGTGCTTGGTTTAGATAGTGGATGTCATTGTCGCATACTTTTGGATTTTTATTTATCTTTTATGTGTCGTTTTATAAAGAAATATGGTTTCTTTCCTGTATAGCATGAGAATGAATTGGCAAGAGTCCTCTCGCTTACAAGAATCTCAAGTCGAAACAGATATTGAAACGCCTGTGCTCTGGGTTATTTAAATTATTGCAAAAAAGTTCTACAGGATCTGCTAATATTGGAAAGAATTTGGATCAGTTACTCGCTTAACTTCTCAGTGTACAGTTTTCGATCCATGAACATACTACTTCACAGATAATGTTTCAGTAGTCACAGATCAAGAGCCACATAATTGGATAGTACATGATTATTGCATTCGTGCTTATAGTATAAGCGCTCTGCACACTGTTGGGAATTTCATCGATTATATATTAGTAGAATGGCAGTTGCTTTACAAACTTTGTTTGCAACTGCAGATTATTGCGAAGAGGCTTCTTGAATCCAAGAACATCATACCTCATGCCTACGTGCAATCAGGTCAGAACTGTATTTGCAATCGTAATGTTCATTTATAAAGGATCCACTTTTCTGCACTTATATGCACTACAATTTGCATTCTATTGAGTGTGCTTTCACTGCCCTGAGTGGGACTTATTCATTTTAGGTTTGACGAGTTAATGTGGCCACAGCATATTTGGTAAATGTGGCCTAAGTCTCTCCTTTTAAAATATGAGTACATTTTGTTTATTCAATATTGTTGCACTAATTAGACGCATCCTCGCATTTTAAGCGACATTAATTTTAATGCAAACTGCTGATTCTTTTACAATTGATCCGATATTGTGTTTTTGTAGCTTTTGACAGGAACCCAATTACTTTAGTTTAATTTGGAATACGCATTTGTCTCCTTCTTCACCTTCCACGTTCAACTCTTTGAACTTTAGTCAAGTAAGGACTAGCGCAGCTACATCGCTGGTTGTTTCCTAATACTGCTTTTCTTCATTGCAGACACGACTCTGGACGCTACGTTACGGTTCAGAAAATATCTAAAAGGTCTAAATCTTTGTTCCAATTATTGTGTTTTAGTAGTTATGCTTTGATTCTTCTTGCAACTTGTTAACCTTGAAGTTCTAGTAGGCGTCTACATTTGGCAGTGGCAGAAACATAGCTGTGAGGAAGGTGGCTTTCTACTAATAATAGTTTTGAATTGAGGTGTTGTAGACACGCATGGCATCAATGTTTCAGTAAATGATTTCGTCATCAAGGCTGCTGCACTTGCTTTGAAGGAGGTTCCTGATGCCAATGGTAATGGTTCTCGATGTTGATGTATACAGTGGTCATTGAGGATGTGTGACTTGATCATTTGTAAGCTTGAGCACTTGTCTTCAAGAAATGCTATGTTGTATCGATTGAGACAATTATCTGACCTCACATAATCTGACCAACTTAATCAATTGGTGTGCTGTGCAGCGTTTTGGGATGATAAAGTAGGGGATCGAGTAAACAACAACTCCATCGACATATCAATAGCTGTTGCTACGGACAAGGTACAGCGACCTCTGAAATCCCCACTTCGCTATGGACAGTAGTTTGCATGGAATTAAAATCTAATCTTATCAGTGGCCTTGATTAACGGAGTAAAACTGGCTGTGCTTTTGGATGTATAGGGCTTGATAACACCAATCCTGAAAAATGCGGATCAAAAGTCTTTGTCAACAATTTCGGCGGAGGTACGACTTCATTACGCCATTTCAATTACATGTGCTGTCTTTATTTTCGGTTTCGACTGTACTTGACCAGCATTGGATTTGTGGAATGCACCTTTTTTTAGCGTCCAAATGTACAGTAAGAGCAGGATTTACAGAAGGGAAAAATATTTTCGATCTTTTTGCAGGTGAAAACATTAGTTGAGAAGGCTCGGAATGGGAAGTTGAAACCTCATGAATTTCAAGGTGGCACATTCAGGTCAGTTCTCGCTTAGCAGTTTTAGCCTACTTCTTACTTAACATTTGGAGTGCTTCAGCTGATGGTTATATTGAAGAGATTCATGTTGGAAGTCTTCCGCTCTTCTTTTCATTTATTCATTATTGATGATTTTGACTCTGGCTGATAATGTTCACAGTATATCGAATCTGGGCATGTTCCAAGTGGACCACTTTTGTGCTATTATCAACCCGCCTCAGGTACTCCCTTTCAACATCACAATATCCTGCGACTAGTGATCGTGGTTGTCATGATTATTATAATATGTTATCTAATTCCTATCTCGGTGTGTAGGCATGCATACTTGCGGTTGGTAGGGGCGTACAGAAGGTGGTTTGGGATGAAGACAGCAATGGTTAAGCATTCTTTCTTGCCTTCTTTCTCTACTAGAAGTACCATATTTTCACTAATTTGTTTACTTCTATAATCTGTTGTATGTTTTCAACAACCTTTATTCGAGTACGGCATTTTCATTTTTAGATTCCGAATAGTTTACTGTGTTTGAACGCAGGGATCATCTGGGTTGTTAATCACTGGGGTTTTGCACTAATATTATGTTTTAAAATTGCCGAAACAGGTCCGAAGACCGTGACGCAAATGTTGGTAACTATATCTGTGGATCACCGGGTATATGGAGGTGATACAGCAAGTAAGCAATTTGGAATATGTTTTCCGACTTGACCATTAAATTCTAAGTTTTGTTTTTGTGCATGTTGCATCAAAAATATCTATAGAAATATCGAGCATAGTTTTTCCCCTCATGAGTGATGAAGAAGATGCCCTTATTGTATGTTTCAAAATTTGTTAGGTGGAGAGCATGAAATGATCCCAGTACTGGTTTTCTCCTCTCTTTCCGATCTACCTACAAATTCTCATACTGGAAAGATAATTGTTTGTGATCTGTTGTTGCTGATGCAGGTCAGTTCTTGGCGGCATTCCGGAAGAATTTGGCTAATCCGCAGAGAATGTTGCTATAATGCATTGTGTGGAGGACTTGCTCTCCAGTATCCAGTATCAGATCAAAATAGTGACTCCCTTGCACATGTGCTTGAACTTCTTAGTCCACATTGAAGGTTTGTTTACCATCGCATTCAGAGGCAGGCACGGCGTACACCTCATGCACGAGTTGGAGAACAGGATTAGGTGGAAAATTGCTTGTGCCCTCCCAAACTGGGTGCTTGTAGTAGTAGTAGTGGATGACCCCAAATGGAGTTTAGTGAGGAACGTTATCTATTATGCGTTTTTCATTTTAATGGACCTGTAAGTTTTGCCTATGCTGCTTTGCAATGGCATTCCCTTACAGAGGAGATCATGGCCTCTGCGCCAATTGCAATAATACCTCAGCAATCATGGCTGTATTTTACAGAAATTTGGGATTTAAGTTTACTTTGCATGAGTCACAGGAGATTTGTCAGAGGCAAGTTGGCTACATTGCTTACTTCCTGACTGCATATCTCATCTGTGTTACTTTCAAACATGATAATTTCGTTCAGGTTAATTCCCGTGGTTCTAGGAGCTTGTGCAATTACTCAGGTGGCTGATTGCTGAGGCAAGTGGAAATTTCAAAGTTCCATGTTTTAACCACTTATATATTCTTCATCGAGTTCATCTCACTATTCAACATCTTTGAAACTTTGATCTCAATCAAACAAAATGCGAGCTTTGAAAACTTGTGTCCTGAAGGTTCGAGATCGTATCAACTGTTCTTTTCTTTTGTCTCTATTGACTTGAATTTCCGTATATTTTTGGTAATTCCAACGGAAATAATTTACTGATAACGATTTGCGAGTTCAGGAATAATTTGCCAAAACAGGAACTCTTGTTAATTTACCAATAATTTGCTAACATGTTTTTGAAGAAATTAAAAATAATTCTGTAGATAACATGAAATCTATATTAACACAAAAGAAGTAAATTGGTAGACACAAATTTCTTTTTTACACCAAGTTGTTTCTCTCAATGAAATGCAATTGTATCAACGTTGCTTTAATGCTTATCGCTCGATGATATTCTACTCTATCTTTTATTTCTCAATACTTGTGGGTAGACCTTATATCTAATACATAGATAGTGAAATGAGTTTTAGTTTTCACATGGTGTAAGTGCAATTTGTAATGAGAACGAAAATTTTAATAATAACGTCAGCAACAATATGTTGAATCATATGCACTTTCATGCATCCCTTAAACTTTACTTTACTTAATAAAAAATAAAAAACGTAGTAAGATTTACATCCATCCATCGTCGGATGGAGGAGGGCTGCGACGCTATTGAAGGCAGGCGGCGGCTGCCTGCTTCGGGAATGAAGGCCTGCTATCGAGCCTCCCGTCACTGCCCTGCCTCTCGCAACGTTGAAGCTCTCTTAAGCAAGATTCGCTGCGAATCCGTCAGTACTTTGCCTTTCCGTGCCTGCGTGCTTGTTTGTTTGCTTGCTTGCTATTGTGATTCTGAACGCAGTGAGTATCCTTGGGCAGCCTTTACGGATCAGGTTATGTTGGCTGTGTGTCCATTTTCTTTACTACTGCGAGTACGAGGTGGCGCAAGCCACACCCGGGAGCTCTCGACTTCGCAACCATCCGGGATGGCGAGTTCTCCTCGAATTTCGAATTCGTAAGAGGGAATTGACGTGGCGAGGTATCAGAGGGCTTTGCAGATCGTTTCCTGTGACCTCGTTCTGCGGAGGAGAGAGGTCGTTGTTTTTTGATGCTGTCCCTGCGAAAATGCCCGCTGCTGTTTCGTCTGTCCTTATAATCTGCGGAAAGGATTGGACCGCGGTTTTAGTCTTTCGGCGTGTTTGGCCCCACGGGATTTTTAATTTCAGTGTTGGCGCTTTGATTCGTAGGTGAATTACGCTGCCTAATGGAACACAGCACATCGCATCGCGGAGTTTTTGAGCAGTGAGGAGGAGAGAGTTGGTAATGCCAGGGTTTCCGTGGTTTTCAGGATATGTCTTCCGAATATGAACAATTGAAGCTGATCAAAACATCAGCTTGCGGAGACGGCCTAATTGTTGATCTAATTGTATCTGTTGCTGCCGATGTTGCATTCCTAAATCAAACTGCATTGGTTCTATTCTACGCTGCGATGGGCGAGCCAATGATCTGGTGAGAGAACCCTTCCGCCATAGTGTATTCAAAGGATGTTTTTATTTTAAAGGCTCCATTGGTTACGTGAGCACTGATTTGTTGCTCAAACGTGACCGTTTGTTATTTCTCGTAATGCCAATGTGGCTTCTCTCTTAAATGTCCGGATCAAAATGCGTGTGGTGTAAGAGTTAGTAGATGGGTTACTGCTCTTGTGTGCCATCTCGTCATACTGCATCTGCTGTAGTGTATCTCAATATCTGTTTTCCTCTGTCATCAACGTATTAGATTATAGTTTTAAGTTTGCACCTGTGTATCCCCAGGTGAGATGCGCAATCTCAACGAGATTTGGAGATTTTTAGGAAAGATGTTGACATCCAAGCTCAACCACTCAATTTCTTTCTAATGAACAGCACCTGTACTCAATATGCAAGTAATGGAGGCTGCTGCGTGGCGGCAGCCGTCACAAGCTCCCACGGCAGACCTTGTTGGTCTCCAGATTGGCCTTGCCACAACTAGTGAAATTGTAAGAATTGCAACGTGTTTACATTCGACTTTTGCTCCACTGATCATTCTTCTCTTAATTGCTTTTAGTCTCTGAGTTATAAGTATCTTACTGCAGGCCGTTTATTAAGGGTGAAGGTAATGGGGAGCTTACAGAATTTTATTCTTTGTGAAGTTTTACAGTTGCTCAATCCAATAATTTGTTTTCCACACGGGTGTTTGCAGCTCGGACACTCCGTTATTGAAAGCAGAAGCAAGGACACGCTCATTTCTCTCGTAGACCCTCGGCTTGGTTTACCAGCTGAAGATGAGAGATGTGCAACTTGTGGAGGCACCAATTACGACGAATGCACAGGTGAAGATAGCTGAATTTGGATTTTTACGAAGTTTTTCGGCGGTATCCATTTCTACACTTATTGCATGTCCCGTACTTAGTTGATTGTGATCCTCAGCCCTTGAAGCAATTTGCTTCCACTTTCTTAGAGCTCGTTTTCTATATATTATTTTTGCAGGGCACTTCGCGCACGTGAAGCTTACACAACCGATATTCCACCCCAATTATATACGATGTGTGCAACGAGTGCTTCAGAAAATATGCTTGGCTTGTGGAGTTCCAAAAGTCAAGAAAATGGTATTACTCATCTCTTACTAGTTGCCATATCATGTGCCTTCTGCTTGTATTACGAATCTATGCACCCAGTCTCCTGTTCTGTTCTTTCTGAAACTTTACTCGTTTTGAGGTCCCTGTCTCTACTGAGGAACCGGACGTCTTAAGGTCATTCTCTAGGGATCAGGGAAGGTCTGCGAAATCTTGGTAACTAATTGCATCTGCGTTTTTTTCTGTTGGTATTTATGGATGATGTAGTTTGTGCGCATATGGTTTTCTTCGCTGCAAATATCTTTTAACTACAAATATTTTACCGTATGTTTGTCTCGGTTCAATGCAACAGATGAATTTTATTCTGTGCGGTGTTTGTACTTGTGCTAGATTGTGTGAACTTAGATTTTTTTTTTATTTTTTGTAATAAATATTTGGTTATAACGCCAGTTTCCGTATAATTGTTGCAGCATCAATAGATATGGTCTTTCTCGGGTGATGTTTGTACTCATGATGTTCTTTTCCTTGTCCTTGCTTATCTAAAGTAGTTTGAATGGTCGATGTCACGATTATCGTCTTGACTTGGAAACGTGGTCGGTGGCAGAAATCTTTCAGTGAAGAAGCAGCCAACTTGAAACAGAATTTTCGGGACATTGACTCGGAAGACGTTGGTGGGAATGGAGAGCATCCTGTCTTGCTTGAAGCTGATGCTATTGAGGTCCTCTTTTTAATAACTTAAGATCGTCGATCTGCTTCTGTTGTGCCTCACCTGAGGTTAAATTTGGGCCAGTATACCATGACGATTTTCTTTATAAGTTAAACTTTGCGCATTAAGTCGGTGATCTCCCTTCCAAGTAAAACGACTGTGGTATTTTTAACTTATTTATTTCTTTGTGCAGAAAGATGCAGATGATGTTGTAATTCTCCTTTCTTCAGATGAGGAGGAATATCCACGTGACATTCTCCGAGTTGTACCGAGTGGTCCAATGGATTTCTTAATTAGATCAACTAATGAATCTGCAATAGCAGACCTTCCGCAGTTGAAAAGCTATAAGTCTAAAAGCAAAGCGCACGCCAATGGGTTCTCGCATGTTGATGTGACCCGAAAGAGCACAAGGAAATCTTCTAGTAAGAAATCTTCTTCCACACAGGTGAGGTGCCTTTGGCTGTAGATTTTTCGTTAATAAAATTGTTTTTCTCTCGTGTCAAACATCAATGATTTACATGTAAGTAATGTTTTCTGTGCTATAAGCTGATATCATGTTCTTTCGAGTTCTGTAGGGCAACTGCGGTAACCGCTGATTGCCTAAATTCTGTTATGTAGTAAATTTTTCTCTGTTTGAATGTTCTGTGCACGTGCAGAACCCTGTGAAAATATATAAAGGAACACCAGCAGGTTTGGATGTTCTCAATGCAGATACTCTCCGGACGGCCGAGCCTTTGGATACTAATACATGTCCTTATTGTTCACCTGGTTATCCCGACTATCGTCACATCCTTGTGAAGATTCTTCCGGTGAAGGGGAGGAAAAAGAACGATGTTTCTCAGATAATACTCTTGGAGGTGCAAGGTTCTGACAAAGGAGAAAAGTTTCTGCTTCCACATGATTTTTGGTCATTTATCAAAGGGGCGGCTTACCCTGAGAATGAAGAGGTTCCAAAAAGTCATGTTCTGTCACCATTAGAGGTGAACTTATTTGCAAATAACCTGTTAGTCCTTCTGTACGATCATCACCTTGAGTGTAGATGTTCGGAGTTTATGAAGAGCGTGTTCGTATCATTAAGTGGTGCGCTGGGAGTTTTCATTCTTCCTCTTTTTCACATCTTTACAGTAACGGAAATGACTGGTTGTCTTCAAAACTTTCTTTACGCAATCACCCTTTAATTTTGGATTTTGGCTACCCAATCCAACAAATGGCATGATTGCTACCATAAGGTTATGTTGAAGCCGATGCGTTTGATTGTTTGATCTGACGTCCACCGTGCATTTTCAAAATCTCCCAATTATCGGAACATTTACAATGTTTTTGGAATTAGTCCGAATCTCAAAATACCGTCTATTACAAGCTTGTCTTGTCTGCTTACAGTGTTCTATTTAATTTTTGCAGGCACTTAGTATATTGAAGAAAATATCAGATACAGCTATTGGAAAGCTTGGAATGAATGGATTAGTAGCACGTCCTGAAGGTCTTATAATGAAGTGTGTGCCTATTCCACCCAACTGCACTCGCACAACAGATTATAAATATGTTAGCAACACGACTGCTGTGCGTTTTGGCACTGTAAGTACCGCTTTTTTGTATTGTATTATCAGCCAATCTCCCATCATATTTTAATATTTGTATCTACTTTCTGGAAACATGATTGACCAGTGTATTGAGGTTATACAGGATAGAGTCACAAGAACCTTGCAGAATCTGGTTAATGAGATTGGGCGAATTCAGAGAACTAGAACGGGGAAGATAATGAAAAGAGGTCAAAGGGATGAAGTCAAAGTGCTCCAAGTACTTACGGCTGAATATTTGCGGGAGAAAGGAGCCCCTAAGGTATGATTTTGATTAATGTTCAATCGTAATTTTCCCCATTTCTGTAATGCCTTATTTTGGGGTTACCGAGTTTACTGAAGAGTTTTCGGGTCACGTTTTTAAGAAGCGTGATTAAAGTGGAATTTGATTTGTGGGAGCAGGCTGTTCCTGGTAAAGAGCCGCTAAAGAAAGACCGAAATGGCCGATTCACGAAGCAAGATGACCATCGTTGGACCAAGGATTGGATCAGTCAGAACTATTTAGGGAAAGGAGGAAACTACACAGCTAGGGCTGTCGTTGCAGGTGATCCTTCTTTAGCCATAGAGACTATAGGAGTTCCCTTGGAAATTGCACAGAAGTTGACCGTACCAGAAAGGGCTACCAAGTGGAACCGCTCCAAACTACAAGAATATGTTGACAGAACTCAGATGCTGCAGCAGGGATCTGGTAAACCAGGTGCCACTCGAATTGTGCGAAATGAAGAAGCATTCCAGGTTTGGGCAAACAGTACTCACACGGTGCAGATTGGGGATGTTATCCACCGCAATATTCAAGATGGGGACTTTGTTTACGTGAACAGACCCCCATCTGTACACAAGCATTCACTAATGGCCCTGAAAGTTCAGGTTCACTATGGTCTTGTTCTCACCATCAATCCATTGGTTTGTCCACCATTTAATGCAGATTTTGATGGTGACATATTCCATGTTTTTATCCCCCAGTCATTACAAGCTATTGCTGAGCTCGAGCATTTAATGGCAGTGCCGCAGCAAATTATATCTGACCACGGAGGACAGCCGCTTCTTGGGCTCACCCAGGTAATTGTCTTCCCGTTCAGTTTTTGTCACCAGCGCGTTCTTTATTATTTTCTCTTCTCTTCGTTTGCGATATTTTTCCTAGACTATCAGCTCTATTTCTTAAGGCTTGCATCAGTGAACTTCATGATAGTATTGCTTGTTTGGATGGGAAATGAAGCATCTAATTGTGGGTCGTAGTGAATCTGAATCCGATATAATATCCTTGTACAATTACAGGATACATTGTTGGCTGCTTATCTTTTGACTAGTAGCAAATTGCTGGTGGACAAAGCTGGAATGGACCAGCTATGCTTGTGGGCCTTGAAACAGCCTCCTGACGCAGCAATTGTGAAGTCTCCAAAAGGGGGTCCATTTTGGACAGGGGAGCAGATATTTGGGCTCACCCTCCCAACAGATTTGCAAGTCGGTGCTCCTCACGAAGAAGTATTTATTGAAGGAGGAGAGGTTATAAGATGGAGCAATGGAGCAAAGTCCCTGCGCAAGGATAGCGAGGGTATTGCTGCAGCCCTTTGTGTCCAATTGGGACCAGTGGCTTTAGTGAACTATCTAAACACTGCGACAGGGTTGCTGCATGCTTGGCTACAGATGCATGGGTTCAGCACAGGATTGGCTGACTTCCAGGTCACTAGCAATTCAGCAGACAGACAGAAAATGCTTAAAAGCATTTTTGAAGACTATTACCAGAAATCCATACAAGAATCATGTGATTCAGTACGTATTTTGGATGCTAAAGTACAAGCAATGGGTCAAGAGGTGATTTCAAGCCCTGATCATCTGACAAGGAACATCAATTTTTTGGAACAGGCTGCTCAACAAACATTTAGGAATCGGGAAAGTGAAGTTGAGAGCATTGTGATGAAGTATGCCGCAAGGGACAACGGTCTATTGATGATGGTTAGGTCTGGAAGCAAAGGTTCTAGAGGCAAACTTCTTCAACAGATTGCAGGCATGGGGCTTCAGCTTTACAAGGGTCAACACCTTCTTCCCTTTTCAGGCTCGCGTCGATCCTCAATGTCAAATTCGTCGGAGCTTGATTGGTGGGAGGATAAAGGGTTGGTCAGGAGCTCGCTTGTTGATGGGCTAAATCCTTCCGAGCTTTTCAATCATGTTATTGCTGATCGGACAGTCATACTTAGAAAGCACGTGGAGGTTGTTCAGCCTGGAACCCTCTTCAAGTCCTTGATGCTTTTCCTACGTGACTTGCATGTCATGTACGATGGAAGTGTACGCAATCAATGTGGCAAGAATATAGTGCAATTCTGTTACGGAGGAGCAATAGGCGTACTCAAGAGAAGTATCCCGAAGGAACGATTGAGTCGTAGTCAATTCGAAGTGGTAAATCCAGCGACACCAATTGTGACGTGGGAAGAAGACGATCTTAAACGATGGCCTTTGTCAATTCTAGCTGGGGAACCTGTCGGGGTGTTGGCGGCGACGGCCATATCCCAACCTGCTTATGAGCTGATGTTGGATGCGCCATGCTTGAATGGTCCTTTCAAACCACGGCCACTGGAGCTTGTCCAGGTATTGGCGCCGTACTACACGCCTGCATTGCCAGTATTACTTTCTGTTCTATTTAGTTTACTAATGTTCTGGAGTTCTTGAGGTACGGTACATAAGTAGGTCAGCTGGTAGCTGCCTTTTCTGGAATTTTCTGCTAGATAAATTATCTGAAGGGTAATTATTATTTGCCATTTGGATGGATTGTGCGCTGGGCATAATGCATTTTTTTTTCCATGAGAATCATAAACTGACCCTGTCTTTACTCCCCTCCGGACGTCCATGCAAGTTTCATTATGACTCTGAGTGCACATGACCAGCCTTTTAAAGCTCTCCTTACCTTTTCCAACTTGGCACAGGAAACTCTCTACCCGCGGGCGAAATCGGTTTTGAAGCCCATTGATCGAACTGCAATCATTAGGCTTGTAAATTGTCCATGCACTCAGCCGCTGTGTTTAGAAAGGAGGGTACTTGCAGTCCAGGCTCACTTGAAAAAAATCAGCTTGAAGGCGATAGCTGAATCCTGTGCTGTTGAGTAAGTATACCGGTCTTATTAAATTTTGCAGATGCAATACCACATTTTTATTCTCCAGTAGCTCCTTTTCATTCTTGAATAAGTTTATTACTGGTAACATTCTTAGTATCAACAGAATACATTGATCTCATTCTGGGGCTTCATATCCTCTTAACGTGGACTTTTTGGTCAGTCGTACAAAGATTGCCACACTCAGATTTTTTTGCTGCGGCTTTGTCAGATTTTGGAATATGGAAAACTTTGAAGTAGCCGGTCCTAGCGGTGAAGCTCTTCGAATGGGCTCACCTTGGTTAGGGCATATCAAGCTATCTCTGGTAAATTATCTGCACGGTGATACTGAATTATAGCTTGTTATTACGACAAATATTCTTGAGAATGCTTTTACAAATTATACTAATTGTTCTGATGTAACTTCTGTTTTCTGTTTTAATTTTACTTATCTGGCAAGGTAGCGTCTCGGCTTTGTTGAGATTATTACAATTGAGATTGTTACACCGCCTTCTGCATAAATTTCGATAAGGTACCGATGCGATGGTCTTTGACACAGTTGTTTAAGGGCACTACCTGGGTTGTGAGTATTAATCAATCAGTACTGACCGAAGAATCTAGTTCTCAAAGTTGGAATCAAATGAGATTCTGCGAGTTGTGCAGTTGGAGGCTTTGCTTGGTCTTAATAATTGCTGCGTGTTTACAGGTCATTCATAATTGAGGATTAACATAACTTCAGAGTCCGTAGGAGGAATTGAGTAGGGGATCGATTGGCATCTTGATGAAGCAGGAGTTGCTGCCAATATGCCAGCTTGAACTACTTCCATTTTGATTTTGTCCCTATGTTAGATGGGGCGTCATTACTTGTCTGAGAGCCCCTTATTGTTCGTGTGCTCTCCCTTTAATTGACTTGTTTTGCGACACGTTTATTGGTCAACTGGAAAGTACTTTGTAGTTATGCTCTCGCAGTATGACATCCATACGTCTACAGTACAGAATATCAGTGATAGTGCATTGGCATAGTGCAAAGTCCCGAACTGCGAGTATTTGCTGCTGCCTTTTGTGGTGTACTGTCAAATAACAATTATCTTCCTGCGTTAGGAGCTCGCTAATTTTTTCATGTTAGGCTCTCTGACTATCCTCGAACAAAGATGCTACTTAGGATCATGAAGCTTTCTACCTTATTCGTGGTTTGATTTTCGATAATGCTTGCACTGTTTCAAGCTTTCATGTCAACAAATTTACTTTTATAATTTATTGTGAATGTTGGACTTGACTTTTTTCTGTATTGCAGAACTTGATGAAACAACTTCAAGTTGATGTTGAACTTATGGTGGAGCGGCTTCGGCAAAGGTTTAGTGGGATTATAAAAAATCCAAAGAAGCACCCAATGGGACAAATTTTCTTTTGTGTCAGGTAAATTGAACCTCATTGCTCAACCATAGCTAAATCCTTTGTTTTGTGGCTCCAAAATCTTTAGAGACCTCCAGTACAGTATCGCATTCCTTGTTTTCTAGTCAGTATGCAGTCTGGTTGATTTTAAATTCTCCGTTGAGAAGTTAGTATATTAAAGGTCCACTATTTGTATCAGATAGATAGCGTAGGTCGATGAGTAAAGTTGCGGAGTTTTTCAAGTTGTAGTACTCTTTCGGTAATTATGCAGAATAGCAGGACTCAGCTGCATGTGTGGCGAGTGTATCCGATGCACTCCCTCATTTGAGTCATATGTGCTCTAGAAATTTTCTTTAGCATTCCTTCTTTCGCGAAGTCTTTTGGTTGATCTCTTCAGTTTTGAGGTCGTAATAGTTTTGTATTGAGGTATTGCTAATGTGTAAAGAGTTGCAATTGTTCATGTATGGATATTTCATTCTCCATATGGTATTTTGGAACTTGTTTTTCTTTATTCCTTCTTTTGTGTCGATAAGAGTAACCTTAGATGCTTTGCTTTTGGGGGACTTACGCATCTATTCGCGTTGGCAACTCATTCCTAAATTGCTGAGTGCAGTTATAATTGCGGTATTTCTAATGGATTATGTCTACATTTTTCGCCGAAATTGCCGAACAAAATGCAAAATCAGCGGAACGATGAGATTTATAACACTGCCTTGTTAGCCCTGCTCCTGAAAATTCGTGGGACCATCATTTCTGGTCTTCTTGATTGCACAGTTAAAGGTAAACGGTGTCCGAATCTTGGGTAGTCAATGCCATGCTTTGCATTAGAGACTATGTTTGTGGCGATTTCTAGGCTTATGTAACAGCACCATGTTTAATTGAGCCTGTTGATTCCAATTTTCCTATTGTGATTATTGTAGTAGGATGTCAGCGTTGTTCCAACAATGTACTGAATATGTAATATCTTATCAGTTTCCTTGTCACTCTAGATAGATGACTGATTCAAGCAATATGTATTTCTTTTAGGTGATGAAAGAATAGAGTCTGTGATAATCGTTAGCGAGGATCCATCTAGGACGACTTGGCACCGCGGACTTACTTGCAATCAAGAACTTGAGGAGGAGCTTGTTTTAGAAGTTGTTGTTTCTCCCACCAAATCAAAATCGAAACGGGGTGATGCATGGGCATCGGTGAAACAAGCTTGTCTTCCTTTGATGCATATGGTGGATTGGAATAGAAGCATGCCTTACAGTATCCAGGAAATAAGGCATGCTCTCGGTGTTGAAGCTTCATATCAAATGATCTCACAGGTTAGAGTTTCAGTGTTGAAATGTGATCGCCCAATCGTCCTAATGTTCTTTTAATTGGTAATTGCACGTAGTCGCTTATACTGTGTCACTCAACCTGGCTAATTTTCGGTGTTTCCGTGAACCAGAGACTTGGTTTGGTATTAGATAAGACAGCTCCACACACACGTTCTGTGCATGTGAAATTGGTAGCTGACATGATGACCTTCTCTGGAGATGCAAATGGTTTCAATTTTTCTGGCTTTCAGGATATGAATAAAAGCACTGGTATTTCAGCTCCGTTTACGGAGGCATCATTTCAGGTAATTTTAGAAAATATTGAAAATACTTGTCTGCTATGATTTTACAGAGTTGATATTGGATAATTGATTTTTTTTGAAGGACCTGTCAGTATGATGACGGTTTCTGATTGTCTGTTTTGTGTCGTAGAAACCTATAAAAACTCTTATGGATGCTGCTGGAAGAGGTGCTACCGATTCCGTTGAAAGTGTGTTGGCAAGTTGTGTATGGGGCAAAGAAGCTCCACTGGGAACAGGAAGCAACTTTGAATTGTTTTGGCAACCATCAAAGGCAAGCATTCCTTACTAGAGCAATCCTAAGTTACGGTTGTAAGATTTTAGAGCATCATGTATCGAGGAATGTGTTATCGTTGTCTGTTTGGGCAATCTTCACTAAGTCTTGGCTTATTTTTCATTCAGTTAAACCATGTGTGTTTTCTCATATTATCCAGGACCAGTCGAGACTTGCAGCATCAAGGAAAGCTGAAAAGGACGTTCATATGATCTGGAAAGATTTGCATGAAAAGTGTATTTCGGATAAAGTCCTTCCACCCTCACCACCCCCCTCACTTCCAGGCCTGCCCACCTTGCCTGATGGAGATGTAGATTTAGACGATGGAGCAGGCTTCTCACCACTGCACGCTTCAAATGATGCAGCAGATGACACTTGGGGTTCACCCCACCGAAACAATGGTGGAGATGGCGTAGCTTGGGGAGATTCTCCAGTAGTCAGAGACGACGATGGAGGTTGGGGTGCTGTTGGGAAAGGAAATGATAGTAATGAGGTCGACGGTTATGATCAGGACAATTCAACGGGTGCTAGCAAAGAGCTAAGTGGATGGAGTAAGCCAGCATCAGAACGAAGTGGCTGGGGTTCTATGAGTGACAAAGAAGGTTCTTCTCGGAACGCTTGGGACGACTTTGGCAAGGAAGATCGTCATGAAGGATGGGGAGACGGTGCTACAGAGCCAATCAATGAAGGGGGATGGGGTTCTTTGAACAATGAGGAAGGCATGTCTGGAAAGAATCTTTTTATATTTTTACTGCCATAGCTCCTCATTTTGCTGTGTAAATTCTTACTGCTGACTAAACGTTTCTGCGTAATTTTGTTTTTGAAGGAACTACAAGCGGTGCGAAGTGCAGCAGCGATTGGGGTACTAACGCTGTCCAAGAAATTGGGGATGGTGGTTGGGATGCTGTCTCAATTGAGGTTCCTGAAGGTGATGGTTGGGATTCACTGAAAGTGCCTCAAACTGAAAATGCTGAAGTTGGTAGCTCCGAACATGCTGATCGCTCGTATGGACCTGGAGCTGACGGCGTCTCACAAGAAGGGCAATTTAGAGCACGAGGTGAAGAGAGTAGACGGGGTGGAAGGCCCTGGACCTCTCGAGACCGCCGTAGATGGCGAGGACGCGGAAGTTTTGGAAAAGATCGGGGTTCCTCTGGCAGAATGTCTCCAGGCAACAGGCAAAACTCAGGCACGATATCTCGACAGGAACAGACCCCTTGGGTACAAGGTGAGAACTTACAGCCATCGTCATATTGGGATGATGTTCCAACCAGCACAAAAGAATCTGCTGGGCGTGATGAGAATTGGAATGAATCTGCCTCTTATTTTCCCAAATCTCTTTCTCATTCTCCAAACCAAGAGTCAGCCACACGTTTGTAGCTTACTCACGCTGCTTCTGATGACATTGGATTGTAAAAAGACTTGTGGCGTTCAACTATGAAATTATTTTGTCTTCTTATCCTCGTTGCTACGTTTAATTGCAGTAGATAAAAAAGAATTTTTTAGATTGACATTGAGATATCTGCCGGGGCATGTCTGTCCTTATGCTGTATTGATTTCTTGTCTTGTTGAGCTGATACTTTAACACTCTTGTATTTTTCCTCCCTTTCTAATTACAGCACCCAAGACTAAGCTGGTAAGTTTTTCTGTTACTATTTGGGCAGAAACTGATGTGGAGTGGGGCGAACTGATTACAGGTTCTACAAAAGCTGATGCCTGGGCTAAACATGCCTGGGCGTCTTTTGGAAGCTCTCAAGGCGAAGTACAGGCAGGTGGTGATGGTTGGGACGCAGTATTACCAGACAACTGTGGAGCAAGTAACAGGGCTCATTCAACGTACCCAATAGCTGGATCTATGCCTCCTACATCAAGGCAGGATGAGGTTGAGCCAGAGTGCAAGGATATTGATGACCTTGTAAAATCTATGCGGCGAATCTTATTCAACCCGTGAGTGGACCTGCGTTCGATTCTTTTGCAGTAGCTTGGTTCATTAATAAGTATGCATCAATCTTATTCTCTTCACTTCTAGCGAGTTTGATACTTGACAAGAAACTCACTGGAAGTTTTATCTGTTGAAATTTGCAGTAGAAATGAACTTGGTGGCAGGCTTTCTGACGAAGATGATGAATTGGTTCAAACTGTTCTTGCTTATCACCCTAAGTTAAGCGAAAAAGCTGGATGTGGCACTGCTTACATCAAGGTTGTAAAACTGCTTTTGTTCAACAGTTATCAAGCTTTAAAATTTTGCTCAAACTTTTAGAAACTATGCAAAAAATAATTTCATTGAGCTGGCTGTAATCAGCAGGTTGTCCTTCTGCAATTTATTTTTATGTTTAAATCTAACTTTCAAGCGCAGCTAACAAGCTCAATCGAAAAATGGTGGTACAGGTGGACAGAAGTGCAGGCTTCGTAAATAATCGTTGCTTCTGGTTGGTCAGGACGGATGGAAGCGAGATTGACTTTTCTTTTCACAAATGTCTCAAAGAGAAAGTCGCAAGAGAATTTCCATCTTTCCTAGATAGGTATGATGATGTGTATCAAGCTCATAAACGTCCCTTTCCTACCGCAAATTTCGAAGAAAATAAATCTGCCGCCCAGGGCAACATTGATGCAGGACCTTCTGCTGCTCACTTACTAGAAGATATGCCTATTGATCATGAGGATCTTGATGCGCGACCTGCTGCTGCACACTTACCAGAAGGTATACCTATTGATCAAGAGGATCTTGATGCGCAACCTGCTGTTGCACACTTATCAGAAGATACACCTATCGATCAAGAGAATCTTGATGCGCAACCTGCTGCAAATTCAATATCTGTAGATACTCATTTCGATCAGCAGGAAGACATTGACACACAAACCGGCCAAGAATCTGCCCCATCGATAGGTGTATCTTCAGCTACAAAATTGATTTGTAAGAAGTTGACAGAACCTGTTCATGAGCACCAGGATACCTCAGGACCGCATTGAGGTAATACAATACCAACCCCTTGGAGAGTTTCAGAAGATTTCTCCTTCCGACATTGGATCTCATGGAGATTAGCTGGGAGGATTAAAGGCTGTGAACATTCATGTCTGGACATGGGCTGGGAGAACATATATTGTGGGCGCAGCGTTTTTGTTTTTTGTAACCATGCTTCTAGCTAGTCAAATTGTAAATGCTGGATGTCCCATACTTGTCTTTTTTTTCATTAGACACTTCAATTTGTATAAACTGCCGTTGCTGAAGTTGATAGGCACCCAACACTTTTTGTGCGATATAGAGAGGCGATCTCTGGTTTACCCGTTTATTTTTTATTTTTCGTAGTGACAACCAACCAACCGTTACTTGTGATGAAGTGCTTATTTCCAAACATTATCTTCAGAATCAAAATGTTTTGGCAACTACATTACCTTTCTTGAAGCTATAATTTGCGTGAAACCTATTTGAGATGGAAATCGATTTAATGACATGTTTCATTAATCGTGCAATTGTGTCACAAAAAACCAATAAAGAGAGTCGCTTAAGGGATCACTCAAGTTGTGTCACAAATAGGTGAGTTTGAGTTGTCATTTTAAAGGAATTTGTTGTAAATCACTACTTTCTTCACTACTGCGTTATTACAATTGTTGTATAATTGAATTTGAGAAGAATTAAATCACTCTCAGTAGTCAAATTCATAACTTTTATTGTATTTTGAGAAAAAATTCAAGAAATTAATTTTAATAGACAAATTAGGAATTCTTATTTTCTGGTAATTCACACACACACACACACACATATATATATATATATATATATATATATACATATATGTTTTTTTATATATAAATGGTAAAAAATATCTAATACTTCTTCCATTGCATCTATACATTTATAAAGCTCTCAAAGCAAATTTGATCAACAATGTTTCATTAATTACTCCATCACATTAAAATGTACTGTAATTTTATATTTCTATTTATTAAATTATAAATAATTACTTGTCTAAATAGTTAAATAATCAAATATGCTTTAATTAAGATTTTTAAATATATTCATTAAACGTTTTTAAATTAAAATACTTTAAAGAACATTTATTGCATAATTTAGAGAATTAATTCTATTTTTTTGTTTTTTTTTCCCTTTCTGTTGTAAACAAGATTTATTCAATATTTAGGTTAGAGATTGCATTACAAGAACAATTAATATTCAAAGATCTAGTATCTTAGGTTGAAAGTAGAATGTAAAGAATATTTACATAATTATTTATAGTCTATATTGTTAATCACATTCAACAATTATATAAATAATTAGACCTTTTGTAGAATTCTAGAATTCCAACTTGTTTTTTTTATCTATTCTCACTACAAATAACTTGTAAACCATCCACAATCTATCTTAACTAAACATTTTAGCCTCCTAATTGTCAAATTGTTTTGTTTTGTTTTTTTATTTTTGTTATATAACTATATTCTATGAGATTTGACTTCTTAGTTTTATAATCATTTTATTCCTCTACATTAAAAAAAAAAAAAAAAAAAAAAAAAAAAAAATTGTGTTGCATCCAAATTGTACAAATGTAGATGTCTTTAAATAATAACCATATTCATTTGAACTCCTTGGATCTAAGATGCATATCTTTAATAAAAATAATTTTTTTTTTAGGGAAAAAAAATCTAGAAGTTCTAATGTCTTGGACTTGTGGCTAATTCTTTTTAAAATAGATGTTATCCATTTCTAAATATGTCTAGCTTGAAGACACTTCAAGAATTTAAATAGCATTATTTTCAAGACTTAGAATACACAATTGATGTTAAAGAAATGTATCTTTATTAGATTGTGTTTAATATTCAATTCTAGTAGCACTCTTATGATATATCAGTCATACAAGCATTGCTTCTTCACATGTTCTTGTCTTAAACCAAACATCCTTCTAGTTGATATTGGAACTAATATCTAAATCATCCCTCTATTTGCATGTAATCAAATTATTTTAGGCTTTTTGCTTTTGCAAAAGCTTGCATCTTACATTTTTTGCATGCAACAAATTTTTTCTAATATTAGGTATAGAGATTGAAACATGCCTGTATTTCATTTTGATTCCTAGCATATTCCGGATATTTTCTAAGAAACAAAATCAAATTTCAAGCCACAGAAAATGTACTTGAGACTTCTCATCACAAATCTTGTATTTGTTAACAAATAGCATATTACGTTAAAATATAATGTAATTGGAATATTATATTTATATTTGCACAAAGCAACACGCTCTAAGAATAGATGGTAATACTAGTATCAGACTCACTGCAGGTTCCGACATTATACATGGTACATGAATAAGTAGCACAGGAAGCCGCAAGCAACGCTTCTGAACCCGACAGTTTCAACTGGAAATACATAATTCGGAGAACAAAGGCAGATTTTATTGGGCAAACCATATAGTACCTAAGTTTTATTACATCTGTGTTCAATTATTTAAGGCCCAACACAGATGCAACAAGTGTCGATTCAAATCTGCCGCCATATTGAGCTGAAAATCATTGCAAACAAACACAACATAAAACCAGTTCCATGAAATTTCCGAAAATTTACTCGTACATCGATTTACAAGATTAGGGTTTCAATTCAAAACCTCCTTAAAGTCCCGCCACGAAAAGCAGAAGTGAAGGGGATATAACATTCGAAGTACAGAATACGGAAACAATCTTCTACACTCAAAGCCAGATGAAGTCCCTAAATGACACCTCAAAGTATAAAAGCCAACAAAATATATCCAAGACAGGCTCAAGAAGTGTCTTTTGAACCAATTCTCTACAAATAAATTTGTTGCAGTTTGGGGACTGGTATCCGGTGCAACCTCGAGTTTAGCAGAACTCACCAAGTTCGATGCCACATCCATTGAAAGACTTCTGCAATCGCCTTTACGCACAACCACCCAATTCTAAGAGTCTTGCAGAGTCTCTTTCTAACCCCTTCACAAGGTCATTGCTGCCGGGAATCCCATCACAGGTTACCGGTATCCCAAAAACACTGAAGAAGCTAACATCATTCAACAGCCACTGAAAATGTCCCCAGGCTAGGTACGAATTGGGAGATGAACATGGCAGGAAAATTTTCATGATCAGAACTGTTCTTTTAGGGAACAGATAACCTCTCACTCCGCCTGAATCTTAAGTGCATCTGCTCCAATTAACAGACACTAATACATTAAGTTTGCTGGCATTATCCTTCGCAGGAACAGTGAATAAGCTCGGGAAAATAAGCTTGGTCAGCATCAGGTTTGATGGGTGTTATCTTCAGTTTCATCCATAGCTTGAGCAAGTATCTGCTCTGCCCGTTTCCTTTTCTCATCTTTCTCTTCCTCCTTGACACCGGGCCCGCCAGCCTTCCCTCGTTTCGAGGGAGGAGGGGGAGGGGGAGAAGGACTTCTACCCAGGCTCAGCTGAGCGGCTACGGCCTTTGCACGCGCCTTCCTCCCGAAATCGAACGTTAAAGAAACTGGCATCCTCTCTTTTGCCCCCGGGATTGCACTCCCTAATTGTTCTCTTGGACTTCTGACAGCAGATTCATCAAGCTCTCGAGCAGCCATGGTACCTTCCAATATGGGAGCAAACGCATCCAAAACAGATGGAAGAGCAGTCTGTCCATTAACTTCTTGTTTCCTGTCAAAATTTCTTCCTGTAGATCATACAACGGAAAAACGTGAGGATTTTGTATGTCCATAGCCACACAATTAAAGGCTGCTTATATTTTCGTCTCTATGAAGACGTACAAACCTATTCGCTTACAATTCACAAAATCATTAATCCAAGGGGGAAAACGTTGCAAATCACAGACAACTGAGAACACAAAGAGGTCAAAAAATTTGGCAAGAGGGTTAGAATTGGTCAGCTACCTGAGAGAGTTATCGGGGATACTTCTTTTTCTCCTGCTTGCAATGGTGGAGCCAAGAACGGATTCACTGCATTGGGTCGCTTCGCTTTTCCCTTCCCCCCCGAAGCTTCTGATCCGGCCTTCACTAAAGCACCTTCCGGCTCTTTTGCAGGCCACTGCTGCCTTGTGGGGGCTTGAGCATCAGTACCATTAGTCACATGTCCTGCAATTGCATTCTTTGGAATTGTGCGGCCAGCTGGAGGAGTGGTAGCCGTTCCTCCAGCTGGGGATGGGCCATCCAGAGGAGCACCCGCAGCTGATAGACGAAGGTGAAGAGAGAAAAGGGACCGTTCAGCCTTCCGCCGTTGCCTCGCCAACTCTAGCTTATCCATGCGAGGGTCGCTCTTCCGATCTACCCACACAGGAGTAGATTGGTAGGTATGGGGGTCGGGGAACGCAGGTAACCACCTTGGGATGTGGGGAAATGGAGGCTCCTCTCCCAGCTGAGCAAACGTCGGGGGCGGCGTCCTTTTCTTCTGAACAGGAAACCGAGGAACAGGCCTGGCGAATGGGATTTCTTCAGCGTATTCCACATAGCGCATGACGTCACGAAGAGCACTTGAATTTGCAAGACAGCGAGTAGATGTGTCCACAGCGGCCCCGGGGGCCATATCTTCCAATGCAAGGATAACATCGAAGGCGTTACACTGCATTCGACCGGATAAATTCGCATAGAAGTGGGCGGCTTTGCCCAAGTCACTGAGGTACCGCAATGCTATGTCCGCCAGAGTTTCCACAGCCGTCCGCTGTATGGCATGAAACCCTAATCCTTCACAAACCTGAGCCACTGCTGTGTTGGCAACGGCCCGGGCAAATTCATCGCCCCCCTTGGAGGAACTAACTCCAGCACAGTCTGGATTACCACCTGCACCTCCTGAGTCACCCTTCGAAGGAGTCTTCTTAGCCCCTTTCTCCTTTTCCCGGTTAGTTTTGGCTGCCATGACTCCTCGCTAAACGTATGCTCCTCCTCAACATGGAAAAACACACCTGTGATAGCGGAATGTCTAGATTACCAGTCCACGATACGATTACTGAAACTGACAACGTCAAAACCTCAGTTGTCTCATTTCAAGCTTCTTTGAAACCTAAGCATAAGTGCACCGGCTTCATTTACAACTTTCCTAACGCCCCTATCTCAAATTTCATATCACACCCCCATTGTGCCATTCTCCCGACTGATCCTAATCCCCTAAACCCCCCTCCCTGCAAATCATCCTGCGCACGTAACAAATCCACTCCTCCTCTTGAAACCTCACATCGGGAGGTATTCTGCCACTCTTCAACCCCGCACAGCGCAAACAGGCAGCACAACGCACTAAACCCTAAACCACACCTTACCAGCTCTCCTCCTATGCCTCCTCTACTCTTTCAAACGCCAATCCGCCTTCATACATTCCAGCTCCTGCTCCAAACACAACCGTGGTATCCATTATTCCCTCCTCACTTGATTGTCGCCGATTCTGACCCCCTCCACTGTGCAAGAAAACAAACCGACAGAATCATAGTGACGTTCTGAGGAAGGGATAAACTGAAGAAACGCGCCCTGTAGCAGCAGTATACTAAGCCCAAAACGAAGAGAAGAGAGGGGAAGGGGAGTGATCGCAGCGAGAGAGCAAGCAAAGCAAGGAAGGGCAGGATAATCCTCTGCAGCTCCTTCGCTGCGAGGGGGATCTACGATTGCGCGCGGCTTCTTCGCTTCGCCGTGGCGATGGAGGAGGAGCTGCTTACACTGCAAGCTCGCCATCCCGCCCACAGGGTGGGTTCCAATCACGGGTGCACTCCCCACCCGTCATTTGTTGGCTAGAGATAGGGCTGGGCCATCTCCCCCCGGTCTAGCACCGGGTTCCCTTTCCCCCTTCATGTTCCCTTCTTCAGTTCCCTGTTCGTTCCCTTCCTCAGTTCCCAGTTCCCATTTCGTTCCCTTCACCAGTTCTCGGTTCGTTCTCTTCTTTAGTTCTCTGTTCGTTCCCTTTCCCTTCATGTTCCATTCCTCAGTTCCCTGTTTGTTGCCTTCCCCCTTAATGTTCCCTTCCAGAGTTCCCTTCTGGAGTTCCCTTTGAGTTCCCACTGTGCAAGAAATCTCTTTCGTTTGTGTAAAGCAAAGAATTCTTAATCATCATGGTCATGGAAAGCATAGAAACAGAACGTGTCGTTCTAAATTAATATAAAAATTTATTTATATAAAATAAAAATATAAAAAATAACTTGGAATAGAAATTTTATTTTTAAATTATTTCTATAATAGTAAACATTTTTTGTCGAATATCAACTGAAAAAAATAGAACCTCGTACAAAAGTATAATTTCACATTTAAAATATTTTCCTATTGATATGATTTCGTAAGAATAGTAATAAGGTGTATAGTAATCATAAGTTGTTTCTGTTTAACATTTGGAATTTGTAAAACCAATTAAGTATGATTTGAAGGCAGTAATTCTTTGAGCTCTATGTCTCAATAAAATGTTAAAATATAAAACATAGAATTACTTCTTTCTTTTCTATAGCTTTTACATGTTATGTATTTATTTTTTTAGTATTGATTGAAAGTTGTATAAATAGTTTCTACAAAGAGGATATGTTCATTTGGCTTATATGGCACAAAGATGTAGCAGTTAATATGTGATGAGGAAAAGTTAGCCCTAATTTTGATATCCATTGTGCTATGTGCCAACTCCAAACTCCTTAATCAATTCTCGACTAATTTTGGAATTTTCATTGAAGACATTATATGTGGGATTATGTTTCTTTTCTTTCATGCAAACAAACATCTAATTCTTGGAATTGGAGTCCTTAGAAATCTTGACTTAACAACAAACTATCTTTGCAGTAATTCCTCCTTTTAGATTCAATTGTTTTTATAAGTACACTCCTTGTTAAAGAGACTTTTTTTATGGATTCTTTGGATTTAAAGGAACAAATTTTGTCTTTAAAAATGAAGTATGGAGTACACTCCATACTATAAGTATTATTTGGATAGGGTCTAATCAAATATGGAATTGTTTTTTGGAAGTTTGTTAAAAAGAGATCAACAAAATATCCACAACATGAGGCTTTCCTACTCAAGAAATAGAATAGCTTTTGGATGGCTAAATACATACTTGGTTCTAGATGTGAAGAAATAATTTATTGGAACTCTAGAATATGTCAATGGTATGTGATCTTACATTTAAATGAGCTCACTTTAGCAATTGTTCAGTGATTGTAGTTCTCTTATTTCCACCTTTAGGTATAAAGAATTAAATATTTTTTTATACTTTTTTATTCCATTAATGCATTAAAGACACTCTATCTTTGTATTAAAATTAAAATAAAAATAATTGTATAAGTACAATTAGGACTAATACTAGATTTTTTTTTAATTAAAGCTTTTTATTTAAAAGTTATAAATATAGATTAATTTATTGTTATTATGATTATTAAGACAACTATCATACTTTTTTATAACCAATTTATTTTATTTTTATATGGATCAGTGCAAGAGGTAGATTAAAAAAATACAACTTAAAATATAAAAAACTTTAGTTTATGTTGCATCAACTTCATGGATGATTTTATCATATTGATTGACATAGACATATTTTGGCTATGCAAAATCATCAATTTATGCAAGTACTTTGTTGTGTATCACCAAATCCTTTTAAATGTTGTTTTTCTCTTCTTTTTCAACCTCCAATGTAGTTTGTAATTTATCTCTTTTTTCACATAATTTTTTGGTTTCTATATTACAAATATATTTTACCACATATAATATTCTACAATGTTAAATTCAATGTAAATTCATTTCAAAAAGAAAAAAAAGAGTAACATGAATGGAAAGTTCAACCACTAACCTTAAGCTACATATGTAATATATTGCTTTTCTTTGAAGTATTGATTGTCTTTATATGGATATGTAGATGCTGATATAAAAGCACATCTATTGAATGTGCACATTTATGTTTAATTTTTACTTATAGACTAGTACTGCAAAAGTCTTTGATCATATATTGAAGAAAAAAAAATCTTGTCACAAACATTATTGCAATTAAGGTAGCTAATCCATTTCTAATAACTTAAGCATTTTAGCATATTTGCAATAAGTATAAAAGTGAAAGAAAAATATCTCCATGTAGGAAAATATAAATCATGAGGATTTTAGATATTTTCACACAATTTGCTTTATATCTATATATATATATATATATATATATTAGCTGAAGATTTTTTTCAATTTAAATCTGACATATAGATCAACTAAGCTTTAATCAATGGTGGATTATGAAATTGAGAATCTTTTTTTTTTCATAATTGGAGAGTGTGGCACTTAATTATGCTATTGAAATTCACTTTATTTTGTGCTACCTATGGATGTTAATGTCTAGATGAAATAACTAGAATTCAACCAGCCCCTTCTGAACTTAAATTCTACCTCAACAAATCAACAACTACCACCTAAATTAAAATACATCTACTCTATCTTGCAATATTTTTTCATAATTAGAAACACCATAAATTCAACAAACAATGGACCTATTTCCAATCAAAAGGGTATTAAAATTGGTCATAAATATAACATCAGACTTGCAAACATGTTCCATCCTATAGGTTGGAAATGACGGGGGGAGGATGGAGATGGTTGAAAATGGTTTGGTTACCTTACAAATATAATCCACCAAATCCATGTATTTTTTTAACTTAGATTTGGCATTTAGTCAAATGTTATACATTCTTAAGTAGACATATGGTCAAATATTACAAGACATTTGTATATGTTGGCATTATCTTTTTTATCACTTCTATAGAGAAATCCACATGATCTTATATAGCTAATCCATAATTGAAATGAATAAGATTAAATGAGTATTAAAATAGGTGTGCTTATCAAGCACCTATTACAACTATCTTTACAAAATATTTAGAGATAGAGCGTAGATAAAATAAATATGAAATTAAGAATATTAATTATTAGCTGAAGCTTTTTGTCAAGCTTTACACTTTATAATAAGTTTACTATAAATATTCCATGAGTAGTGTGACTTATTTATTTTTTTGTTTAAAAAATTACGTTTAAAGATCAAATTTGCATAAAGACATCATGAAATGTGATCTCTTAGATGACAACATTGATTGTTGTATTTGTTTTATATTTTTTATACAGATGGCTAAATCTTAATTAATTAATTATTTTATTTTTTAATTAAATAATAAAATATTTAATTTTTAATAATTATATATATATTAAGATTGGACAATAATTTGCGAGGCTATTTCATTGACTTATGGAGAGTTCTTCTATGTGGGAACTCCTGCCTTTGAGTATAAAGACTAGTTTGGACTATTTTCTCAAGAGACAGAATACTAATTGCTCCTTGTCTTCTACAATTACAACAAATTGTAATTACCATGTGAACAATTAGGCATAGTCTTCATCACAAATATCCAAGACAAAGTATACTTCATAATATCAACCATTGAAATATTAGCTCTTATTGAAGACATTAAATTCTAATTCCTATCTCAAGTGGGGATTTAAGCCACTTACAATCAAGATCATGTGAGTGAGGTTAGTTTCTACAACACTATCTATAAGGTTAAGGTTGTAGACATGGTAGAAAGAATATACAAGTACTCCATTAAATTCTACTATGGACCACTCCATAGTCTCTAGTTTGATCCAAATTAATTTGAATGGCCCAATGACATTTCCATCCTCTTGTACACAACTAGAGTTGCACAAAGGTGGTTAAATAATTTGGAAGAATTAGTCAACTTTTACAACACAAAGTCAAAGGACTAATTTTTACCAAAGTTAACCATCAATTAAAAAACCTTATAGCACAAGAATTACATTCTATAAGAAGCTACCTTCATATGGAGTGTTTATCATAAAGTAAATGCAGTCAATAAATAGTAGGATAAAATTTGCACCACCATTAATATTTTATATTTATATTATCCAAGATTAGTATGAAATTTTAGTAGTGCCATTGTGCATGAAGGGTATAGAATTGGTGCTTAGTCATCATCCATGCACTATAATAGAAGCCCCAAGCTCCTCCTACATTATGTAATCTCACTTAGTTCCACTATCTTTTCACTAAGAATCTTCCAAAGGATTTTTACAAGGTTAAACTCATTTGGACGTTACTTTGAGGGATTGCTATTTGAAAGTTATGAGTGGAATGCAATGCTATCATCTTTAATTCCAAAGATTGGCCTTTTAAACAAAATATAACTAGGATTTGGCATAATCTCCAAGATTATGGCCATCTTGAAAAAGAAAAATTAATATTGAAATTTGTAGATGGTCAAGAAGTTGGTGACACTTGGTTCAAAAGCTTCAACCAATCATAGAAAAGTTATAGAGTTCTCTATTCTAAATCACGTAGTAATGTGTGATTGCATTGTCAAGCCTACAACATAGTAACTAGTTTTTAGATCCGCCCAACAAGATGTAACATATTTATACTTAGTTATTTGTTGAGTCGTGGCTAGGTAGAAGTCTCCTAACTCTATCCTAATCTAGTCTTGTATAAGTTACTCCCTGCAATGAAGTAATTTATTTGTAACAAAAATAAATAATAAAATAATAAACTTTTACGTTTTAGCAATGCGTACACAACAACTTTTTCCGATCACCCTTTATAGACCACAAGTATAGAGCAGACACTTTTTCGTATTCGATACTTTTTCGCACCGAGACCTTCACGGCCGCCGGAAACGCTCATTCGGCGTCGGAACGGTGTCGAGAATGGCGTGTGATTCGAGCTGTTATACGTCGCATTGAAGGAGCGCGAAAAGGTCGATTGCTCTGGTGTCTTGCATAGGTCGCGATGACATCAATGAGAGTATTGGGACCCCCACGCTTCGCTCAGGTGGAATGGTGTTTAGCCGGTTCATCGTCGCCGTTACGCGCCGTTGAACGGTTGATTCCACGATCCAACCTCCGACCCGCAAGAATCTCGTCGATTTCCTGTTATGCAACCTCCACTGTGCTCGCTGCGCCTCTTGTAGGAATGATCAGCCCGCTGTTGTGGGTCGGTGCTTTTTCTCCTACCACGTTGCGTTTATGTTCTTGGGCAAGATCAAGTCAATCGAAGTTGTGAAAATTCTCCACTCACGACAATGTGGTAAATCTCTCTTGTAATGGATGGACTTGGACAACATTTGCATGATTCTGAAGTTTGTCTCGTGTGCAGAGCCTTGGGTGTTAGTGATTGGTCTGAGTAGTGGATGGGGTTGTGTTCAACGCAAGTTGAGATCGGTGGAAACGTAACAGTGCGGTGTGCAACCGGCGCATTTGTGCCGCGAGGTGGACGATTTCTGACGTTGGAGCCTTCTTCTGGTGGAGTCATCAACAGTGGTGATTGATCAGTTTGCACCTAGCGGAAGAGGTGCGAGAGGTGTAAATTGGACGTCTGGTGAGAAATTTTCCTGCAACAGAAGGTTGAGTTCATTGATCGAGCGGTGGGTAATGAGCACATTGGATTCGAACACATGGAAGATTTCATACAACAACGCCAATCATTGCGGCATGATGGAGCTTGCCAACACGCCCACTCGACCCCCATGGCGACCAGCGGCGTCCAGTATCACGGCGGCCAAAGAAAACAATGTTCCCGTGCCTCAAAGAAACGACCTCGGCTCAAAGCCCAAATCAGAAGACCTGGCAATACCCCCTCAGTATATGAGCGTCACGGATCTTCTGGCCGCCATGCCCACTCGACAGAGGCTGCCAAAAGCGCAGACTTCGCTCAACAGCTATGCGCTTCACGTAGATCCTCGACATGCAACAAGTCTCAAGTCTCTATGCGCGGCCGGCCAAGACACAGTGCGGCAAGGCCTTGAACCAGCTGACCTCAACAAGTGCGCAGGAGAGGGATCAATCAGAGAGTATTTCAATCGTCGAGATTGTTAACTGTGTGAGAAGGTTGCGCATGATTTCTGACGACCGTGAGTTGGATTTGCTTACAGACTGACAAATACGCATGATGCATCGCCGAAGGCAGATAAGGATGAATTGGCGCCAACTTCCAAAGAGAGCACTCAGCTGCATTCTACAGGCTCAGGTCATCCTTCGCCTCCATTCGGCGCAAGGTCTCTCCATCCCTCGTCACCAGGATCACAAGCGTCATCACGAGCACCATTAGAAGCAGGATCTAATCGGCACCACGCCGGAACCCGCATTTCAGCAAATACGTCGCCTGCGTTCCCAAGAACGCGGCCGCAATCCCCTCCGATACGCACCGCTGGTGGCCGTACCTCTGACAGACGTGCTTCTTTTCCGTCCAGTGCGAGGTCAGTAGCGGTCTGCTCTGGCCAGAACCCTTCAAATTCCGGATCCACTCGAACTTCGCGCGGGTCCCGTACTGTAGCCACAAGCAGGACCATGAACACAAACACAAACACAGGCACCAGCTCCAGACCCGTCTCAACAAGACACAGCTCGATGTCTCCGTCTACCAAAGACGCAAGATCATCGTCCAAATTCGACACTTTTACCGGCAGTGCCCGGCAGTCCACACTCGACACACATAGAAACAAGGATTTTCCTTCAAGAGGCACATTACAAGCAACCTCCACGCCGCTGACAGGGCGATCATCCAGGTGTGTGAGCGGCACCTCAACGCCGAGCCAGAGATCGGGAGGAGGCACTCCAATTGCGTCTGGGCGCTGCAGCCCTCCAACTCCACCCAGCACCTCCTTTCCATCCAAATCTCTTGCCATCTAATCTTCTGTATATCTATCTATCTATCTATATTGAGAGAGAGATGTATGTTAATATATATATATATATATATATATACTTTTTCTTCTCACAAAACTTGATCATGACAAACTGGAATTCGGCATGTATCTAGACATAAAAAAAATTGCAAACCATTGTAGACCACAAATTTTGCCCTCGAAAAACAAACTTTATTGCACTGAAATTGAAACACATGCAGTGATTCTGTATTGGCGCGATCTCCGTAGAGTAAGCGCTGCCACCGCTAAGTTCAATTACAATGATCTCACGAGGCCAACAAAAACATGCTGCAGAAATGGACTCGTAAGAATCAGTTTCAAAAAAAGAAAAAAGAAAAAAGTGATTCTTCTCACAGAGAAAGGTATGGCGATGGAGCTTAGATCATCTCCAGCACCCTCTTCCAGGCAGGGCGGGAAGAGATGGCCGCCCACCAGGCCTTCACATGGGGTCTGCCCTCGAAGCAAACGACGCCCTGTTTGTATTTGTCAAAGAGTTTCCACCCGGTGGTCAAGTGGGAGAGGTCAGCTAGGCTGAAAAAATCCCCAGCTAGGAATTGAGTGTCGGAGAGACGGGCCTCGTAGATGTCCAGCACTTTGCTGAACTTCTCCATAGCTTGAGCGAGCTTCTCCTGGTCTACTGGGGAGGCAGCAGCATATTTCAGGCATTCTTTGCACGCCGCGTTGAAGTTCTGACCTTCTACTTCCAGCCATTGCTCCACCAGGGCTTTCTCAACGGGAGTTGATCCGTAGATGGGAGTGCCTTGCCCTTCAAACTTGTTAGCTATGTACCGAATGATCGCCCTCGACTCTGATTCACCGGAAGCGGAGTATACATTGGACTGAATTCCTCTTCAACAGAAATCAACGAGAACTGGGCCCAAAAGCACATGAAAGATACTTGTCTATCGAGGTCACTGTTGTACTGGAAAACCACTCTCTAAGTTCCACACATTGAAAAATAAGGTGCAAAAGAAAATACAGATTGTGAATTCAAAGAAAAATGTGACTCACCAAACAGGGTCAACGATCCATCTTGTAGGACTGGAATCAAACCAAAAGGCTGCAAAATGAGAGACGTCAGAGACAGGATGCAGAGGTGAGAGAGCTTCAGAGGAGTGCAGAACACTAGAAGTAATGATAACAATCCACAATTTGTATCAAGCAGGTGTGCCATCGAAGACCATTAAAAATTGAAACAGTTTTAGAATTCGCAGAAAGTGAGGTTGTGAGAATTCGTGCTACGAGTGAGGGGCGGAATTTAATAACAATGTGTGAATTCAACTGACCTGTAGGGCTTTGTGCTCGGGTGTCTTGCCTTCGCCCTTGCGAACATTGACAACCTTGAGTTCGAAGTCTTCCACGCCTTTCTCCAAGAGAGCGACGAGCACCCTCCCTGTGCACGTTGAGGACGCAACCCCGTGCAATATCAGCTTCCCCTCCGCCATTGCGCAATCTGGATTTCAAACGAAATCTACTGGGGAATGATCAGAAAAAATCACTCAAAGAATGGAATTTTGTAAATAGTTCAACGATGAATCCAGTCAGCTACACAGCATGCGACTTTCTGATTGTACAACATCGATTGCCACGACGAGAAAACCTGAGAAATTCACTCAACAGCTCTCTGACCAAGTCCCGAGACTTCTTAGACAGCTTTCATAGATCTGGTGCTTGAAACCACTCCAACAATATATAATCTCTATTGCAAATCACTGACGCTCCGAACCAGCCCTGACCTTAACCAACAGCAGCAACCAAAATAGAAAGAAAGGACGAAAGACAGAAAGAAAAATAACGATGCGGCACCAATCTCCTCAAAAAGGAAACCCAAGAAGCGGAGGATAGAAAACCAGAACTGAAAATCTCCACCTGCAGAACAGCAATCACACCTCCGCAACCGATCGAAAACAGACTCGAACACGTGACCACAGCTAGTTCACGACACGGTCCACTAGCACGTCAATGGTTTAAAAGACGACTCCCTCTTGCCATTCCCGAATCTGCCAGGGGCAAACCTCAACACCTGTTCAGTGGATCATATTGGCATATTCTCAAGCCCTCGACATTGCGTAATTTTGATACTTAGCAGCAGAGCGAGGAATCGGGGAGTTGATGTGCGTCGAGGGGGTCGCGATTCTCTGAGGCTCAAGTGGCGTTTCTGCACCTCCGCTGCCACAAAGCGAAGCGGCGACCACGGACCCCACGGAATCTATTTTGTCAGTATTTGCCCTATAGTTCCCTCAGCTGCTTTAAACTTTGAATAACCCCATACATGACCCCATACACGACCCCATGGATGGCCTCATACATGACCCCATACAAGACCCCATGGATGGCCCCATACATGACCCCATACACGACCCCATGTCCATTAAAGAGGACATACCATGGTGGAGAGGGAATAAACAGGGTATAAATATTCCCACGAGCGAAACAGTTCCTCAATGAAGAGTCAACCACTAGATGACCGGACCTTCTATTCAGGTGTCGTTATCTCTTATTGGAGTGACCCAGAAAAGCCATTCAGAAGCTGAGCACGATTTTCTTCTTTTTCCTCCTGATGACCTGACAAGTGTTGAATCTTCATTAATGTGTACCGCTGGCAAAGCGCTGGAGCCGAGGGTGTTGGGCACGTGCGAACTTGTTGCTCTCTTGCCTGCGAACGTGCCTCGATTGATACCCTCGAAATACCATGGAGCGACATCCCCCTCGTCATGCCAAACCTGTACTGTGTAGAATTCAAGGTTTTGAAGTCAACATGAAATCCATTTCAACCTTTATGATGTTGGATTAATCCCTTTGAAATCTATCTATTAAATAATTTATTATCTTATTATTATATAAAAATTAAAATATATATATAATTGAAAATATAAGTTCTATTTTTTTTTAAACATGGTGTGCTAAAATTTCTGCTAAAGGGCAAAAGAGAACATAATCAATGAATGGAAGGATGTTATTTTTAAATTATTAAATGTGTAATAATGATAAAAACACAATTTTAAATTTTTTGTACATTATTCATATATGTATAACTGTATGTATATACATACATTATCATAAAATCTACACAAATATTTTGATTATATGAAAGTAATATTGTGAAAGTAATTTAGAAACTCAAAGTTGAAGATTTTAATTATTAAAAATATAAAATATAAAAAAATATATTATTAATATTTAATAATTGATTGAATAGTAGAAGCAAGATTTTCATCTAGAGACTATAAGGGACAATTGGCTTTTCTTCTAAGAATTATATTATGACCACCATCTGCAAAGTTTTCTGTTCAACTTGTAGCAAAGATGATTTCATATAAAGGTAGGATTTGTGATGACCATTAACAAATCTCAAGTACAATTTTTTAAGAATATAGAAATAGATCCTAGAATCTTTGCATTTGGACATGGACAATTGTATGTTGTCCTTTCACAATGCAATTTGTTGAATATGATCAAGAATCTATATATATATATATATATATATAATATCATGAAATCTACATAGATATTTTAATTATACAAAAGTGACTTGTGAAAGTACTTTAAAAGCTCAAAGTTGAAGATTTTGATAATACAAAAAAAAAATATTGCAAGTGTTCCTTATTAATATTTAATGTAAAATTAAAGAAGTATATGTAATTGAAAATATACAAAAAGTGTACATATAATAACAAAAAAGGTTTCACTGTTACAAGAATCAACAAATTTGAAGCAAGCCATCAATGCCATAAATTTATAAATTTATAAAGCCATGTTATTTATTTGTTGATTTATTTATTGATCAATTTATAAATGAATAAATAAATAAAATTTATAAGTTTATAATGTGGGTAAGCACGGAGAGTTCTAGATGGCATTTGGGTGTGTATTTGTCGAAAAAATTAAACACATGAAATAAGTTGAAATCAGTGGCACAAATTTCTTGAAGTCGCAAATGACAACAATACGTTCACAATGGCAATGTTGAAACATCACGAGCCAGGAAAACAAGGAAGCCAACGCTGACTTAAAAGAAACGCACAAAAGTCACTTTTACTTTCGTGGATGAGAAATGAACAATATAGGATGAACGTATTGATGATAATCACCACAGAGCTTGCTAGGCCTGAGTCGGTCCATCAAATCCGAGACGGATTGGCCCAAGAAAGTGGCCTTTTCTAGGGCTATCTCTGCTGCTTCTGGGAACTTCCCTCATCGAGATTCAAACCAAGCTGCAGTTCTGTACCTTCCTCGGAGCGTTCACACTGACCCTGAACTAGCCGAGCTGTCGCTGCGTGGTCTCTCCTAGAATACCGGTAAATTGGAGAATATGCAACTCAGACTCGGTAGAAGAATCCCCGCCCGGGGGAATACAGTGCCCGGCAAAGCTCAAAGAAGGTGGAAGCTTCTCCATCACCGTTGGGGTGCGTGGGCCCATTTTATGACGGACCTCCTAATCCCGTGAGCCGGGGAATCGAATCCGTGGATTAGTTGACGACCTCTACCAATTTAGCGCATTAGACCGCTGGCTGAAAGCGATCGTGGAGAAGGTCGGCTGGGAACCCTAAAATTGGAAATCCACGGACACAAGGCGCAAGCTCTGTGTCGCGTTACCCGATCACGTCCCCATGGGGAGAAAGAAGTCTTTGGACCCGGCATCTGGTCGAAGAGTCCCTCGCGCAATCGCCAGCGAGAGAGAGGGAGAGCGAGAGAACGACCGTTCGAGACGAGGCTGACGTTTCCGCAAGGGGAACTACAGAAGAAGAAGCCACTGCCAAGACGCGTCAACTCGGGTTGGGTGGAATTGATGGTTAGGGGCTACAGTTACTGTTCACGCTTGGACCGGGATTTGAGGTTTACAAGGGGTTGCAAGTCGTCGCGGTGTTCTCGTCGTGGTCCGCAACTTACTTTGGCTTCGTTACGCAAGACACTCACTATACCATATCCTGCTATCGAGCTTCTTCACCGGTGAGCGGGACAGTGTGATAGGAAGTGCTGGACATGACGTGACCTGTCTCGTTCGGTGCATTTCAACTATGGCAAGATCAATCGATCAAGGAATTATGCTTGTGGCGATCTTATAGCGCAGAATTGAAGCTGTGTGCATTCAGGTGAGGGGCTCTGGCTCTTTTGCCATTCATCTTTTGCTCCTTGGCGACTTTTGTGAATTTTTGATAGGTGAGGAGTCTTGGTTGTCGTAGAGGTGGTGTGTCGTATCGGTTGTTGTCAGATTGGCGACGAGGTGGGATTGAGCATCTTGGAAGTGGTTCTTGAGTCGTTTTCAAGATTGTCGGTGTAGCAGCGTGGGTTTACGAAGTATAGCTTGATGAACCGGCTCTTTTTTGCGTGATGCTTTGTCTTAGTCGAGTGTCGAGTATCGTAGCGCAGTTGGAGGTGAAGTGGAGATTGTGAGGTTAGGAAAACAGTAGAGTTTAAAGGCGCGGGGTTATTCAAGTGGTTGGCAATCTCCACTCGGTGGTTTTCTTTTGGTACTCGCGCAGCTAAGCAGAACTTATTTTCGTTTGCGACGAGTACATTGAATGCACCCATTTATTGGAGAAGTTACGCTTACTGTTGACATGTTCTTGAGCATTCCCTCTTTCATGAGCAGCCTATAGCTTGATTCCATATGTCTGTATGAGTTGGATCGTAATGTTTTCCTCCTTTGAACTTCATGGTTACAATGTGCGGAACGGGTCACATGACACTGAGCCATCTCTTTTTTCGTCCTGTTATTTATTTCATTTCCTTGATCGTCTTGTTGTACGATTTGTGATTTTCTTTAAAATGGTGACGATTGATAGGAGAGTAGTGTTACCTGAATGGTGCACAGCAAAAATTTGTGCCTTTGCTGACACTGTCCGACTGGAGTCTAGAATGCTCGATGTGCTGAACAGAGAGCAAGTGAGGGATAGATGTTAATTAGAGAACACGACGACCTCCACGATAACCATGGGGGTGGTGGCTTCGAACTCTTGTCACGTGGTACACTTCTTTGTAGGACTGACAACGTTTCAGGTAATATTATTGGAACGAATTATCTGTTTTCTTCGAGTAGGGATCAAAACCTTGTACTCAAGGTTATTTTCCTGATCATGTGTAGCTTAGAAGTTTTAGTTGATCATGAAATAAGATGACATGTTCCATTAGACACCTAATGGTCGGTGTGTTCCAGACGTTATTCCTTTCATGTGTGGTTTAATTTGCAGAATGTGGTGAAAATGGGATGTAATAGTACAAAATGTTCGTGCATTTAGCAATAAGATTCATTTTTAGCTTTTATAATGAGTATGTCCTTCTGATTGATGCATCTCTTTAATTCGATTACAATTCGTGTCATTTGGCTGTTATGATTACTAACGATGAATTCTGTATTCTTACGCAGGTTGGTTGTCTTTGTTAACATCTATACTCTTAGGACTTTGGTATTCAAGATTGCTTAGTGCGGCACCTGAACAATTGTAGCAATAGCGCTGTAGTAGCACCAAAGATGTCGGCCACTCCACCAACGTCGGGGGGTGTTCCGCCTGTGGTGTCCCCTCCTACTCCTAATGCAGTTCCTCCGGTTGCTGTGAACCCTCCTGTGGTTCCTCCACCCGTTGCCACACCTCCGACTATTCCTCCGGCAACTCCTGTGGTAAACCCTCCTACAGCTACTGTGCCACCTGCTGCGACTCCTCCTGTTCCAGTTGCTGTACCACCCACTGCGACCCCTCCTGTTCCAGTTGCTGTGCCACCTGTTGTGAGTCCACCTCCTCCAGTTGCTGTGCCACCTGTTGTGAGTCCACCTCCTCCAGTTGCTGTGCCACCTGTTGTGAGTCCACCTCCTCCAGTTGCTGTGCCACCTGTTGTAAGTCCACCTCCTCCAGTTGCTGTGCCACCTGTCGTGAGTCCACCTCCTCCAGTTGCTGTGTCACCTGCTTTGAGTCCTCCTGCTCCAGTTGCTGTGCCACCTACTTTAAGTCCTCCTCCCCCAGATGCTTTGCCCCCTTCTGTGAGTACCCCTCCTCCACCTGCCTTGAGCCCGCCCTCACCAACGAGTTCTTCTCCACCCCAACCTACTCCTGTTCCTCCCAGTGCCCCAGGAGGGACGCCCCCTTCACCCATTTTGTTGAGTCCTCCTCCTGCAGTGAATAGAACTTCTCCTCCTGCTGCTCTTACCCCTCCAGCTTCTACATCGTCTAATTCAAGTAGTACGGCAATAATAGCTGGAGTTGTAGGTGGAGGAGCTTTACTCGCCTTAGTCGCATTGGTTCTTCTCTTTGTCTGTTGCAGAAAGAAGAGATCCAGAAAAGACACTCTTCCTTATATCACTCCACATGGAGGTGGTATCCATGGGGCTGGAAAGATTGCATCAGCTTATAATGCGACTGGGACGAGTGATTTAAAAGGCTATGCGGTGGACGGAAATCCTACGGTGTATCCTCCTGGATCCGTACCCTTACCTCCAGAAGGCGTAGCAAGCGTTGGAAATTCTAGGATTTTTTTCACATATGATGAGTTACACAAAGCAACGAATGGCTTTGATCATGGGAATCTTTTAGGAGAAGGTGGTTTTGGTCGTGTATACAAGGGCGAACTGCCAAATGGAAAATTAGTTGCCGTGAAGCAGCTGACTGTTGGCGGTGGTCAAGGCGATCGTGAATTCCGGGCTGAGGTTGAGATTATCAGTCGAGTTCATCATCGTCACTTGGTATCTCTCGTAGGATACTGCATTTCCGACAAGCAGAGGCTACTTGTTTATGACTTCGTACCTAACGGTACTTTAGATGTGAATCTCTATGGTAAGGCTTGAACTATTATTACTTGGGTTTTCACAGAGGTCGATTCTGATTAAGTAATTGGTGACGTAGGAACCTGAATTTATACCTTGTATCTATAGGCACAATACTAGTATCTGCCTATTGATATTAAGTTTTGAGTAGCTCTTTTTTTATTTATTTTATTTCATTTTATTTTATTGTTTTTGCCGCTCTCTTATGTACATTGCCTGCTTGTTCAAATCAGGGAGAGGGAAGCCAGTTATGACCTGGGATTTGAGAGTGCGTGTTGCCTTGGGAGCTGCTCGGGGGTTGGCATATCTTCATGAAGATTGTCATCCTCGCATTATCCATCGTGACATCAAGTCTTCGAACATACTTTTGGATGACAAATATGAAGCTCAGGTAAGGGATTTCCACGAGCTCCTCTGATTGGTGATTATTATTTGACACTTTTATTTGTGTTCTTATGTGAAGCCTCTATATTGGTGTGCGTACTTGAGACTTGTTTTTATTAATAAGTAAGTAAAAGGATAAAAGTATCTTCCATGCTCTGAAAGCGTCTGTCTTGTGCAGGTTGCTGATTTTGGGTTGGCTAGGCCAGCGTCTGACACAAATACTCATGTTTCAACTCGCGTGATGGGGACTTTCGGATACCTGGCTCCAGAATATGCTCAGAGTGGCAAGTTGACAGAAAAGTCAGATGTCTACTCCTTTGGAGTGATGCTATTGGAGCTTATTACTGGGCGAAAACCTGTTGATACACGGGATCCCAACGGAGCTGTGAGCTTGGTAGAATTGGCACGACCATTAATGACAAAAGCAATGGAGGATGGAGATCTAGACGAGCTTGTTGACCCCAGGTTGGGCGATAACTATGATCCCAAAGAGTTGTTCCGAATGATCGAAGTAGCTGCGTCTTGTGTACGTCAAACAGCTAATAAGCGACCCAAAATGGGGCAGGTGTGTTGCCAGCTTTCAAAGACCTAAAAGTATGACACACTTGTTTATCAAATCGAGATCTTGTGATGCCCTGCTCTGGTCTGATCAGCATTCAATTGATATTGGATTAGGGGTGACTATGTATGCCAAACTACCCTTGATGCCATATGCTAGAGCCTCAGTCAGAGGGAAGAGGATGAAAGAATGTCATGAACAGCTACTTCAGTTGTAAAGAATGTTTGCATTGCTTGTTCTTACATTTGGAAGTTCCCGGATTTGTTGGTTTGATATAAACAGGTTGTTAGAGCTTTGGAAAGCGAAGAGGAGAATGCCGGTCTTTATCAGAATCTGAAACCTGGACACAGCTCCGAATACGAATCGGAGTTTGACAGGTATGAAGGTTCCAACTACGATACTCAAGCGTACCTTGCTGACTTGAAGCGAGGGAAGAAATCCAACCCAAGCGACATATCGTATGAAAGTGATGATACTAGTGAATATCCTACCGAATCAGTTCCAAGTTCTAGCGGTGAGTATGAGTCAATGATCAGACCCAAGACAGAGCCTATGGGACGTGCCAATATGGGGAAGGAGCGTGGCCCAATTTCAATGAGGACGGACAGAGGATTTTCTATGACCGGTAGAGGCAGTCGGTCTGAAAATTACTCAGTTTTGCCAAGTATGCCTCCTACAAGACCTGCGCCTCCGAGACCTGACAGTAGCAGCGATCAAAGTGGCAGCTTAAGATCTGATACAGTGTTCAAACCTCCACCTCCTCCACCAAATTACAATGAGGATTATGTTTCTATTGATTTTAACTCCATTGAAAGTAAGAAAGAAGACCGCAGGAGGTTTATGGAATAATGATCAGGTTATTTTTCTGCTGTGCAATGAGGGCCTCGCAAGTGTAAGACCTTCCTGTACCTGGTCGTGGGGTACTCCTTTCTCTGCCTGCCTGAAGTGTTCATGACAGGAGAGCTTTCGTAGATGCACTACGCTTGGTGGAATATCAAAAGGTAGAGAAATCGCAAAGAAATGAAATCATCCAGGCATGCGTTTTTGAACGCGACTTAGTGTGATCATGCTCAATTTAGAAGATAGATGCATCATTCTTTTGGATGAGGGTAAAAGTCGTTTGTTGTAGATCACAAGTGCTGTAGCATTCAAGGACAGTTTTGTAGTGTCGATTTTGTAAATTGCTCTCATGATCGTAGTGCTCAGGGTGGCTTTGTTTCATAATTCTTTGTACCAGTAGTCTATTTCTAGTTCACAATATCAATTCATCTGCAAGCTCAATTGCAGCTTTTATACAAGTGTAAATGCTGGGTTTCGTTTTCCTTGCTGTTATGTGCTTGTCATTAGCCCTTAGCGTGAAATTAACGGTTCAGTTCTACAGTTCAAGTTTCCCGATATACTTGACGTTAAGACCTTTGATAGATGTGGAAACGGCCACCCCAACTTCAGCCGTCGGTTGCAGTTTTGAGGAGATGGAACAATTACTAGATCGGGAATCGAGGCATGGGCGCCCAAGCATAACAACTTGTGCATTGTATAGTCCACGAAAGAAGCTTCAGCATTTACTCATTCTTTCTAGTTGAGTCAACTACGCGACTGTGAAGGATTCCGTAGTGGTTCTCACATTGCATTATGTTTGATGGAGCGATGTGATAATGGTGCCGTGCTGCTTCACTCCATGATGGAGCTGAAGCCTGATTCGGACTTGCATTTTTCGCAGCTCGTGTTACCTGTGAGCTTGCTGAAATTCTAGGACTCCCCTTGACGCACCATGTCACAGGAGCAGATCGAGCCTGCCACTCTACTCTGCTTTGTCACAATTTCCTCCGTATCAGCAGCGACTGTATCGGAGAGCTCATCAGCACTTTTTTCTTCGACTTCAGTAAAGAGCCCACACAATTTTTGTAAGAGCTGGAAGGCGAAATCATCTTGGCTTTGCATCAACAGTTTGTTTGTCAACACTGCGTATTGGTTTCGCTGTTAACGAGGAATCATAGCACGGCATGCCATCGCTTTCACTGAACAGGAGGTCACGCCAGATTGCACAACAGCTTATTCTGTGCAACAGTGTCGCGTCTCGTCGTGTGGATTGAACAACGGCTTATTCTTTCTAGACATGAAATTTCGCCTTTGACGTGATTCTGCCGCGATCTCAGCTTCAAAAGGTCCGGACAGAGTCGATGCCATGTAGGGTTGGAGCTGCCGTTCCTAGGAGCGTGGGAGGTTGTGGAGCAGCAAATGTGAGAGATGGTGGATCATTGACTATTTGCAATAAACAATAGATTCCATCGGCAGTAAACCATTTCCGCTTGAAAAGTGCCGCCATACCACTGTTGCGATTAGTGCTATGCCCAACATAAACTGCAGGCTCTTGGCTTCGTGCCGAAGCTGATCATTGCAACAGTGGATCCAACTAGATGTAAGGGTCGAAAGGAACCGACCTTTTCACTTGCTTCAGAGGTAAGTATGAGCCAACGACTTCTTGATGCTCAGGGGAATCAGCTGAACAAATTTTAAACAATCCTTGATCAAATTCTAAATAAATCCTAATCAAATCTTAAACAAGCTCTAGTCAAATCCTAACCAAAACCTAAACAAATTCTAAACAAATCCTAATCAAATCCCAAACAAACTTTAGACAAATTCTAATCAAATCCTAGACAAATCCTAAAATTTAAACAAATTCTTAACAAACCCTATGGTAGTTTAAAACCTCAATGATTAACAATCAAATCATTGATTTCACTTCAAATTTTGCATATCTCTCAATAACTAAGCTGGCAAAAAAACCAAATGTTTTTAAAAAGATCAAACTTACCAAATAGAAGATAAATCTTAAAATTTGTTTCGGTGATGGCTAGCCTCATTTTCCAATCTGGATGTTGATCTCCTTGAGCCAAAATCTCTTAATTCCACAATTAAATACCTCTCAAAATTCACATGTATGTTAGAAATCAAGTCTATTACCTACATATATAAATTTTACTTCAATCCAACTAGCACATTGCTAAAGATCTTACAAACCCTCACTGATTCTTAAAACCCCATTTTTGAGACCCTAACCCACTTGAACTTCAATAATCTTCAATCTAATTGTTTGATTATGCTCAAATTTATAATACATGATAAAACCACCTAAAAACACAAACTTTCAAATTTTCACATATAGATCTATTATTAAATTTATAAAATCCTCCCAAATCTAAACCTTTTATTAATTTCACAAAATTAAATTCACCAAAAATAATCCTAACTTTGCAAAGCTCTTATAAAGTCATTACAAGCTCAAATTGTCCAAAATCAATGTTTAAAAAAATTCTATAAAGTCCTCCCAAACTATATTCTCTAATTTACAAAAGAGCCTTGAAGTTGCCATAAGTGCATGGTTTTGTGTCTTAGAATTTGATTTTGACTGTGGTTAGCAACCATTCTTTTTTGAGTATTAATTCTTATTTTCTTGAGATAATTTTTACTAAAATCATTTCCTAACTTCCTTGTACATATGCGTGGTTCTTTTATTTTTCTAATCTACCTTGTTTTGTTTTATTTATGGCCCTACAAAATATGTAGAAGTCTATTATACAAAAGGTAATATTTACACTTTTAGTTTTACTATCCTTTAACTATTATTTATATTTCTAAAATAATTTGCTATAATATTTTGAAATAAGATCTTCTATAATATAATTTTTTATAAAACTTTTTCACCTATTAGCCGTATTATATGACAAAAATGTGCCACAGAGTTACAGTGTGACTTTAGGTCATAGTCCAATAGTATTTAGAATTCAATTTCAAAATAAAGTTATTTTTTGTTTCAAATGACTTGGAAGTCTGAAGAGATTGTTTTAGATTGTTTCAAAGTTTGTTTTCAAGTGAGTAACCTTGCCTTGATGGGAATTTCAGATTTGATTGAAAGTTTAAATTAAGGCAATATTGTAGGTGGTATTTGAGCCTATAAGATCAGAATTAGAGAGAAGACTTTGGAGAGAAATTTCTTAACCAAAATTTCACTGAAGCAAGTAAAGCTAGAGCAAAATGGTGAAAAAAATTATAAGCCTTTTTTTGTAATGATTGAAGAATAAAGAGGTCTTTAAAGCCAGTGTGCAAGAAATGTAAGTAGATCAAGGAGCTAAACCAAATAAAATATTAATATAAAAGAAGATCTTATTTTAAAAAAAGGTTCCAATTCCTCTAAAAAAAGGAAGAAAAGAGACCAAAGAAGAGAAAGAAGAATCTATAGAGAGTTTAAGAGAAATTCAATTTTTTCAAAGATAAGAGGAAGAAAGTGAGAAAGAGGGTAAGAATCTAAGGTTCCAAAAGCAAAGTGCTTCCAAAACTTCTAAGAAGTCAAAAGAAAGTTCAAGGATTTAAAAAAAAAGTGTTTTTTTTCCTTGACGAATTTGAGAAGATGGTGAAGATGATAATAGAAGAAAAAAAAAAATAAAGAATTTGAAAAAAAGAAAGAAAAATGAAGCAACTTCTTATAGGCTCTTTAATGAAGGAGAATGTGAAAAAAGAGACCTTATTTGAAAGGGAGAAAAGCAAGTTAAGCTCCCATAGAGCCAAAACAAATTAACCTAAAAAATGGAAAGGCATGGAGTGTAAGAGAACCACAAGGAGGTTTCTTAATTAAGTAGAGCATTGACACTTGGCAAATGACATTGAAAGTGTCTTAGATAAAGTAAGAATCATGTCTATACTACTTGAAGGAAGTACTTTGGATTGATTTGATAGAAAAATCAAAGCCAATCTTAACTATGCTAAAGAGACTACTTGGATTGAAGTATATAATGGACTTATTGAAAGATTTGAGAGCAAGTGACAAAACTTCATAAAAGATTTGCAACTCTTCAAATTGAGGCAAGAAGTAAGTAAGACCTCATTTTTTAAATATTTTAGAGATTTTTAAAATCAATTTGCTTATGCTTAATTGGATTATAAAAAATATTTGTTAATCTTCTTTTATAATGGATTGACTGTGGCAACTAGGAAGAAATTTTGAAAAAAGAAAATCATTCCTACCAACATAAATGATAGCTTTGCCTTGGCTTCTCAGTTTGAAATGAAAGAACAAGGGATTGGTCATAGTGAACAAAGTACTATGACCAAGATTTAAGAAGAAAAATAAAACTCCCAAGAGGGAGTTAAGTCCTTGCATAGCAATAAAAAACCTCCTTTTTTAAAAAAAAGATTTAAAGAAATTGGTCTTTAATTTTCTAAAATTGAGGCTAAAGAAAGAAAAAAGAACAGTTTCAAGAAGGCAAAAGAAAACTCACCTAATGTGACTTATTTTAAGTATCAACTAAAAAGATATTATATCAATGATTGCAAAAATAAAGAATTGTTTTAAAAGATAACTAAAATTTCTAACACTTCTTTACTATCTAAGACTCATAAAGTTAAAAGGCTTCAAATCATGAATGTTAATAAAAAGATCTTGATGAAAAAAAGTAGATTTGAAGGAAAACTTATCTTAACAAGTTTGCATAAGAAACTCATCTGTTTAAGTTCTAAAGGTAAAAATAATGAGGTTTTAATTTTCATTGACACAAGGACAACCAACTCATTTATGAGTCCAATTTGGGCCAAGAGATTGGAGTTGGCTCAAGAACCAATCAAAGAAATAAGAGTGTCTTTTATCCAAAGTGAAAAAACAACCAATTTGGTTGTGAAAGATGAGAAGTTCAAGTGTGGTAATAAAAGGTTCTAAGAAGTCTTCATAGTATGTAGCCTTAGTGGAATAGATATAATATTAGGGAATATTTTTTTAAACTTCTATGGAGTGAAACTTCGATGGAATCCTAAATTAAGAGTAGTCATAGTTGAAAAGAATGAAAAAGTAATAGACTTACCATACACAAACTTCTCCATGCAACATGAATCTAGAATTTTTATAGTTTTTTAAAGTAAATTAGAAGGAAAATAGTTCTTCTTACACTTGAATAATAATAATTTTTATTTTGATTATGATTGTATAGATGATTTTTTTAATAATAAAAAAAGAATTGGTGAAGACCTTTCCATATTTTGATAAACTTGTGAAAAATCTTATGTTGGAGTTTGAAGATGTATTGACAAATGAATTGCCAAAAATACTCCCACCTAATAGATTGGTGGATTATAATATAGATCTAGTTCTATGAACAAAACCACCTATTAAAGCATCTTATAAATTGAACCAAATAGAATTAAAAGAACTCAAGAATCAATTCAATGAGTTGTTTGAAAAAATCTATATTAAACAAAATAAATTCTCATTTGGAGCTTCAATTCATTTTTTGAGCAAAAAAGTTGGTAAGCTA